GAATCCAGCATGGATGGAGGTATTCGATTGAGAATTTGCCGGTTACTAATTCAAGACGCTTTATAGACCTTCCTCCTAACAACCCTCCCATACACAACTCTCCTCCCACCCCTCCTCCTCTCCTTCCTTCTCCGCCCTCTCTCACTCAATAACCTCAATTACCTACCATCCGGCCCGACGGCTCTGATCTTCGCCCTGTTGGCGCAGTATCATGCGAGTATCCCGCATACATATCGCTATCGGATTGGGACGACGACGACTTCTCCTGCTGTCGCCGCCACCACCACCACCACAGAAACAGACAACAATGAAACACAGACCGCAGATAACCAGCCCAAACCCCCAAAACCAAGCCTGACTCTCCTCCTCTCCGACAAATCAACAACCTACATCGTCGCCGCTCAACTCGCCCTCTCCCAATTTCCTGCTATGCTGCTGCCAGCTGCGCTAGGGTGGATTGTTGGATTTGCTTGGCGTGCCGAGATCTTACCTGGTCTTTCGCCTGCTGCGAATGGGTTTCGGGTTCCTGCTTGGGTTGTTGGGGAGAGGGAGCGGAGGGGTACTGCTGGTGCTGGTGGGGAGAGGGAGAGGTATGAGGATTTGAGGAGGAGGCTGGAGGGGGAGGCTGCTGCTTCCGCTGAGGCTTCGGGGTTGGATGGAGGTGGAGGTGGACATGGTGTTGATAGGCGGAATGAGACTGCTGCTGTTGTTGATCGGTTGAGAGGGGATTGGTAGATTTGGTTGCATTTTGGTTGCGATTTGTGCTAGGGGATAAGGTAATTTACATTTCTACTTATACATTCGTGTTTATGGTTATCGTCTATGCTATCTGGTATAGCTTGTATGGCAGATAATTGGCCCGGTCTCCGTAGTCGTTCCAAGCAAGTTTACTAGGTATGCACTATCCATGCTATGCTGGTGTATTGGATATCAGGTAGGGTTGAGGTTGAAGTGGCCGCCTCTAAAAGATGAACCATGACACCGCTAGAACAAGAGAAGCCCATGTAAGACAGCAAAAAGGTAGAACACCACATAAACACCATATCAGTCATATCTAATGCAAGGCTTTGCCCCGGAAGAACCATGGCCATAACCATCACCATCACCATCAGCGGCCATTGCGGCTCCGTCGCATATTTTCCTTGCACTCATTGCAATACCATTTAACTGCAAAACGATTAGCATCACCCATTCCAAAAATAAACCAAGAGAAGCAATAAACATACCATTCTTCCCAGGTGGTTTCGTCAAGCCCACACAAGACAAATGGAACCATTCGCGCGGGCAGGCGTCGTTATCACAAGCGACCATCTCACCGAAACTGATCTCGTTACAGTAACAGTACCGCGGCTCGCCCTCTTCGTCTTCGTCGTCGCCTTCGTGTAGGGACTCGTCGTCCGAGGGTATGGCGGGTGGTGGGATAGGTTTCTTCTGTGTGCGCTTTGTCGAGGCAGGGTCTTGGCTTCGTGTTGGTCGTGCGCGTTGCTGGGTTGGTTCAAATGTCGAGAGGACTGGTGTTGAGGTTTTGGATGTGCGTTTGCTTGCTTCGTTTTCGCCCGAGTCGGCTTTGCCGTCCAGGTCTTCGCGTTTGGATCCGGTTGGTACTGATGTTCGTGCGCTGGAGTCTTCGTAGTCGCGATGGAGGTCTGCGACGAGTTCGTTTTTGATTGTGCCGTCGCGGGGTATCGATCTTGAATCGGTGGTTTTGTCTGTGGAGGAATGGAGTTAGTGGGTAGGCTTGAGGGGGAGGTGAGATATGATGACGCACTGTTGTTTGGCTGGCCAATGCGGTTTGAGGCCGAGGACGACGGCCGCTGTCGTGCGTTGCTTGTTGATCCGGCATTTTGCTGAGTCCGTGAAGATTGTGGCCTCGACGTAGGACCTGGGCTGGCTGCCGCCCGCGGGGCATTGAAAGTTCCAATCAATGGCGATGGGGCCAAGACAGGCGATCCAGCATTTGATGCATTGGCCCTGGAATAGCGTTAGTTTATTGCATTGTAGGGTATGGTAGGGCAGAACATACTTCTTGCGCGCAGCAGCAGTCGGATTCGGTGCGCGAGACCGCTTCTTCTCCGCGGGGTCCTTGTTTGCAGCCCTCTGGCTCTGAGCACCGCTAGCAGACCGTTCCATTGGGATACTCGTGTCTACAGGGAGTGCTGAGCGTTCCACCTTCCGACGCTTGGGTGCAGCGCTCGGATCAGCTGTGTTATCTCCGCCACGAGACTTCCCATTATTGGTCTTGCGAGCACCGGAGCTCCGTGATTCCTCATAGTCTGCATCAACATGCGCACGACGTTGCTTCCGCGCTAATACAGCTTCGCGTCGAGCCTCGCTGCGGCTAGCGGCTTCAGCTTCGTGAAGTACGTGTGATAGATCTTGTCTGTGGTTGACTGCTTCGCGGCGGGGGCGCTCGTTGGTGGCTGCCTTCGCGGCGGTCTTGTTGGAGTAGGCCCAGTGGGTCAGACTGCCCAGGCGAGCTTCTTCGCTGATCTCGCCTGCAATGTATGGGAATACGGTATCCAGCCGGACGACTTGGCGGTCCAATTCCTCGTTCGCGTTCGAAATGACGTGGTTCTTCTCGTCGGCGGTCATCATTAGGTCGGAGAGACTCTGCCGTACGCGATCAAAGAGAAGCCGGCGACTTTTGCTTTCGGACGATTCGGGTGTTTGAGAGAGATCCTGGCGCAAACATTAAACCAAATCTCCACGTAGATAAAGCAGATTGAAGAGTCGACTTACCTGGGGCAATACATCCTCACGAACCACACCCCCGACGATAGGCGCGGGATGAGGAGGGTGAGCCACCGGCTGCGACTCGCAAGAATGTTCAAGCAACTGGAGCAAATTTTCCTCGAGAGCCCATGCCTTCGCATCAACCTCCTTTAGTAAAGAGTTGTGGCGTCGAAACTCGCGAGGAAGCGCAGTGATAGCGTCTGTAAAATGCGTGAGAGCAGGGTAGAAGCCGTGCGGAACAGGGGTCGTGGAAGGAATTTCAGCAGTCGAGCCTCGGCCGAACGCGAAAGAGGATCGTCCGATGGTTTTGGAGGTTCGAGACGGGTTTGTTCGTGTCTGACGGGCTGACTGGCGTATTCCCTGGCCCTGGGGGTTCATGGCTGACGATGAGACGGCGGACATTGTGAATGGGAGAGTCGGGACTGGGAGCTGCGCCGTTGGGAGGGTTCGGGGGCTCTAACCCAATTTTAGGGCAGAATGGGACGATGTGGACAATCAATGGTAATCAGCGATGACCTATGAGCATTTACAAGAGCTAACACCTCATGTAACACGCGGAGGGCATCGATGCAGGAGAACTGCCTCTGGGAAGTTTGAGTGCGGAGAAGAGCAATCGGATCAGGTGAGATGCAGCCTGTGGGATCAGGCACCACTTTGCTGAATCATCAGTACACATGGGTGACATCATTTCAGGCACGAAGTATACCGCAGGCAACTCAAGTGAAATGGATATTAGTAGAGCCTCGGGTATGTGACCACTTAATTATATTCCAGGAGACTCTCGGACATAAACCCGTTGGGATGAAATGCTACTGTCTTACAGTACGTCTCGAAACTGGTGTCACCACGTACACTCTTCAATTGTTTCTGGAACCCTACAACCACGGTGATAGTGCGAAAGACTATAGTAGGACCCATTACGCAGAGGATGGATGTGGGCAAAACACGTTCCTAAAATCCATGTCTCCTTCCTATATGAGAGCCGATGGGAGAGCGGCAAGTATGCAGATAAATACTCCAACAAGGAGATATTTGGAATTGAAATTTTCCAGCACTTGAATCATAAGACATACGATACGGTCAGGCCTGTAGCTCCCATGGGAAGAAAAAGAAGAGCTGTTTCGCCCGGACTGAATTTGTTTATCTCCTAGGAACTGAGAGTTGCGTAGTAAAGAGTTCCCTGATAGCTGCCAAACGCAGCTATGAAATATGAGCAAATTGGACGAAGGAACTGATGAAGATGACTTACAGAGTTCACTGAGCCAAGGCACTGCCATTTTCGGCAGCTCCCAAAAAAATTAGTGGTATTATTGGATTCGAGGGCCTCGCTTCTCGTCAAAGCAATCCGCGAAAAAAGCAAATACTTAGAACAAGTAGACAGATGATAAATGCTGAACTCTAGTCGAGTAGCCCGCCTCTGCTGATGACGAAGGTGAGTAGTACCGAGCCGGACATTGAAATGGCGGCCCCAGAGCAGTCTAGTTGGGCTGATTAGGGCAATGCACGCTTACTGTCCGGGGAAGTGACACAGCCAAGCAAGACTATCATGCCAGTGACAGATGCAGGAATGTAGAAGACATATCTCCAACTCAGAGGCTGCCGTCAAAAAGTCCCCTGTGATCAGGTCAAGTGAGAATTCAATCCCAACAGAGGCCCCAAAGAGGGTCACAGCGATTAGACTGTTTTTCTCGACTAAGAAATCGGTGATAATACCGAGCGCAGAAGAACTGCATACGCGCCAGCCAGCTACGATTTTATATTGCTACCGACTAAGGTCCCGCTAGTTACCGCTAGGGAATAGAGATAACGAGCACTATATACTAGCACAGCCACTAGGTTCTTCGGAGGACTAGCATTCAGCCTCTCTCTTATCACATAACGTACGTCTACCTACGCACTATACTGTAGGCTTGAGAACAGGGTGGGAGTCTAAATGCGAAATCAATCCTACAAAAAACGAGCAGGGCTCCGCGTAAACCAACTAGTGCCTTTATTTTACATATAACTTGGATTCTAGGGATAGACGGGGATCCCTTGTGAGAAACCAAGAGTGGCCCGATACAGCAAATCCAAGACACGGCGTATACACCATCGAGAAAACAAAGTAAATCGATACAATAATAAAAAGATAAGGTGGTACAAAGTAAACAGACGCTAGCTCCTATAAGGACCGATGAGATAGGAAACCAAACTCAACACAGGTGACAGTGTCCGAACACTTTCAACTTTCTAGAGTTCAAACTAGATCGCAAAGAAGGGAAAGGCGTTTACTCGCCCTTCAGGTGATCCTGATGAATGGAGAAAGCATCCCCCAGGAAGTCCTCCTCCTCCTTCAAGTGAACGGCCTTGAGACCGGTGGCGACGGAGGCGGAACCAGTGCGTCCAGCGTACAGGACGTGGCGGCGGTTGTGGTGCTGGGTGGCGTTGAGCAGGCTCTCGATACGGGGCTGGGCGTAGGACCAGGCACCTGCATTGAGGGGCTCCTCTTGACACCAGACGATGTCCTTGGCGTTGGGGTAGCTGTCAAGGTTCTCCTTCAGCTGAGCCCAGGGGAAGGGATGCAGCTGCTCAACACGGGTGATAGCAGTGTTGCGGATACCGTTGGCCTCACGGTGCTTGAGAAGAGCAGCGTAGACCTGGCCAGAGCAAAGAATAACGCGCTCGATCTTCTCGGGCTCGTCAACGGAGGTACCGTGGCCCTCTTCGGGAATGATCCACTGGAAGTGAGAGTCACCGGTCAGGGCCTCAATGTCGGAACGGGCAATGGGGTGACGCAGCAGAGCCTTGGAGAAGAAGATGACCAGAGGCTTACGGAACTGGCGGTGGATCTGGCGACGGAGGATGTGGAACAGGTTGGCAGGAGTGGTCATGTTGACAATCTGCATGTTGCAGTCCTGGTGTTGGCGGTCGAGCTTGTCAGCTGAAGGGAAGACGCGGGGCTCTTCGTTGCAAAGCTGCAACCAGCGCTCCATACGACCGGAAGAGTGCTCAGGACCCTGGCCATCGTAACCGTGAGGCAGGGAGACAACCAGGCCGGAACGCTGCAGCCACTTGGTCTCACCGGAGGCGATAAACTGATCAATAATACACTGAGCGTTGTTGGCAAAGTCACCGAACTGAGCCTCCCACATCACAAGGGCATTGGGGGAGGTGAGAGAGTAACCGTACTCGAAACCGAGACTAGACAAAAGGTCAGCAACTATCCCATTAGAAGTACTGCACAATTTTAAAACTTACACGCCGAACTCGCTGAGAGAGGAGTTGGAGATGACGAAGCTACCCTGCTTGTCACTGATGTTCTGCAGGGGAGTGTAGGTGCCCTCGGCATCCTGGTCGTGCAGGACGGCGTGACGCTGAGAGAAGGTACCACGCTCAACATCCTGACCGGAAACACGGACGTGGTAGCCCTCGTCGACAAGCGAACCGAAGGCAAGAGCCTCAGCAGTAGCCCAGTCGATGTTCTTGCCCTCATCGACGGTCTTCTTGCGGTTGCTCAAGATACGCTTGAGGTTGCGGTGGAGGGTGAAGCCCTCAGGGACACCGCTGCCGCTGACCTTGTCAGCGATATGAGCAAGAGTCTTCTGGTTAACAGCGGTAGGCAGGTGAGGCAGGACCTCGGTAGCCAGCTCCTTGGGAGTCTTGAAGTTGTTCCACGCGGAAGTCAGCCACTCCTTGCTGGTGGGCTGGTAGTCCTTGCTGCGATCGAAGCTGTCGCCGAGCATGCCCCAGACCCACTTCTTGTGCTCGTCGATGTCCTCCTTGGTGAAGCTGCCCTCAGCAATGAGCTTCTCAATGTACTTGTCAAGCTGAGCCTTCTGCTCGGCAATGCGCTTGTACATCAGAGGCTGGGTGAACGAGGGCTGGTCAGTCTCGTTGTGACCCTGCTTACGGTAGCAGACCATGTCAATGACAACATCGCGCTTGAACTCGGCACGCCAGTCAGCAGCGACCTGGCAGACGTAGTTGACAGCCTCGACATCGTCGGCGTTCACGTGGAAGACGGGAGCATCGATGGACTTGGCGATGTCCGAACAGTAGGGGGTGGAACGAGAGTAACGAGGATCAGTGGTGAAACCGATCTGGTTGTTCACGACAAGGTGGATGGTACCACCAGTGGAGTAAGCGGGAAGAGAGTGGAATCCCATGGTCTCGTAGACAACGCCCTGGCCAGCAAAGGCAGCATCACCGTGGAGCAGAACTCCCATGGCGGAGTCGTAGTTGGTCTCATCGTTGTTGTAGTGCTGGATGGCACGGGTCTTGCCGAGCACAACGGGGTCCTCAGCCTCTAGATGGGAGGGGTTGGCAACCAGAGACAGCTGCACCCGCTTACCGGAGGGAGTGGGACGCTCGAAGTTCATACCCAAGTGGTACTTGACATCACCAGAACCCTCATCGGAAGGCTCAGTGGAGCCAGCGAACTCACTGAAGATTGACTCGTTGGGCTTGCGGACAACGTTGGACAGGACGTTGAGACGTCCACGGTGAGGCATACCGATGACAATGTCCTTGATGCCGTAGTCGACACTGCGATCGATCAGCGCCTTCATACCAGGGACCAGGGTCTCACAACCCTCAAGGCCGAAACGCTTGTCGTTGGGGAACTTGGTGGCAAGGAAGGCCTCGAAGCTGGAACTCCAGATCAGACGGTCAAGGATGCGGCGCTTGTCGTCAACGGAGTAGTTGTAAGGCTGAGGGATCTCGAAGCGGTCGCGAATCCACTCGCAGGGCTTGCGGTCAGGAATGTGAATGTATTCAACACCGTAAGAACCGCAGTAGATCTTTTCGCAAGCGTCAATGATCTCGCGCAGAGTCATCTTCTTGCGGCCGTCGGTGGCGAAACGGGGCAGGATACCGGGTCCAAGAGCAAACTCCTGGTCCAGGTCACGCTCGGTGAAACCATAGTGATCAAGCTCGAGCTCCTTCGGCTTGTCGTAGCCAAAGGCCTCGGCCTCTCCGCGGATACCGAGAGGGTCGATCTTAGCCTTGTGGTGCCCACGGGCCTGGTAAGCGCGCACCAACAACTGAACCTTCAAGTGATTTGTCACGTCAACGCCAGCAGAGAGACCCTCACCGGGCATATCTTGAGGGACACCTCCGGTAGGGGTAGGGACGAGGGTGGGAGGAGGAGTGAACGCCTGAGAGATAGGCATGTTACCCTCTTCCATGTTCTTGAAATAGGTCTGCCACGAGATGTGAACACTGGAAGGGTCGTTCTTCCATGCCAGGTACATTTCATCGACATAGTTGGCGGTGTTGCCAGAGAGGAAGGAATCGTTGGGGTCCTATCCGCGTAAGAGCAAAATTGCACCGTCTCGTTAGTTGAATGTCCCATTTCTCGAATTCCTCGAATCGGGGACCATTGTCGAATCGCGAGCGATCGTCACGGTTATTGTTGCTTACCACTCCCTGAGTTGTACTTTCCGCGGGGGCGGCATAGTATCTGGCACCGTTGAAAGCACGGTTGACAACAGCGAGAGGGCGACGGGCGCTCATGCTGAAGCCGGAGCTTTTTGATGCACTGCGAGCGCTCGAGGCGAGGTGGAAGGAGCGCCGGCATGCTGGGGAGGTCGCACCACGCAGCATACCGCTGTGGGTGGCCTTCAAAGCAGAGTTTCTAAACATTGCGGGATTTTCGTGGATCGAGGGATCCGATGACGTTCGAAGAATCGAGAAGAGGAAAGGAGATTAAGACTGGAGATTGAGACCCTGTAAGTCAAATTAGACGTCTAAGTGAGACGCGCTATAGATAATAGTGTCAGCCGATACAACTGCCAGGGTGTTTGACCTCTGCCGAGGAAACCGGAATACGGAGGAAAGGATGAACCAGTACACGTACAAATTAACACAACAGGTGTCGACTAGTATTGCCGTAGCACCTGTAAGCAATCGGAACTCATCAGAGAGCAAAAACTCTCTAATTGGGAAAATATAGAGGGGAGAATGACGATGCGAAAGAAGCAGAAAGTCACAGAGAAGAGAGACAGCTGCCGAGAATGACGGTTCTCACGGCAGGGTGAGGCTGGTGCGTCTTAGTCAGCCCGAGCCAGCCGATGAGACGCCCCTGCGCCACAGTTCCCGGCTAAGGTGTCTCGGGTTGCGGGTGTTTTCGGCCCAATCGCACTACGAGGCATTTCTATTACACATTACACAACAGAGTACCATACCTAGTTATCCATCTGAGACGCTACAATAGAATGACATGGTGAATATATCGTTGTTATTCCTTTATGTACTATCGAGGTGATTAAATCCAGTAATAGGGACAGTGGAACTAAACAGCTAGTCTAACTATAGGCTGTTAGATCCTAAGATATGTAGCTCGTAAGCAAGTCTTGACGACGTGTGCGGTGGATTTATTAGCTATTGTAGGAAAGATTAAATCTTATAAATTGTGTAGCAAGTTCTATAGGCAGGATAGACCAAGATAACATGTCTATCTCTCGTTTGAAAAGAAAATATGTAGGGAGTTGAGTATTACCGCTCTAGGTATCAGATTGTCCCAAAGGTGCATGATTATCAGTAGAAGGAGCTTCCGAGCTTCCTCATAATACATATACATATATATATATATATCGCCGAACGATGAAATTTCAGTGGATTGATGACATAGAATATAAAAAAGGGTAGATCAAATCCACAATCCAATTGATTGACTTGCTACTGACCACCATGGAACAATTTGAGCAGTTCTTTCGCAGCGTGCTTTACAAGGGCCTCAATTGTGTCTATGTCCATCATTTCAAGCACACTGATATCGAATTCAGAAGTCCTTTCGCACCACTGTCTCACCTCGGTCGTCACCAGGGAATCCATTCCTGGGGCAGACAGCGAGCACAACGTGTGCAGGTCTTCTTCTGGCTTCAGCAGCAAGCTAACCACAATTTTTCTGATGATGAGAAGATGAATAGACTACGGCTCACTGCACTAAGGCGACATCGTGCTTGGCCGCAGCCATGAAGGATTTCAAGCAGTTGCTGGAGGCAAACTCTGATGCGGTACTGTTCTCTCCAGTGTTTTTGAAAGACCGCCATTCGGATATTCTTCTTATACATGGAGCGGTTCGGGTGATTGCTTAGAGATACCTTGGAAGCGTGGATGCCAACACAAAAGCTATTTAAAGAACTAGATCGCGATCTGCTCGACGTCGAGGTCATGGCTACTTTTATCGCCCGAAGAAGCTCGCGAACCAAAATTGTTCCACTCAGAAGACCAACATTCTTCAGATTCGCTCAGCTGTGTAGCCGACTTCTTCAATGGAAACAATCGCGATGGCGCAGGCCGGCAGTCCCAGTGTAGAGCAGTACTGAGAGAAAGCTAGAACCTATTGGCATCAGCATAGTGAGTCTGACCGGGGCGTCCGTAGATATCAAAAAGGGGCTGAAAAGAATAAAAATGTCAAGATCCGCGTTGGCGGATACGGAAGCATTGTGAAGGTTCCATGTCCCCTTTACCTTGGGATGGACAGTCGTGTTCCACTCCTTCATTGTCATGCGGGTGAGGGATTGCTCAGAAAGAACCATAGATATCTGCAGGATGCCTTTGGGCCGGCCTTGAGCCTGGGTGAAGCCTTGTTCACATCATCAAGATTTGAAACGTTACGCTGAACAAAATCGGGATGACATCCCATGCTGGCAAGCTCTAGGCAAACCCCTGATGCACTTTACTTGCACTCGCACTTTCAGGAAAGAAAGATAAGGTGACGGGCTCCGCAGTCACCATCCATGTGGATATGGAGCAGCCCAAGCCTCCGAGGCCACCAATAAGCAGATATATACGCCTGAACCATCCAATTGGGTGGAGTTCTTTCGCTACTGAACATCTGCTTCAAGGATGATCTGACTAGCAGCATCGCGTGTTGACACGACGATTTTGCCCACGTGGACACCTTGTTGCATATACCGAAAAGCACCGAGGATGGCTTCTGAATTAAAGATTCTCATGGATCGAAGGGGATGGATATGTTCTCACCTAAGTAAGTCGGCGGTTTTTCTGAGCAGATTTCATGATATATTAGTCACTGAGTGGTGTATATACGTACGTATCATGGGGACACTTATGGAAAGGCCACATAATCAAAGTGTATTACTTTTACATGTGAGTCTTAATTATGCTAGCATAGTGTCACTTATGTTCGCATAGCACTTCCCATATTCAGTCTGACTCCAACTACCCTTATGAAATCGGACAGCCAAGGCCTCACCCTGCAGAAGAAGTATGAGTGACGTTGGTTTATGTATACTTGTGAGTCGAAGCCATAAGTTACCGCCTCTTTTATACTGTTTGGTATTACCTAGGTATATCTCAATTATTATTAACATCTACCGCTGCTATATGCCACAAAGTCAAAAATCGAGTGCAAATAAAAGCACCGGGGAAGACGGAGAAGACGAGAAAGATGGTGGCAGACGCTAGAGATTCGTGATATCGTGAAGGAACATAACCATGCGGGAGGGACATATGCAAGAGAAGTACAAGTAAATGTACGTATATCTAAGCAGGAAAATGCTGTAGGGGCAATCACAAAACATTAAGCCGCTGAGTACCGCTGATCGGAACTTCTTCCGCGTCGTCTGCAAACACTGCCGGTCCGGTGATTCCGGTGACCGGGAGATCGGCAGGTCGACCAGCTAGAGCCAGCGGGGAAGCAGTTCGGGTATGACTATGACAATCATCATGGCAATACCCAACAGCACTCGGCGGACCCTCATCGGGACTGAACGGAACTGGACTTGCTTCAGAGACACCAGTAAAACTGCCCCGGTGAGGGGAGGATATCGGATGCGGGGGTGGTGGGCTGCCCGCACTGCTTCGCAGGCTACCATTGCTTCCACCCCAAGCGCCGCGCCGCAATTTCATCAGCGCGCTTAAAGAGAGCTCGTCGTCGATATTGCCCATGTCGACGAGCTGTGCTAATCCGGGGCTTGCTAGGGATGGGTTGGATGTTGTTCCGTGGGCCTTGAGCGAGATCATGGAGTTGCGGGTGCTCCATTCACTTCTTTCGGTGATGGGGGTGAGGCTAGGCTCTTGGAATTTGCCCCGGCTGCTGTGACTGCGGCTGACGCCTTCGACCCGTCGCGGGCCAAAGTATCCACCATTCGTCAGTTCGGAGTTGCAGGTGCTATCTGCTTGGGCGTAGAAGCCAAATTCTTGGCCGTAGAAGCCCTCGTCGTCATTCTCGAGGGCTTCTGCGTTGGCCGCGGCTACGATTGCATCGTCGAAATATGCGTCGTCCGTGTCATCGTAAATTAGACCATCGTCGAAGACGTCTTCAAAAGCCATGGCGTCAGCACCCTGACTGACACGGCTGTCATCAGAGACTAGACCCGGCTGCGAGTCTACTGTCTGTGCTGTGTGGGCTATACTGTCTTGACCCTGAGATCTTTCACTCATGCTGACAGTTCGGTCAAGACGACTGTTGTGTGCGGCTTCGTTGGCCGCAAAAGCCAAGGCATTATGCAGAATATCCAAGTTCTGTTCGGTCAGCACACCACCATGGGCCCGAGCAGGGCCCATATTAGGTATTGGCTCTCCAAGAGGGCCACGCTTGACCGAGCCTGTCATCCGGTAATCACTGGCCACGCTGGGCATGTGCTTGAGACTCTGGTCCCCGGTGTCTGCCGTAGTGCTTTCTTTGTCCAGGGAAGAGTCGTCGCCTGGTGCCGTGGTCTCCGCTGGCGGCGGTGCCACAGGCTTTCGTTCGTATAGATGACTGGTTACATCATCGAATATTGATTCATCGAATCCTCCGTTTTGGTCGTTAATATTAAGATCACCAAATTCTCCATCGTCGAAGTAAAGATCATCCTCGTCGAGGATTGGCGGTAGTTGATTGTTGGCGGCGGGGATTTGAGGATTGGCTGCTGGAGGTGCCACCGGCTTTCTCTCATATAGATGGCTGGTCTCATCATCAAATATAGATTCATCGAATCCCCCGTCTTGGTCATTGTTGTTGAGGTCTCCAAATTCTCCATCATCAAAGTAAAGATCATCCTCGTCGAGGGTCGGCGGTTGTTGAGTACTGGCAGCGGGAACCTGAGGATTGGCAGCAGGAACATCATTGCTAGCCACGGAGAGCGGTTGCTCCTGAGGCTGCTGTTGAGCACAGTGAGTCTCAGTCGTTGTAGCCTCATACTGGCTAGAGATATAACCAGAATTGTCCGTAACACCAGGCGGTGCAGAAGTGACAGGGCTTGCCACCACCGGCGACAATTCCGCAATAGCCCAAGACTTGAGCTCTCCATTGATGTTGCGAGAAATAGGTAGATCATCGAAATCATCATCGTCTGCATCGACATTGACTCCCGGGATCTTTTCTTCCAGGCCATCCAAGTCGTCCAGCATATCATTATCAAAGTCCTCATCGAAGTCATCAAAGTATCCATCTTCGACCTTGCGAGCAGCTTCTTTCGCTTTATGCTTTTCTTCCAGCAGCTTTTCTTGCACGGAGGATTCCACTCCGCTCATATCAAAGCTGAACCGCGAGGCATTGCTCTTGAGATGTCTTGGTAGACCGGAAGGGTTGAATGGCACATTTGGAATCGTATCTTCGTCGGCTGTCCCTTGATAATGGGATTCCTTGGGAGGGTCTGCCTTTGGTGGACTTGGAGGAGGCTCTGGGGCTTCTGGTTCTGGCTGTTCCACAGGCTCATTGATTTCTTCAGGCAAATGCGAAGGCAAGTTCCTAGCAAAGGCCGGTAATGACTTTTCATATCCAGGCTGAGATTGGTTCGTCAATAGCGAAGACTGAAGGTATCCCTTGTTCTCGACCTGTAGCACATTCTGATCCTCAAAATGCTCTTTAAACACAGGCGAATGATCACTGTGTCGTTTTGTCTGGTCATTCCAGCGACCACCCTTAGGAATATGAGAAGGAGACGGTTCCTGCAGATTGGAAATAACCCCATCCTGCTGTGCAGAAACATTTCTGCGAGGTCGTGGAGCTGAGAAATCATGAACAATATTCCCACGTATTCGAGGATCATAATCATCCGGCATGGCAGGCACGTTCCGATTATTGAGCCTAGGTTCCTCTGCCCTCGAACTAACGATCTGCGACGAGCGCCGACGCGCAAGAAGAGACATAGGATTTAAAAGATGAAGCATCGCCTTGCCAGATTTGTGATGGGTATTGGTACTCTCCACAGGCACATCCCGATCCCGATCCCCAATACGGCGAACAGCCGCGCCTCCCTCCACCCTGAAATCTTTATCTTTCTGCGGCACGGTTTGTTTATCACCCGGCGAATCATCGGGCGACGTCCTGAATCGAAAATGGCTCGACCCCGGACCGGCAGTTGGCGATCGTTTCTGCTTCCCAAAGGACCGACGGAATGGCGAGTTCGATTTGGAATTCGACTCCCCATCTCCTTGATCAGACCGGAGACCCGAAACAGACACTTGGGAATCATTCGCTTGCGACGTGAACGTTTCTCCTTCCCATTCCCCGGGGCTCGAGTGAGGACGGTTCTCCCTATCGTATGACGGCGACGGAACGGCAAGAGTGAGGGAGGAAGATAGCGGCGCGGCCGATGAGGTGATGGTTAGCTTGGACGCATCGATGTCCAGCGGCGACTCGATCGAGGAAGGGGCATCCTGTGAGGGGTAACCGAAGGACGTGGTGAGGGTTGGGGTATCTGGAATTTGTGGGAGCTGAGGAGGACTGCTGATCGGGCTGTCATTTGCCCCTTTGGAAGGTGAGCTCGCTGGTAAGGCGGGTGATACGATCGAGCGCCGGTGGTCGCGGCGCCAATATGAGAAGACAGTAGATGGCGGCATGGTGCTTAGCCCCCACGCCAGGTTGAGCCGTGAGGATTATAAGGGGGCGTGATGGTCCATTGCAGTCTTTCCTGCTGAGGGGTGTCGACAGAGAGTCCTCTCACATACCACTGACGGGACCGTGGGGCGTGCAGAACCCACTTTGAGCTTCAAGCAGGGCTAATAGGTTGGCTCGAAGTGACGCTGGAATGATGCTTAAAATAACGAGGAATTGAGGAAGATGCAACTAATTTTAGGTTACACTATCTCAAGCGCCTCGTGTCCTGCGCGCCTGGACCCATCTCCAATATCACGTCACATACTCGACTACATTTGAATTGAATTACTAACATGCCTTGATTAATTGTACATAATATTCTACTTGGATATCCTTCAAAATCAAAAACGCTCAATATGCTATGCAAATAGGCAGAAATCGAAGTGCTTGATGCCGCATTTCAGCGGATGCTTTGCCTCCAACGATCAATCACAGAGACCTGGGCAGGGTCAATTGGCTGTCCAGCCATGTTCACGGTTGGTCCACACCCTTGAGGCATGGCATATCCCATCCCATTCATACTCATGGTATGTTGGGTGGGATAGCCGGTCTGGGACTTGGGATATCCGTATTGCTGAGCCATCGGGTAGGCTTGGGGCATCCCGTACCCCGTGCTTGGTGGGAACTGCTGCATGGACATCCGATTGCCGTACTGAGACATGCCAGGTCGCTGATTTAGAACATCATGGGATGAATACCGGTGGAGTTGGGCTGGACGACCCTGCGTAAGAGCAGCCATGCTCCGGCGTACGCGCGGGTCCTTTCTCGGCCCAGGTTGGGCACCGCCCTCCTTTTGGAGTCGGCTACGTCGCTGCGCAAGAGTCTCCTCCTCATTGGTCTCGGGATCAGCTGGAGTTTCTTTGGCAACAATGCCAGCCCGGGTATCAATTTCGGCCATTAAATCGCTGGCAAACTTGCTTTCCGAGCGGTTGTGCCCCTTCAGTCGTTGGAGTCGCTCGGCCAGAGTTTCAGTCTCGAGCTCATCACCACTCTCAGCAGCAGGCTCAGGTGGTTCAGCGGTGTACACTTTCTCGGCTCCGTACACCGTAGCAGGGCGTCTCTCCGGCTGCGGGATGGGTTCACCCCGCAGCCTAGCTCGACGTGAGCTCAGAGGTTCATTTTCCTCCTGTTGCCGCTTCTCCATCAAGCCAAGCGGTCGGTCCTCGTCGTCTGGGTTTGGCCTTTCTGGGTACAGCATAGCCAGGGGAACATCTTCATCTTCATCGCGGCCTTCCCAGGCTAACGCGACGGGACGCTGCCGCCGTTTGTCACTCTGCTTTTGGGCCATTTCGTCCATTTCGAGCAGAGTGGTTTGCATGCCCTGGTAAGGCATCGGGACCGCGGTGCGGCGTCGGTGTGCCAGCTCATGTTTTCGCAACTCGAGTTCAGCGATAAGTGTATTTGGTGGGCCAACATAGTCTAGCTCCTCTTCATCTTCGTCGTCCTCTTCTTCGCCCTCGCCCTCCGTAGATTGCTCGCCACTTTCAGAGTCAGTCGCCTCTGATCGCGATTTGTCGTGTTCATCATGGGCTCTGTCGGAATCGTGTCCAGCCTGTGACCCATGGCCCGTGGTAGATGCATCACCCTGCTCATCCGCATTGTTGGTGCTAAGAGGCTGACCCATGGTGTTCCGTGAGAGGCGGTTTGCTTTCCGCCCAGTCAAGTCCTTGAAAAGAGTGGTTCGCTTGGATTTCGCGTAGACGTTTGAGCCAATATTACCGGCGTAGGGGTGATCAGTAAAAGCTGACACTGGTGCATTTGCGGAAGCGTCGAGAATGCTCTCCAGCGTCGCGACAGCGGACTGCTGCTTGACCTCTACTTGCAGGGATGTGCTAGGCTGATCAAAGAACACGCTCGCACGGAGGTGAGGCGGCACTTTCGTTTGACGTTTGTCGGGTCGCTCGTCATTTGGTTTGTTCTTGTCAGCGCTGGGTACTACCGCAGTCGACTTTCGATCCTGAGCGACGATGGCGGCAGCAACCTCCGCACGCCGTTTGTCGTGTGCTGTATTGGTCTTGCGCGATAATTTGGGTGGGAGGTTCAGCATACGCGGGACAGGGGCTGGATAATAAACCATATTCTCTCCCGCTTGCGGCTGTTTGTATGAGTCCGGATTCCTCGCCAAAGGCGGATGGTTTAAGGGGACCTGGCGCATAGACTCGGCCCTATCCAATGGTGTGAAATGGACGCCATCGAAATCGGTGAACAGTGTGCGGGCCTGTTGGTAGGTGTCGTTGGATGCGACCGAGGCGCGTCGCTCCAGCTCTGTGGGGACTTGTTGCGGAGCATATTGGTCGTGGTGATAGTCACTTTGAGGATAGAAAAGGGGTTGTGGAGGAGGAAGACTAGGCAGCGAAGGAAATTCGTCCACCTCGTGTGCAGGTTCACCATCATCGGGCTCAGAGAGCCGCGCCAGACGAGACCCCGATATAGAGCGCTGACGCGCAGGGGACACATTCGACCCATGAGCGGAGGAAATAGTGCCCGTTGGTGAGAATGCACCATTCCGGAGATTTAGGGAATTTGACGCGGAGCTGCATGAGCGCTTCTTCTGCGCCAGATCCATTCGACGGATCTCGCTGCCGATGCCTGCTGAGCTCGAGCTCAGCCGCTCCGCACTTTGCTCCAAGCGCTCTACATTTCCAATGTAGGCACCCTGTATCGACTGAAGATCCGGGGTAGGGTGGCTGAGAGGCACGGAAATGTCGCTGCATGCACTGTGGAGCGGCGGTTCGGGGGAGGAATGCTGCGCTACAGCCGTATTGAGCGGAGGAATGCGGCGGAGGCTGTTGGATCGCTCGGGGGAAGGATCGGCGTCATAGTCATCGTCCTCCACCACATCGTAGCTGGTAGAAGTCATGGAACGGATCATAGAACCCAAAGGGCCAAAGCTGGGGTTGTCGGTGGTTTTCGCGATTTCTAGGTGGCTTCCTCCCCCAATGTGATCAGTGTCAAGCGGGAGCTGCTCAAATGCATGACCATGAGCAGGCGAGGGACTGCGTGATGCCGAAGCGGATGAGTTCGAAGCCACCTCGTGGTCGATCTGAGCGACGGCGTTGTACGCCATGATGAAAGATTTGGTCACCGGCTATCCATCCAGACCAGTTCGGATTGGGCGAAACCACGATCAAGACTACCAGGGATGCAAGACAAAGAAAAAAAAAGAAAGGGATACGAGAGAGGCGAAAACATGGGAAGCCGGGTAGGGAAATGTCTCTGTCACGTTTAAGGTCTGGGCCGACTCTAATTTTGGAAGTTTGACGGTCATACACACAATCTGGGAATGTTAAAAACAAGGAATCAAACAGACTAAGCCACTTAAGGGGCCTCAGCGTGTCTGTCTCAGTCTACTCTCCACCATGGAGAGTCTTGGCATTAACTTATATATATTCGATCTATACAACTGGCGAACATCCCTGAATATAAAGCCGAAACTAATCTTACTGCCTGCACGCGACCTGGATGCATTTACACAGGCAAACGCTTCCCATATGCAATTCCCAATATGCAACACCAGGGGGATTCGTCTGACCACACCCTCGATCCCGAACCAATCAAACCCTAAAGTGATATCGCAAGCCTGCTTTGACTACATCATTACAGCTCGCATTTGACGAATCAGAAAATTCTGGGGAGGACGGTTAAGCATGATTGTGGCCCGTGGAAGCAATCCGCACACTTTAATATAACTCTATTGTGAGATAGGCTTTCAAGGGTAACTAATTCTCTTGTTTGTCTTGATATGTCTGGGTCACTTTACAGAGTACTTTAACTTTACTTTCTTTTCAAATGTATATTTTGCTGTCTCTTCTGAGCTTTGTTATACATTGTGTTCCCGACTTACAGGACTAGTACAAGACACCTGTAAGCCCCCTATATCAAAGCGTATTAATATTAGCAGAGGTGAACCACGATACCTACCAGGCCGCAATTTGCCGTGACCCGGCTAAACTCGAGGTCGCATGACTATTTGCCTTCTCATGCAGGTAGCCGGTATCAAGCGGTCGTGCATATTTAGCCCACCCTATGCGCTTATCCATATCTACTGGGCCTAGAGCTTCGGTCTACTGCATTTCTTTGAGCACAAACCTCTAATGAGCGATTCAATGAAAACACCTGGTGCACGCCAAGAATGTCGCCAAACACACTCCAAACGAAACACTCACGTTTCTCTCTCGGCCATGACCTGGCGCCTTGTACATATGGCCTAGGATCTCATGTGGTCCTTTGGCAGATCTGGCACAGTGATATTGCGGAGAGATATACTTCTCCACTGATAGACATGATCGTCGGCAGATGCTAAGACGTGCACAGGCACGGTCGCCTTCCATCAGACTCACGTGTAAACCCCAGAGGTAGTATTGGGTACTCTTGTCGGGCAACCGCAACACACAGCACAATCCAACTCCACAATCCGATGATTGTCTTCCCCGAAATTTTAAGCTTATTTTCGTGATAGGCCGGCCACGTGTCGACCATACATATACACTGTGATTCAACGTAGTAGATTATCGCTGGTTCATCACTCTTCGATTAGTCTTCAACACCAGCGGAATGTTCCGACGCATTAATCTGCTCATACTCAACGCATGGCTCAGTTGAGCTATTTACCGACCCCTGCACTAAGTACGTAGTACTTCGTATAAGAACCGGGCTTACCCGCGATATTTCTGACAAAATCATCAAAAATTCGCTTACATCCGATAAAAAGGAACTATCCTGAAGTGACTCTGAACTACCAAAAACCCATGTCTGGTGTGCATATAGCCCCCGCTACGCAATCATGTAATTCTCCGTTAACATCACCCCCAGAACTCCCGCCAAACCCCAACCCTCTTCGCATAGGAGTAGTCCTATTCCCAGGATTCCAAGCCCTAGACGTCTTCGGCCCAGTGGACTGTCTAAATGTCCTCTCATGGAGCCACAACCTAACATTGTCCCTCCTATCCTCAACCCTGGACCCGGTAACAACAAAAGCACCAATATCCCCCGTCGCCCTCGGCCAAAGCCTAGTCCCGACACACACATTCGCAACAGCCCCAACTCTCGACCTCCTCCTCGTCCCAGGCGGTCTAGGCACGCGCATCCCGTGCCCAGAAATTTCAGATGCAATCGCCTATATCCGTGCTACATATCCCAGCTTGAAATACCTGGTTACGGTATGTACGGGCTCGATTCTTGCTTCGCGGGCTGGGGTTTTGGATGGGAAGAGGGCTACGACTAATAAGATGGCTTGGGCCACTACGGTGGCTTATCCGGGTGTTCGGTGGGTTCCCCGTGCTAGGTGGGTTGTAGACGGTAATGTTTGGAGTTCTTCAGGGTTAGTGCTGGAATTGATGTTACTTTTGCTTGGATTGGGGATGTTTATGGGGAGGAGGTGGCGAGGCGGAATGCTAATGGGATGGAGTATACTCCTCATGAGGATTCTCGGTTTGATCCTTTTGCTGAATTATATGGACTTTGAGGGTATCATGGGTATAGAACGATGTACACTTCTGGGTAGTCCCTAAGGCATAATTTCTAAAAATGTGCGGTATTAATGAACCAATGCAGGATCTATTCTGATATACTGCAGTTGGTGGTATTTCGGAGCCCGAACCTGTGGAAATATCAACGGTGCACAGATATGAACCAAGGTAAGCCCAAAGATAACAAGTACTAACCTCCCCCTCCCCCTTTTTTTTTTAAAAAAAAAGAAAGAAAAAGCAACTTCATAAGAAAACAAAAAAACAAAAAAAGAATTCACCCAATGAGCGGTGACTTACAATTAGGGTAATAGTTTGGGTTAGCACGTGACCACGCGTCACACATCAACGCGCCTGACAGTGAACTGGCCAAACCCCGCTAACAAGCAACCAAACAACTCTATACCACAGCCTGAAGTGTTTGTGTCCCTTTGTAAACAACAAGACATGAACAGTTCAACGTGACACCATGTCCTACTATGATATTGACTCAATCTTGACCGACGCACAAGTACGTCAGCCGTGACAATGGGGATTTAACCACAAAAACAACGAAGGCTAACAGAACCCAGAAACTGCCCTGTACATTCGAGCTCGAGGTACCAGGGCTGGGAATCCTCGAGGGCAACCCAGGCGAAGATGTCTGCATCCTAATCCCTCACCTCACTCTGCAACTAGCTAACTTGTATCCAGATCAAAGCCGGAACCCGGATTGATCTACCATTATGGCTTGGTGAAATGCTCTCGATCGGGTAAGGCCCCCGCCCAACTCATCCTCAAGTATCTACGTGAGAAGTCCACCATCTCTAATGTGATATGATACAGAGCACGACTGGGCACATCCCGTCTAGTCACGCTCGACATGCCCGAAGCGCTCTCAGAACGGGTGATGAACGCACTAAAGGCAGACCCCCGCACGATCGACCTGCGCGCATTAGCGCCGCATTTCTACAATCTCAGCGAACGCATTCTCGAACTCTTCGAAGAAGAAGAGATGGTCGAGGTTCTCAGCGATGTAAGTGGCTATTCCGTATCTCGCATTGAGGCTTGTGCTGAATGCTTGACTGGATTGGTGCTGACGACATGCTAGACGTTCAAGAAACGGGCGGCAGAGATTGCAGACCACGCGCACAATTCACGTGGTGCGGTTGGTGACGGAGTTGATTTCCTTCGTGGTTTGGATGAGACTGAGCGACAGTGTAAGTTGTGGCCTGTTTGATTTCGCGGGTGATTTTGGGTGTATGTGATTGCTGACGAGATTGGATAGTGTTCCGGGCTGCTCATGATCGAGCTAAGGATATGCGGATTTGGTCTGGAGAGGCGAAGCGGAAATGATAGGGTTTGTGATACATGTAGGACAATTTTTTCATAGACTGAGCTGTGCTCGTCTGTGGGGGTTTGATAGAGACACTTTGTTTTAACTTTGTTCAATATCATTATTTACGCTGATAGGCTGTTGGCGTCGGACAGCATTGTGGTTTCGTATTTTACTTCATCCATCCACTTCCAAGGTTGAGTACTAGACAGTGCTTGTAGATGATTCGAATACTAGAGCAATATATGAGACTTTTTCACAGGATGTCTAAGTGGACATGAGCACGGTATCTCATTTTAAGATTTGTGACGTGGACTATTGTCAAAGTTGACAGATGAAACCCAAGCGGACGACACGTCCAAAAGTCTGGGAAGAGTGGAGACGCCACGCGAGCCGCGAACAGGGATTACCATGGACACAGGGATCGCCTGGGAAGTATACAGTTACAGTCGACACTTCTTCCCCAGTAATGAAACGTTAAAACATCCAGACCAAAATGTGGCTGGTACTAAATTAAAGGGGATCCGTAACACTAAATTAATGAGGTCACTTCCTCTTGCAGGGATTGAACTGATCGTTTCAAAGCCGGGAATAGTATTGGCTTCCTATATCGCCACTCAGACAACCAAAGACCAAACGGCCCCTCAGAGTAAGGGAAAGCTGAGACGGGTTTGTCCTAGGAACACCATCCGATTGGCGACTCTGATGTCAGGAACACTTAGCGTACTTAGCGTACTTAGCGTATGCAAAGTGATCGCCAGCCTAAATCTAGCAGGGGCTGGGAGCAAAAAATTGAGACGCCTTTTCCATTCCAAACCTCCATTCTTCCATTATTCCATACTTCCATTCTTCCATTCCTCACCTTTTAATTCCAAAGCCCTGGATAATAATCCAAACAATAACAATCCGGGGAGACTTAAGGGCCTGTTAGCCGAGATTGACTGGTCACAATCTGTTTGCATCCCCTCGCTTCATTCGCCCCTCCCCCCGGCAAGTCTCGACAACCTCCCTTGGATCTCCCTTGACTCTGGCCCTAGAGACTTCATAGTCTCCACAAGTTCCGCGGACCTGCTTCTGATTGCTTCTCGGCTGCAACATAACTGCATCCCTCACATTGTGCTGCCGGCTGGTCACCCACCCCATCTGATCATCCAATACATTGTCTAGCGACCGCCCAATTGGCGTCAAGTCTCCGAGATTCATTGAATCTTCCGATGCGGCTGGATTGTTGCTGCGGTACCCACTGATTGGCCTGGACGCCGCTGTGCCGTGTCCAATCTGGTGCTTGCTCGGCACGTCAACTATGCACGGTACCTGCAAATTATGTCTGCAGCTATGATGGAAGGGACAACCCAAATGTCCTCGGCTGCTGGACAGCCCACTCCTTCACAATCTCGTCCTTCGCACTCTCGCCCTGCAGTATATCATAGCAAACCTGCACCTTCGAAGCGCATTGTCTCCAAAGATCATTCCCAGTGTTAGTGATGTCTCATTCCGATCCTACTCGTCTGGAGTTGCCACGTAATATCCAAGCTAACCTTCCTCCAGATCCATCTGAACGTCCGCAACACCCATCGCTTTTTCGTGTGAAGGGCCGAGACAATATGTTCACTCCGCCTCGAATGAGTGCCGAGGTGTCGTGGCTGGGAGACCAGTCCCCGGCTCACTCTGGCCCAAGAACCCCTTCTCGCTCATGTGGTATGTCACCATCTTCAGTTTCATATACTCACTAAATCACAGAATGCTGATTATAGGTGATATAGAAACGCCTGAACCTGGCACTCCTACATTGGTGAATCCCGCATCTGCTTTATTGCAGGATCTTCTCAAGGAACAACGCGCGCATCGGAGCTCACGAGGCCCCAGTTCAGAGCAATGGGAAGACGCTCCTCGTACTCCAGAGGGAACTCGAACACAGGACGACACTGGATCGGAAAAGGCGCGAAAGGTAAATGATGTCTTTAATGCTGGCTTGAAAAAGCCAAAAGAGATGGCCATTCGGGAGATGGATCAGGTATGTTTCAAAATTGGAGATCGATGTGCATGGGCTCATCAATTTGCAGTATGTTTCGAAAATGAACAAACTGAATTTCGATTTGAAACTCGAAGTCTTTTATCGCGCCCAACAGATGAGTGTCCTCGAAAAGAAAGTGGAGCGAATAGAGGAGATGGAGGAGGAACTTGCCCGAATGCACGACCTGGAAGCTGAAGTTGAGGAGCTTCGCGCCACCGACAAAGAGAACCAGAAACTGCGAGAATCAAACGAGCAACTCCGCAGCGAGCTTGACAAGCGAGACATAGCAGTTACCGAGGCCGTCGAGCTCATCTGCCAATTGGAATCGAAGATTGATGTGCTGGAAAATGGCGGACGAGGCTCAAGAATGAGCATGTCACGACCAGTGACCGCGGATGGCCCCGCAGTCTCGACACCCAAGGCCCGGACTATGATTGAGATTCCAGAGAGGACCTCGTCGAAACGAAACTCCAGTATGATTAGTCTTCCGAGACGGCAAACTTCATCTGAACTGCGGAAACTTTCGAAAGCACCGTCATTCCTCCGAGCAGGTAACAAGAGCACTGCAACTCTACGGAGCCTCTATGAACCCGAGGAAAACCAATCGCACTCGGTATCGAGTCGACTTACCAAGTCAAACAGCTTCAACACGATGACAGAGCTCGAGCCCGAATCGCCCAGATTGAGTGTTCTCAGTGAATGCAGTGAGCTGGATCCGTTTGGCACACCAACGAGATGGGACCATTTCGATCGGATTGAAATCCCAGTTCGGAAAGCACCTTCAACCACAGGCAGTCTGGATAGCTACGTCGCTCCTGCTGAACGGGAAGAAAGTAAAGAGGGCGAGATTGATCGCTGGATGCAGTCAAGTGAGGATATGTCCCAGACTATCATCACGAGGCGCAGGAACAGGGCATCGTGTGATGCCTCCAAGGCCGCTCTCCCTAGCCTTACAGCAGATCTATACTCTCAGAGGCCTCGCGGACGTGGACGATTGGATGCATCGCTTTTCGGTGGCGTCAGACTTCCTCCTACTCCTGACACCATGAGCACAACATATGCTATCGGCACAAACCGCTCAAACGGCAGCATTGCAGCCCGAAGAAGCCCGCAAGTTGAGCACGATATGTGCTTCCCTGGTAGACGGCTGGATCGTCCACGCTCAGCAGATGAAATGACCGCAAGTCGCCCAAGCTTCGATGGGAGTGAGGTCACCGACAGTATGCAGATCAATTGCAGTGATACCCCACGCCTTAGCCAAATGACTCTTGAATCGCCTACTATTCTGCCCGCCTTCAACACTGTCTCTTCCAAAGCTAGCGAGCTTCTTGGACCTGGAAGCCCTAACAACCCTGGTATTGAAAGCTTCGCAAGTCTACAACGCACGCCGAAGCAAGAATCGACTCCTACAATCAAACGCGTCCGCAGCCCAGTCAAGGCCATGACACCAGAACCCCAGTCAAAGGACGAGGCATCACCACCACTGACACCACAAGACTGGGTCGCAGCCGCAAAGCAAGGTCCACGCTCCCGGAAGGAGAAGCCGCGCGGGACAGGACTCGAAATCCAAGAGACACAGTTATCGCCCGGCAAGGCAACAATAAACCAAGCCGCCTTTAACGACACCAGCAGCATAATCTCAGCCATAAGCAGCGAGCCTGAAGTCCCAGGCATCCCAACGCTAGACATGAACACCCTCGACATCCTCGAACAACCCCTGGAACTCTCCCAAGCCGAATCCCAACCAGAGCCCGAATCCCGTCGACGCCTAAGCTTCCGGCCCCCATTCTTTAGCCGCTCAAGCAACAACGGTCCACGATCCCTTCAAGCATCCCCAATCCCAAATGACCTCGATGAAGACGACGAAGACGGAGCCCCATCACCCATAATCCCTAAAACAAGAAATACGGGCGGTGTATCGCGCAGACCAATGTCTCAAATCCTCATTGATTCAAGTGATGTATACAACAACAAATCGCTACCTTTACCCCGAGACGGACCAACCTACGCCCGACCCCAAACCTTCCGCTCAAATGGCCTCCCACCCTCCTTCACAGAATCAGCACTAAACAGCCACACAACTTCAGCCACGATCTCCGGCCGCCCGTCTACATCCAACGGTCTCGGTCCAGCAACAGAGCACAAACGTCGCAGCTCGCTCGGTATCTTCGGCTGGATGAAGGGGAAAGCCCTCTCTAGTACCGGTACGGATAAAGCGGCTGATACAGCGAAAGAACCACGCACGCTTTCTAGATTGGTTTATGAGAGTGGTGATGGAACTGGAGAGCCTCGTGCCTTGACGCCTGATTCGTTTGATTCACCTACTACTTTTGTAAGGCCGCATTCTGAGATGGAGATTCTCCAGGGGGATTATGGGAGGAGGCCTAGGTATATGGGGCGCAGGGCGAGGAGGGGGTAAGGCTTGTGTGTTGATATTTCATATCGTCTCTGGATATTGTTTGGTTATGCTGCTGGCTTGATTGTTATTTTCTTTATTTTCTGCACGACTTATGCTTTTTATTTTTGTATTATGTGATACCCCAGTTTGTCAATATACCATCGGCAGAAATGGCAGCGGCATGGCTACTTTATATCTCGTTCTTGATTTATGCTTGGTTGTCGATTTTCTTTTCCGTCGTTCTGAATTATGCGGATCATGTTTGGCTATTTTGCATTATTGGGAAGTTCTCAAATGGGGTTTCATATTCATCCTAATGGCGGGATCATATTGAAATGGAATTCATAGTGGTTAATGTTCTGTTTCGTAATGAAATGCCATGGTTACTGTAATTACTGACTTGGTTTATATTGTTCCGGTCGTTTATTTATCGTCTAGTCTCCGTCTATTTGAGCTTATATCTATATTATACCTGTCAGACTTGAAGCCTGGTATGAAATAAGATCTTTTAGGTAACGTATATCAAAAGTTCAATGTCAATTTAGATTTGATCCAGTCAAATTAAGCTCACATGAGAGCCCCCACGTTTGTTTCCTCATTCCACATTAATCCAAACTCCAATGCCTTTTTTTATCGCTTTCCAAAACACCAAAGATATATATGTACAGCAACCAAATATGGCATAGCATGACATAGCATAGTCAGCCCAAAAGCACAAAAGAACCGAACTAATACCATCTATTTCCCTTCTCCCCCAGTTTCTTCTTCTTAGGATTCAACGAAAGAACCCGCTGCCCAGGCAACGTATCAGCAGTAAAAGCAGCCTCAAAAATACTAGCGATACCCCGCTTAGCATAATGTTCAAAAGAATCATAATCTTCATTAGTCCCATTAATAGCCCCCCACTCAATCCCACCAGGTGTAGTCCCATCACCCAGATCCGTCCAGCGCGTCACAACAATAGCTTGCTTGAACCTTCCATCCGTCCGGTCCTCACATAGTTTAACCTCAATCAAATATTCAGTCGGACACTCCGGACACCGCCGCATAGGCCGACAAAACCCACAAAGCGTCGTCAACGCATTCGGATCGAAGATCTGACCGGCTATGCGATCTTTCACGCGGTGCTCGAGACCCTGTAACCCGCCCGTCTGCCGTGCTTTCGGGATGTGGTCTAGTGCACATTTACAGGCGGGCATTAGCTCGCCGTCGCGCCAGTGCGCGCAGGCTGAGAAGTATGGCCAGTAATCTTCGCGGCTGTAGAGGAGCATGCGCATGGCCGACGGGGTTAGGCCTGGCGCGGCGAATGTCTGGCTTGTTACGCGCATTAGGAGGTGGCCGTCGTGGATGTGGAAGCGGGAGGCGTGCGACCAGTTGTCGCGTTGCCAGCGTCGGCCTAGGGTGTCTGGTGTTATGCCGTAGCGGGGGCCGTAGCGGTGGTTGCGCATGGTGAGTTGGACGAAGGTGAAGGGGAGGAGGCGGCCGTGAGTTATGCGATGGCGGGGTGGGGGGTTGCCTGTGTTTCTGGCGTTTGGGCACTTGAACAGCGGGTTTAGGACGTGGGAGGGCTTGAGGCGTTCTGTTCCTTCTTGTGTGCGGCGGTGGTAGATTGCGCAGGGGATGCAGAGGAGGTGGTGGGGGAGGGTGTTGTCGATGCCGGAGAGGAAGGTGAGTTTGTAGTTCAGGTTTGAGGGGTGGTCGAGGCGCATGAAGTGTTTGGGTCCGAGGCGTCGGTATAGGGTTATGCTAGCGATTGCCAGGCTGGCTGCTTCCGCGGGGTTTAGGTATGATGCTATTTCGGCCCATAGCTTTGGAGGGAGGCTGGCTATGTCGCCTTCGCCTGGTGGTCGATGGTCGTTGTATTCGTATGCTGAGCCGGTGTTACCGTTCATATCGAGTGTTCCCAGGGAATGGATAATCTCGGTGTAATCTTGTCGCTCGCCCAATTGGGTATCCACTTGAGCGTGCAATTCCCTGTATTTGAGTCTGTGGGCATGCAATGGCGCCAATTCTGGCATCGGAGGTGCTTCATCGACACTGGAGCGTGCGGCCAGCCGCAGGTCTGTTGTCGATCTGCTGCCCTTGCGGAGAGTTTGACGCGATTTCTTGGGACGCAAGGCATTGTTGAAGAAGGCCTTGAAGCCATGCTTCTGCCCAGGACTTTCTGCCGACATGCCGGAGGTGTTGTGAAGAAGTGCAAATGGCGCGGAGTTCTAGATCAAGAATATCAGGGTCTAATGTTTCGGAAGATGGTGACGTGCGCTGCACACGGCCCGCCCGGTCCGGCCAAGCCACACTGTGGCTGAAGCTTGATACTTGCACTTTCTAGGAGATACGGATCAAGCGGATGAAAGGATTATGTGTGAATGATCAATTGTGGGTAATATTGGAAGACACATGCTACAATACAGAGGTAATTAAGTTCATTTATTATAGCATCCCAGAGATGGTGCTTAAGAGAAGCGCTTCTCAACGGCCTTCCAGTTGATGATGTCCCAGATGGCAGAGAAGTACTCAGCCTTGCGGTTCTGGTACTGGAGGCTAAGGTTCTTGTTAGTATATGTTGATTTATCGTCAGGAAAAGGTATCTTACTAGTAAGCGTGCTCCCAAGCGTCAATGCCGAGGAGGGGCTCGAACTGGCCGACGACGGGGTCCTGGTTCTATAAGATGGTTAGTAACTTGAAGCTTGACATCAGATCATAGACAGCTTACGGCATAGGTGCGGATGGAGATCTGGCCAGTCTGCTTGTCCTTGACGAGCCAAGCCCAGCCACTGCCCTGGATGCCGGCCAGAGCGGCGTTCATCTTGCTCTGGAACTCACCAAGGCCACCGTAGGTGGTGTCAATGGCCTTAGAGAGAGCACCAGATGGGGGCTCACCACCGCCGGCGTTCTTGGGGGCCAAGTTCTCCCAGAAGAGAGTGTGGTTAAGGTGACCGCCGCCGTTGAAGTTGATGGCGGGCTTCAGAGCAATCTGAGCGGCGATGTTGCCCTGGTGCTGGGCCTCCTCGAGCTGCACTACGGCATTGTTGTAGTTGGTCACATAGGTGTTGTGGTGGTTCTTGTGGTGCAGCTCCATGATCTTGCCGGAGATGGAGGGCTCAAGGGCGCCATAGTCGTCTTCTTGGGTTAGTTGACTGACATACATGAGAGGCCAAAGTGAGGTGCTTTCTAAACTTCACCTGGCACTGATATACTCAACTTACAGGAGAGGTCGGGGAGAGTGGCCTTGCCGCGGGCAAAGGTCAGGCCCGCAGCTCCGGCCTTGGAGGTAGCCGAAGCTCCCGAGCGGAGGGCAACGCGGGCAGTGTTGCTGAAGAGAGTAGCAGCCATTGTGAAGTTATGTGGTGAATGCGATTTTATGAAAGGAACTAAGAAAAGGGATGTCAATGGTAGCGGAATGGGTAAGAAAAAAGGTGAGTGGACAAGCCGAGCTATGAAGTAACCGACCTTAACGTCATCTTGTTTTCGTCCATTCGGCGACCGGTTATTCCGCTCCGGATATCCACGTGAATTTCATGAGCTTCGATTCTTGTCTTTCTAGGGCATTACTTGCTTAATCCGACGCGGTCATTTGATACAGGAGGGGACAGTCATCTTGGCTCAGATCTGCCAATGACCCCCTGAAAATATGGACTCGCCTTCATACGCCGGCCAAAAGCGCAAAGTCGTCGATGTCGACATGAGCTCGGAAGACGATGCGCCCCCGACCAACGGCTTCAAGGGATTCGCCAGAGCCGCCTCCCGATCCGAGTCACCCCCATCGATGGGTGGACTAGGCAGTGGCAATCGCAACCCCCGCAGCAACATGGCCAACGCCCGAGGCGGGGGAGCGTCGCGGGGAGGGAGAGGAGGCATGGGAGGAGGTGGAAGCTCTTTCGCTGCGCGCATGATGGCAAAGATGGGCTACAAGGAGGGACAAGGTCTCGGAACCACTGGACAGGGTATTGTCAACCCGATCGAAGTACAAGCGCGCCCGCAGGGCGCAGGTTTGGGTGCAGTCAGCGAGAAGTCGAAAAAGACCCGCGAGGAAGAGCGACGAGCGGCCGCTCAGAGGGGCGATGTCCTTGAAGACAGCTCCGAAGATGAGCGCCAACGACGAAGGAAGAAGAAGGAAGAGCGCAAGACACCAAGCCGTAGTGGCACAGGCACACCGGTCCAGCGGGCCAAGCTTAAGTTCCGGACAGCGCGCGAGATAGAGGATGATATGGAAGGACTAGAGGTGCCCAATGTTCTCAAATCGCTCGTCGATGCTACCGGCAAGGAACAGCGCGTTATCACTTCCACCGCTGGCTTGATGTCAAGGCAAGAATTCGTCAGCCAGGAGGAAGGAGAAGCGTTGAAGATTGCCCGGAGAGCTCGGAATGATCTGGAAGCATTTGCAGACGAATGGAAGGGACTGACAGAGAGGAAAAAGTTTATTGAACTCGAAGAGGCTCAGGTCGTGGACGATCTGGATGCATATCAATCCCGGGTGGACCATCTTACGGGCCTAATCGCTGCAGTGGAAGAGCTGGACCTTTTCGAAAACGAAGAAAGCGTTGCAGCCAAGTTTGATGAGATGACCGTCAAACTTGAAGCCATGGAACTCACATACCGAGATGCCATTGATGAACACCGCCTGCCAGAGACTGCAGTTGCAGCTCTACATCCGCTATTCCGCCAGGCAATGGAGGAGTGGGAGCCTCTTGAGGATCCTACTTTCCTCGTATCCAATCTCACCCGTCTTCAGCCTCTTCTATCTCGCCAACAGAACAACGAAGAGCCGCGAAAACGGTCATCCACGTCCCCTTACGAAACAATGATCTATACCCTCTGGCTCCCACGAGTGCGCTCAGCACTTCTGAATGACTGGGATGTCTACGACCCATCGAAGGCAACCGCGCTGGTCGTGGCCTGGAAAGCGATCGTGCCTCCATTTGTCTATGCGAATGTTCTCGACCAATTGGTCGTTCCCAAGCTGGGTGTTGCCCTTAAGAACTGGAGACCCCGCAGTAGCCGACGACATGGCGCTTCCCAGCAAGACGGAAAGTTCCCGTGGTGGCTTTTCACATGGCTGCAGCACTTGAGTGACAGACATACCAACCCAAAACAGCCCACGGGCCTCATGTCTGACGCAAAGAGAAAGTTCCGCGTGGTGTTGGACACATGGAGTCTGCGCAAGGGACTAATTGACGGCATCGAGCTTTGGCGGGATGCGCTAGGGTCTGAATTCGACGTATGCCTACGCAATCACCTGCTACCACGCCTTGCTCGTCATCTCCGCGACGACTTTACCGTGAACCCCCAGGACCAAGAACTCATAGTCCTCGAAGATGTACTACGCTGGAAGCCATTCTTCCAGCCAAATGTGATGGGACTGCTACTGGTCTCCGACTTCTTCCCGAAGTGGCACGAAATTCTCTACATTTGGCTCACCAACGACCCCAACTACGAGGAAGTCGGTGCTTGGTTCTCCTGGTGGCGCACCCAGATCCCAGCAGAAGTCAACGAACTCACCATTGTGGACGAAGAATGGAAGAAAGGTCTACAAACCATGGACCTTGCTTCCCAGCTGGGAGACCGCGCGGGTGCAGAACTTCCTCGCCCTACCACTACACAGACCAAGCTTCCAAGTCGGGAAGATAAGGTGGCAGAAGCCGCGGCAGCAGCCGCTGCGGCTCCCGCTGAACCTCGCAAAGCCCCCGTTGTGGAGGAGGTCGCCTTCAAGGATATCCTTGAGAACTGGTGTTTGGAGCAAGGACTCATCATGCTGCCTTTGCGCGAGGCTCACCCCCAGAATGGCCAGCCGCTGTTCCGTATCACGGCGAGTGCGACGGGCAAAGGTGGAGTTGTGGCATTTGTACAGGGTGATGTGGTTTGGGTGCAGAATAAGAAAGCTAAGGAGATCTGGGAACCAATGGGGCTGGAGGATCAATTGGTGGATCGTGCGGAAGGCCGATAGACAGATCATCGAGTACAGTGGAGTGCCTTTGGGGCTATGGATCCTTCGGACAGTCTCGATACCCAACTTTTGTTTCATCCTATCTAGTACAGTTGTGCTCCTGGTTGGATTTCATGACCTGATCCAGCAGTATAGCCTTGGAGTTTCAAATAGTTACTGTCATAATAAACATACTGTCTTTACGGCGTAAAAGCCCTCTTTTCGTCCGCCTTACTCTTGTCGGTCCCAATTTCAGCCGCGTGCAAGGAATCTGATTGTCGTGCGTCATTCTCAAATGTCGAGCAATCGAGCATTGCCCGATGACTTAATATAGCACAATGGTTTACTCCACTTGATCCTACCACGAGCCTGTGCCCTAATATCTCGCTCATCCAAACCAGAAGACTCAACCATAACCCTAACCCGTTCTCATACATCGTACTTTACTGGAAAATAAACCACACCCAAGTCAATAGATAAACATCTCACCTTGAGCCTTATAAGAAAACAAGGACTGACCCAACCCACCCACGCGTGATCGACATTCCCATGAAACCAAAAGGCAACCCCAATCGTATCAGACCAAACAGTGATACATGGAAACCCCACAGCCAGTGATAAACATCTAATGTTTCTCTTTTCATCTCGCACCCGGGTCCGTATGATTCAGCAGTACGCCTGACTCCACGTTTACGGCCCCTCGTTGTGATATCACCGGGGGCCCTATACGCGCATGTAGGGTGTCATTGGCCCACTGCAGTAGCAAACCTACAGCATTGTGTTTACGACTGGATGAGTTGACGGCTTATGTGCTGCTCAGCCTTCCATTTCCGCGTTTTTAGGGAAATAAGAACGGGCGCTGAGGCTCAATTGCATTTATTGATTGCGTTTCAAAGGCTATATTTGGAACAGGTGTTATGGATATATGATATTTAAGGGGACTCAAGTCTATATTATATTTGCAGACCCAAATCCCTCATTTCAAACAAGTCTCTCAATCTCCAAGCTATTGTATACCTACCAAATAACCAACCATCAAAATGCACACCAAAATCCTCACCACACTTCTCCTCTCCTCAATGGCCCTAGCAGCCGACACGAGCGTCTCAAGCTCACCATCCTCAATCGAATCCGACTCTGCTGCCCCCAGCAGCATAATGCAAACAACCGTCAGTTCGGTTGTTAGCGCCACTTCCCTCCCCGGCTCATCCTCGGGTGTGCATACATCGCCCACCGTAACTATGACTACCTCTGCCGAGGAAAGCGGGAGTGGATCTTCGTCTAGCTCTGCTGCAGAGTCTACTAGCACCGACTCTAACTCCAATTCGGGCTCGGACTCTACCCCAACTTCTAGCTCCAGTGCTAGTACTACGGCTTCGCCTTCGACCAGTACTGGTGCTGCTGCTGCTCCTACCGGGGCTGGGATGAGTCTTGCGGGTGCTGCTGGTATTCTGGGACTTGTTGTTGTTCTGTAGATGGAAGGGTTGATGCCTGAGGATGTCTTTGTTCCTGTTTGGGATATTGTTTGGGATATGGCCTTGTCTTCTCTCATTTGATTTGGTTTGATTACCTTTGTACTGTAGGTATAAGTTAAGTGTGCAGGTTCAATTGACAACCTGAGAGCTGTGGGGAAACCTCAGTGTTTGCTAGACCGATCGGAGTTAATAAATACGGGCAATTCGGACTCGGAATATTGCTCCAATGGGCATAGCCCGACAATGCTATTAAAGGAGAGATCCCAAGCAACTAAAGAGCCATCCGGCTAAACTAAAAAAGAACTAGAAACGCCTCCATCTGAGCCTTACAAATCTGACCAATCAGCGCCTCCATAACGTACCGTATCGGGAAATAAGATCCAGCCAATCGCAGGGTAGGTAAAGGTCAGCACCACCTCAGTCACCAATGGCAGTCGCTGCATTGGAGGTTTCTCAGCACAAAACACCCTAACTGCGTGGCCTGCAGCTCCTAGACCTCCAACACTGCGTTTGCTGACCTTTGTTTGGAATGTGATTGGCTCCGAGACATCCCCTTGACGAATGCATCTCCAATTTTCTTGGGTTGGCTTGCACTAAGTGGACTTTTGCTGTGCTTTTTTTCTTCTTTGGCGGCAGTTGCTGAGACCGGTGAGAGCACTGTGGCACTGAGAAAGCGTGTTAAAAGGGGGGTTATGGCCGATCATTGTAGATGCTTTTTTTACTTTCCATCTTCATAGTTCTTTGATACCTTCGTCATCCGCCTTCCTCGGACTCCGGATTTCGGTCTTATTCTTTTGGAATATCCCGATTGTCCTGAGCTTATCTACTTGAGACTATCCTCAGTCGTTGCCTGTTTCATACCTCTTACTCCAGTAATTGGCATTTCTCTGCCCTGACGTCAGTTACGCCGCTTGCCACTGAGGTTTGTACCTTAAGAGCTTGCAGGGTATCGCGGAAGCAACCCACCGGAGTATCTAGATCAGATTTTGGGCACTCAAAAAGCTGCAAATCGACGTGACATATCGCGAAAACAAAACAAAACAAAACAAAACATGGCGTTCCTCTTCATAAAGCAGAAGCTCTTCTCAACACGGGAATCAGACAAGCTACCCGCAGGTAAGCAAAGAAGAACATGGGACATAGTTCCAGGGAAGATGCTAACATGATTTCCAGGGAAACAACGCCTTCTAGCTCGCATCGACGACGATGAGACCATCCGTGGCGACTCTGACCAAGACCTCGAAGCTCAGAGCTGTCGATCCTATAACACATTCGGCAACGCCAGCCAGGACGAGTCCACAACCAGCGGCAGCAGCACTCGCTCAAGAATTAACCCGCGCATCGTCTCGGATGCCATCCTCGGTCTCTCAGATGGACTCACAGTACCCTTCGCCCTGAGCGCTGGTCTTTCGGCTTTGGGAAACACAAAAGTTGTTGTTCTGGGTGGACTGGCCGAGCTAGCAGCTGGAGCCATCTCCATGGGATTAGGAGGATATGTCGGCGCCAAGAGTGAAGCGTAAGTTGTCATCCATATATCAATCCAACTCCAAAGAAGAAAGACTAAAAAAATGCTCAGTGAATCATACGAAACAACCGTCCGCGAAACACAACAATTAATCGAGAACGACCCGCAAGAAACTAGCTCTATGGTCCGCGAGACTTTCGCCCCATACGGTCTCTCAGACATAGCTATCGAGGATATCACACGCGACCTGCATGCCTCGCAAGACCGACTCCGCGAGTTCCTGCTTACATTCCACCACCGCGAGACAGAGCCCGACTGCAACCAAGCCTGGACCTCGGCCATCACACTTGCACTGGGTTATTTCATTGGCGGGTTCATTCCTCTCATTCCGTACTTTATCGTCTCGCAGGTTATGGTTGCCTTGTACTGGAGTATCGGTGTGATGGCCATTACCCTGCTGGTGTTTGGATATGTCAAGACCTGCGTTGTGCGCGGTTGGTCTGGGCGTGATAATGTTCTCGCTGGTGTACGGGGTGGAGTTCAGATGTGTTGCGTTGGTGGTGTTGCTGCCGGTGCGGCGATTGGGTTGGTGCGGTTGATTGATACGGGCAGTCCTTGATTCGGTAGTAGCTGTTCTGCGATGCATATGTGGAGTTTTGCTTTCTGGTTTCATCTCTGCTCTGGGCGTTTAAGGGGGAAAGCTATAGAAGCTGCACGATACTCAGGGCCATATCTCGTACTCATACTCATACTTATCTCGCATAACGACAAATCTAATGATTCTCAATTTCTCAATACAAGACTATAATAGATTCCGTCCATGCTTGGATATATAAAAATTACATAAAATCAACCTTTGAAAATGGATATCACCCCTGCAAAGCAATTCCAACCAACCGCACCGCATTATCTGACAAAGAAATCTTCAACGCCTCCTCCCTCCCACGCTCAGACATCTTCCCCCAAGTCTTTCTCAAAATATCTACCATCTTCCCCTCATCCCCAAGCTCCCTCTCAAACCGATCAAACTGATCATCCAAGAAAACCAAACAAGCAACATCCTCCAAGGTCTGCGTATCCGTATCACCTTTCTTCAAGTCCGCCTTCTTAACCATCTCCCCGACCCTCCCGGCCTCCTCAGCCGAATACCCGCTCTCGAGACAAATATTCTCAACAATCTCCGCTTGCCGACGCTGTAAACCCGCACGCCAGGAGTGGTAGCCGATTTTCGTGGCGGGGTAGCTGTCCCGCGGTACTTCCCAGCGGCGTAGGTGTTGTGCGCGGATTGCGAGGCGAAGGAGCTCGCCAGCGTCTGGGTTTAGGGTTTCGAGGTAATTTGTCATTTTTTGCGCGTAGTGTAGTTCGTAGGGCATAGGGCCGTCTGGGGTTTCGTGTTGGCGGGGGTCTTGGGAGTGCGCAGCGTCGATGCGTGCGAGGGCTGTTTCGTATTTGGACATTTTGGGTGGGTTATATGGGTGTGTATGCAATATTGGGTTTGAATTACACGGCTTTTTGTCGATTTAGAGACAATTAGGTGCACGTTTGGTTATGTCCGGAGTTGTTGCGGTTGTTAGCTTTCGATAAGATTATGCCGCTAGATCGAATTTGGTTTAGTTTGAGTGGTAACTGGGTGGTTCTGATTGGGCGAACCATACAACAATGTACAGTACTTTGGGGTTACTATGAGATGAGATGGCTCTCAGTTTATTAACTACACTTGAGAAGGAAATATATCTTAATCAAATTAGACTGACACCAAAAACAATGGTGCGTAATCTCTACAATCTATCTATTGGACACGTTATTCCACACTTTGCACAATCCGCAAAGGAAATCACCTAGATAACATAAGTGGCCTGCTGAGATTAGCCTGCGAGGAACTGTTCAAGTCGAGCCCCAGCACTGTCGTAATTACAACAAGTAACCGAAACAAAATTACAATCACGCCTGACTCTTCGGGAAAGCAAACAACTCCTGCGATCCACCCGAACTAGGCGTCTCCACCTCATAAGTCCTCCCTTTATCCTTATCCTCAAAGATGCGAGCAACCTCTTCCAAAGACAATCCCTTTGTCTCAGGGAAGAACAAGTAGAAAAGCACGAGGAAGACCATCAAACATCCCAGATAAACAATAAAGTACCTCCAGTGGAGCGCCGCAAAAGCCACGGGGTTCATGAATTGGTTAATAAAGCAAGCCAAGGAGTCAGTTGTCAACGTGACAGCAAGACCCTTGGCACGTAGTTGGAAAGGTAGGATCTCCGCCGGATAGGCGATGAACAAGGGCATATACGCCATGTCGTAGCCTGCACAGAAAAGGAATAGCATGGGCACGACAGCGATTCCAGCTTCCAGTACGCCGAGCTCTGAGAAAAGTCCTGACATGGTCGTTGCAGCGGCGAGATAGATCAGCATCAGGGTTGTAGCGATTAGCCATAATTTTCGTCGTCCGTAGCGGTCTGCCGCCATTGCTCCGCCGACAGCAAACATCAAGTTCCATACTTGCATGCTGATATTAATGGCGGCTTGGTGAGATGCGTTATAAATACCCACCGATTGTAGGATGGGTGCTAGATAGTAGGAAACAACGCCTGTATAGAGATGGGTTAGCAACGTGATTTTGAACGAAGGCTGGGGTAGGGGCATCTCTTACCATTTCCAGCCCACTCCTGCATGAAACCCAGCAACACACAGATAGCCAACCGATGCATATCACCGCGAGTCTTGAAGAAAGAGCTCCACCGCCGCGAATCTACATCCGCTTCGGCATTGATGCTCTTGCAAATCTGATAAAACTCATCCACAACCAATTCGTCAGTCTCATCACCATTCGAATGATATTTCGCCAAAATAGCCATTCCCTCCTCCTTCCTGTCCCTCGAGACCAACCACCTTGGACTTTCAGGAACAAACAACAATCCAATAATTTGGAAAATCGGATAAAAGATCTGCAGCAAGCAGGGGAGCTTCCACGACCAACTGCCCGCAACCCACAACCCGGCAAACCCAATCGAAGCCGACGTTATCGATCCAATGAACCACAGCGCATTGTATAGACCCGTGAAAGCCTGCCGTTGGCGTGGATGCGCGGATTCCGTGATGAGCAGTGGAGCTGCAGTTTGTGATATTCCGACGCCTATTCCCGCCAGGACTCGTGCCCCGAAGAAGATCCAGTGGTTTTGGGTGGTGACTTGGATTATTCCGGCGATTATCACTAGGGTTGAGCCGATAGCAACGCAGATCCGTCGGCCTAGATTGTCGGCAATATATGAGCCTGGGATGAAGGAGAGAAATGACCCCAGCGAGACAGCTGCGATGATGAGACCTCTTGTATTTGTCTCGAGGCCGCCGAGGAATTTGTTGACTATCGAAAGGAATCAGTTAGCATTCTTTTTGTTCACGTGTTTTGGTACATAGGTTGCATCGTACATTCGGGAAGAACAAGAAGTCCATTGATCATGCTAGCACAATATCCAGAAGTAGCCGAAGCAGATAGCATAAACCCAATACCGAGGTTCAACTTCCGCAAACCACGATCTTTGATCCAGTTCTTGTTGGTATTGTTCTGCAGAACCACCTTTGGTCCCGAAGTGAGTGGCATAATTTCGACAGAGCAACAGAAATCTCAATAAAGAAAAAGCTCCGAAACCCGTACTACTGGAGCTGTCAAGCTCGTTTTATTTAAAGGCTAAAGACTAATTGACAAAAAAACCTCCGAATAGTAATCCGCCTCTACATTCCTGCCATTTAGCTAGGACTTGATCTCTCCGAGTAGGGTTACAGCTAACTAAGGAGGTGGAATGTAGGGAGGAAAGTCAAATGATCGGATCACCGGACAATTCTTCTTCGTTTGCTCTGATCCAAGAGCTTTGCTGGATACACGCTTGTCAAGCATGCCTGCTAACGCGTGGTGATTGGAAGGGAGAGCTTCCAAGGATTTGAGAAGCTCGGTGCTTCAAGAATGTTCATAGCTCCCTCCTCACCTTCGTCCGCGGGGATCTTTTCCACAGTTGCCTAAATCTAGCTTAATCACTCGGAAGAAGAGAGGCTGTATGGATGCCCTTGATTTGTTCGATTAGCAATAGATCGACTTCGTAGAGACCTTGTCTCTGGGGAAACGCTGTAAGGAAGAGTAGTCCCCACGGAGCAAACGATTTTTCTTGCTTTGCTACCTGTTTTGTTTAATCAACTCGGTATAGCTCTGTCTGTGCAACGTCATCTGTTATTTCAGAAAGCCAGTTTTGGGTGACTCGTGAAATCGAGACGCGATAACGTGGAATGATGCCGTTGGGCTTCTGACGCGCTTAGCCCTACGCCAATCGGAAACTTACTTATTTTCCGCGCTGGTTACTGTATTCCCCCCTTCTTTTATTGGGAGAGGTCATAGCAGATTTGGGTTGAATAGATTTTCCTGGGATGCAAATATGACGATTGGCATGATTTCATTTGATCTCGAGAACTTGTCCAGACTGGAGAAGATCTGGAGATCTCTATAAAAATTGACGTGTACCCAGACCTTGGAATTCTCGATTGTCCCTGTTTCAGTGTGTCACATAATCATTCTCAGGCAGCAGTAAGACGTATGAACTCATATTAACTTAGCGCTGCTGGGCGGTATGTTGCATCGGAACTGCAAATTAGGGCTTCCCGGAGACCTGGGGCTCCAGTGCTGCCGTGAGTGATGATTAAGTGTACGTTTAAGGCCTTACCTAGAGAGGTTCACGTATATCTACTTTCGCTCACTGTGGAATCTGTTTTAATACATTCCTGCCTTGGACATTAGTGTTGGGTAACGGGCCATGGACCGTATTTTAATTGAATAAAATAGAGGCGTTTATATATTTACAACATGTACGGGTCATACGGTTTGCTGCTAGCAGATTTTCCTCTTCAGATTCTGCATGAATTAAAAACTCGGCAAAAAGCAGATGAAAAAGTAGAATAGAGGAGGAGCGAAAGTCTTGCGTTGAGACACGTGTATTGGCATGGAGGCTATCTAAATCCTCCAAAGAGGCATTGGGTAACCATAAAGATGTTGATATCGATCGCAGTCCATTCTCAAAAGATCGGCCGGCTCGTGTAGAGGAGCGGGCCGACTACGCCCTTGAGCCACTACTGAAGTTAAGGAAACAAATTTCCGACGGTCTCAGATATATATTCAACCTAATATAACCAGTTTCACATGTGAGGAGAAAAATTAAATCTGGTACATGGAGCGATATAAATCCAAATCAGGCGTCCCTCTTCTTAGTCGTCGCAAACATCCCATATGGCTTCACACTGAAAGCACCGTTGAAATTCTTTCCCTCGATATCAAGCGAATACCCCTTATCCGCCAACTCAAAATCAACTCTCTGAATAATACCGATGAGCGTGTGCAGTGACCACTCCCAAGCATAATTCTTGCCGTAACAAACACGTTTGCCGTTTCCGAAACCCTTCTTTACTCCAATGGGAAGTCGGTCGTATGCCTCACCAAGCATGCGCTCAGGCTTGAAGGCATTAGGGTTTTCAAAGACAGCAGGGTCTCGATTGACAGCAGACAAAATCGCGAGCACTGATTGACCCTTAGGCAATTCGTACTCTCCCCCTCCGAGTAGAACGGGTCCTTCAATAGACGGCAATGACTCGATATTGAGACCTGGGGCCGTGGCGCAGAGACGTAATGTTTCTCGGAGAACGGCCTCGCAGTAGGGTAATTGGGAGAGATGAGAATGCTCGAGTTGGCCGGTGGGACCGATTAGAGCATCTATCTCCTTTCGAGCACGGAGCATTGTGTCCGAGTTCTTGGCTAGGTAGTACAGAGCGAAACTGACTAGATTCGGACAAGTGGCACTGCCGATGAAAATGTTGATAATCTCGTCGATAATCCTGTCGTCTGGGAGGGATTCCCCGGTCTGTGGATCTTTTCCGTTGAGCATGGCATGAAGCAGATCATTCCTTTCGATTGGATTGTTGCGTCGATTGGCAATAATTTGGGCACAGTAGTCACGAGAAACCTTGATATCCCTGTCGAATGTCTTTTGGTACAAGAGCCAGGTAAGAGGTTTGGGGCGTGTGGGCCGGCGAACGGCTTCAAAAGTTGTGTCGGACATGGCTTTGATGGCTGCGGGCTCGGCGCCTAAGACACAGTCCACACGCTGGCTGAAGAAACATTGTGCGTTGGCCGCATGGTTGAGTCGGTCCAGGTCATTGGTGACATCGACGTGCTTTCGTGTACCGTCAGTCGAAGTCCATTTCTGAATCAAGTCGTCCAGTGTAACTGATATATCGTTGTGCATTTCCTTCACAGCTTCAGGTAAGACAAAAGGGGCCATAATGCGATGTGCGACACCCCAGCTTTCCTCTGTGGCATACGCGGTGAACAGACTATCGTGTGCAAGATGGCGGATCTCGACCATAGCTCCGGTGATGCATTTCTGAAAGCGCCTCTCGTCGCAGACTTCCTCGAGGAGGGCCGCGCTTGTAATGAAAACGAGTTGCCTGCCGAGAACCGTGATCTTGAATATACCTTTGCTACCATGTTCGGCGGCTAACTTATTGAGAGAAGCCCAAACATTATTGGTATCCATGTCAAAAAGATTTCCAACAAGGGGAAGCCCCCGAGGCTGAGGAATTGGTGAAGGCATCGTGTGTGTACACGTAAATGGGGTGGGAAATGGGCCATGAAACAGTGCATGCACTTTTATATATCCCCCGTCACAGATATGCTGTGCACGAGCCATTACATGGGCACTCGGTGAACCCCTCAACCCGCATGATCATCAATAGTAGTTCTCTGAGTGGCTTGTGGGCTGTGTGACGCTATATTAGCTTCAGCGTTGCCGTGGCGGGCTAGGAAATCTTTCTTTGACATTTTAGCATCCAATAATAGTTGCCTGAATCTATGTTAGCAAATACCAGCAAGAACCCTGATGATTTTGATTTGAGTGGAACCTGCAACAATTCACAAGACGTGCGGCTGACCGAACCAAGGTACCCGCCACCACGCGTAATTATGCATGGTACTTTTGTACCTTTGCACATTCCAAGTTGTTTTCTGAGTATTTGGTCATGTTGCCGGAACAGCAGAAGGGTAGGACTTATTTATAGAATAGGAAGGCCGTGACCGGTAAATAAATCTGCTGTTAGTAAATAACTGCTCGAACTTGTGAAAATGCCTGCGTGATTCTGTCGGCTGCAATAGCCCTAATTCTGCGGGGTTATCTACTTACTGCACTTCATATTGCAGGTGGCTGCATTGGCCAGGCTACGCACTCTCTCTCTCTCGGATTTTCAGAGACTATATGGCTCAGTTTAAAACTTGGCTGCAGGATCAGGTTGCTCTGCAATATTTGGCAACCGAGACTTAACAATAGGACGCTGGCGCACGTTTGGCAAGACGAGATCGTTCTTCTACCAAAGAGAAATGAGAAAAAGGCAGGTTAATCCAGAAGGTCTACCGCCACGAAGCCGACGACTGAGCAAATCCTCCCCCGATGAGGGGGCCCGCGACTGTTTCCAGAGCCCAAGTCCCTGGGCGGATGCTGAACCACTTTCCTCGTTCTTTGAGAGGGATGAGGTCTGCAAGAAGCACTTCGGTCAGAGCCATGATGCCACCTGCGCCAATACCCTGAATCGATCGGCCGACCAGCATTTGATGGGATACATGAGAAGAGTGGCCGTGATAGATCCGACTGTGAAGGCGAGGACGGCTATACAGAGAGCGAGCTTGCGTTCGAAGATGTCGGATTATAGAGAGGATAGTGGTTGACATACACAGGATGTCAGAAAGAATGCTTTTCCTTCCCAGAAGGCTCCTGTAGCTGTTCCGCCAATATCATCGGATGTGATCTAGTTAGGGCATGTTAGTATCAGAAAGACACCTAAGAGGGTAAAATACTCTCTGGAAGTGAAACCGATATAGACGTAGCATCCAAAGCGGCCACAAAGTTCAGCAATCCAACCACACCAAAGATACACTTGAGCTTCCCGTTTGAACGGAATATATCCCAACCATCCTGTCCGTCTACAATCGCGATCTTTTACGAGGGCGCCACTTGAAAGAGATGCCTGATTGACCACAGCTTATAGCTTATACAACCCGGGAACAAACAAGCACTTATACATCACCCAAATAGAGCATTTAGCTCTGGTCGCGTATACTTCCAAGACACGAAGGTTAGGGTTGATCACCCATCATTCCCTCAGCGGCAGATGGAACATCTTGGGTCATGTTGTCCATGAACAGCCTGAGCTACGTGCGGCTTGGTAGCAATTCTGACCTCTATATGTGTGCGGTGTCAAGAGGGATCAAAACTTGGTTCGGCTTGAGCGTTGAGGTCTGTACACATGGCTAGAGATGGCTGTCAGCCCAGCCTAGAGAAGTAAAGTAAGTAAATCAGCCCGAAGTAACTTCGTATTGCTCTGTGGCGTTTCTATGCTACACTAGCTTCGGGCAAAGCCGCTCGACTTTTCGATGTCTTGAATCAGTATGGCACCTGATATATTTGGCAGCTGAATTATTTGAGTGTCAATACCGCTGGAAGCGAAAAGAAGAAAAGAATAAGGCGCGTATTGGACTGACTGTGTTCTGGTGCATGCCACGTTTCGAGGCATCCCAACTTTTTCGGAAACCCGTCGGGCTCAACACTATCAATCAGCCATAGAATCCACGGCAAACAAAGAGCGCGAGGTACCGATCTCGAGTAATTTCCCAAGCTCATAATCCAATATAATCAATCTGCAATTTCCAAATGCCGAGAATCCCAAGGCCATCCACCTTAGCCTACACAAAGCCAGCTCACAAGCTCACCACCAAGCCAAATCGAGCCAAATCGAGTCCAAGATCAACCCACGTCTAATCACAGCTGATGCTTACGCAGACACCCCAAGGTATATGAGATGTGAGATATGAGAGCATCAAAAACCGGGTAAATAAATAGTTAGCGCCCAATCGGCGCGGCTGCAGTAGCCCCCGATATACAGCCAATCGGTGCTAGTCGCAAAACAGCACCGAATTTCTACTGTTGGCATCGCGTATTGGAAGAGGGTTAGAAGTGGATGCATGCGGCAGTGTTTGATTGGGTGCTTGCTGGGTGTTTGATTTGAGGCCGTCGGAAGGTTGGTGTGTGTAGGCGCTGGGCTGGCATTTTTGGCTGTGGCTGGCGGAGGATTGGGCTTGAGCTTGCTTTTTGTTTTGTGATGTCGGCGTCGCCGAAGGTATCAGCTACCAAGCCTTTTTCCCCCTTGGTTCTTTTCTCGTTTCTTTGTTTTGGCATATGCTGGGGGTGTGGGTGGTTGAGGCAGGGATCTGGGCCTGAAAGTCGGGGTTCTTGAATGGGTAAGAATTATGTGGTGTTTCGATGTCGGGTTTTATAGCCAGGCTCTTCTGTTTCTTGCCTATTTTGAGTTTGTGGAATTTCGATTGGTAGTTGGGAACTGGAGAACGTCGATATGACATTGTGCTCTCAAATTACTCCGCAGTATTTGCAGTACTACCTACATACACTCTTTGGGGTAAATTCTACATCTACCGCGTATATAACAGTTTAAGTCATCTATTGGATCAATTGACCAGCTCTTCAGATGGACTTGTCTCGACATCGCAGAATTAGATCTCCACGCTGTCAAGACAAAGGCCCTGAAGATATAAACGAATAAAAACATCAGGGAGTGGCATTTAGCACTCCCAGGGATCATTGGCGAACACAGCAGTCCATCCAGTATGTCAGGAGAACAGGGTAAAAGAATCAAGAAACAAGCAAGCATAATACAACACCGTTTGCGGGAAAGAAACAACCAACCATTACAACAGTGGACATTTCGAATAGCTGTGCGCGAGAAAAAAGAATAGAAGTACGAGGTGAAAAGAAACAGACCGTGCAACATAAAGCAATTGATCGTATCCATATTGGATAACTTTGTTTCCCACCCTGCCAAAAACGCCGATTGATGAAAGCCGGGTATATCCAGCACCGTGATGCAACATGTACTGAGAAGTAAAAAAAACAAGGGAAAAAAGAATCAAAAGGGGAAACAACGTAGGCTTCAAGAACCCATGCCCTGCATGACAGCAAGACACGGCTCGAGCCATCGCCCCCCAGGTTAATATGGGCAAATGGGGTTTTCATCGTATGGGGGAAAGAAAAGAAACAGAAACAGAAACTGCTTTTGAATGACCCGAAAAGACCATATTGCAAATCATCATCTGGCCCCGATGCCAAACATGCCTACCCCATAGCTACCACCGCTAGACATTGGGGTCGACACCTTGGCGACATGGTCCTAATTGACGTGGTTAGGTTGGGCGTTGGACCACATTTGATTCTTAGGTCCATACCTTCTTGCGTTTCTTCTTCCCAGTTCCCTCGCCGTTCGAGTAGAATCCGGGGTCCTCTTCATCATCCACAAAGCCTTCACCATAACCGGCAAAACTGTTATCATCGTAATGCCTCTTGCGACCTCTGCTGGGCCGAGGCCGGTCTATTTCTTGTGGTTGTGTTTGTGGAGATGCGGCATTGGATTGCATAGAGGGACGGTTGCTTGGGGTTGAGGCAGCCTTCTTGCTGTGTTCGTTGGAGGCGGGATTCTTGACTGGCTTTTCATGGCCGAGAATATCCTCCCAGAAATCGTTGTTGGGGACTGGTCCAGGTTCCATTTGCATAGCGCGTGATTGAAGATCCTGCAGCGCCGTATCCATGTCTGAAATCTTGATCTGCTTGCCAAACACCTTCTGGTTTTGCCATTCTTCCTCAGGCCACAGAGTCATATGTCTGAGACTGCCAGGCGCGCCGGGTTCCTGTTTGAAGGGTTTGTTCCGACCAGCAAGTCCTAGTCCCTTCAGCTTTCCCTCGTAGGATTTTCGTAGACGGTTGATTTTCTCTCCAGTGACGGGGTCCAGTCTTGCTACCGAGTGCGCAATGGGTCCTAACCCATATAGGGAGACGAGGTCCACTGATGGATCGGGGCCAGTCACAATGGGAGCTATCAAGGTGTAAAAAGCAGTGTTAACAACCTCAGTTCACAGAACATGCAAAGATTAGTGATTCACGCAGATGCCCACAGTGGACACCACGATCCATTGGGGAAATCTTACAGCTCTTGCAAAGATGGAAAGCAGATGTGAGCTCCTTCTGAAGAGAATCCAAACCGAGATTGCTGATATCTGACCGGCGAGCAGGCTCTGTATCAACCTCCATAGCGTCGGGATCCGAATGTTGTTGCCCTCGCCCGATGGTATTTGTGTCTGTTGAAAAAGTCTGCCGATTGTGATCGGTGCGTCTGTGCTCTGATGATTGATCGGGACCTGAATTTTCAGTCGAGTCGTTTGTATTCATGTTGAAAGATTTTCTCCCGTCCTTATCTTCCCCGTCGCATTCAAAGGATAACCGTTAACGCTGCTTGCAGGCGTAGGAAATGAGTTGGTTGAGCTCATTGGTTGTTGCTGAGAGGCTTGGGTAGACATCGGCGCAGAGGATGGAGGGGAGGATACGTTCGGAGGGTGGACCGTCGCCTGATTCGGTGACGTATGCGAAGATGTGAAGTTGGCGGCATCGTTCTGATCGCTAACCGACATCAACGGAGGGGAGGTCGGAGTCTGAGGGATATGATCCGAAGAAATGGGCAGCCGATGGTTCTCTTTCAGAGAACCGGCGGCGGGCGAGGAAGGCGAAGGAGGTCTTGCTTGGAAAGATGCTGGGTGAGTGCGATCAGACATGAGAGCCCGAGGAACAGTTCAGCATGCAAGTCGGTATGAACCAGAGCGGCTCTGGACCCAAAGCGCAAACTTCGATACCAGTGTTTGGAGAGGGGGTCCCGGTCGACGATCGACGGTTGCTCAAGCGGACGAGCAGGTCGTTCAGCGGCCGACCTAGATCATTTGCATTCCAGGGGACTAAGATGAGTCCGATAGGCAGTGGAAATTGGGTGGCTGATGGGTGGCTGTGGTGAAGGAGGGTGATGATGGAGACGATCCTGTGGTCAAAGGAGGATGACGGATTGGTATTCACGTGACCGGATCTTGGCACCTTGTCTTTCTTTGACTAAGTTATTTACACGGTTATAGATACTCATTGTTTCTAAGTTTTTTATTTCCTTTGAGTGAAGACGACAATACGGTCTAGTTAATACTGAGATCCTATCAAATACTTTCAATTACTAGAATGTGTTGCTGTCTTTCAAGCTGTAGTCCTAGTAGCCAGTCCTTACTCCACGAGTTATTAGACACTATTTGATACATTGCCACCGCCGATATAGAGCCATTGACAATGAACACCCCAGGCATTGATCTAATTAGTGACCTGTCATTGTGAGATAGGTCTTCAAATCAATCCTAACAAAGACATCTAAGAATGGATTAACAAAGATACACAAATGGATGAACATCTTGCAATTCAGAACAATGTCAATCAAAGCGACAACCAGCACTAGAGCGGGTTTTATTTCCGCTGCATCATGAACAGAGTTGTTTAAATAACATTACGTGGATGCCGGGTTGCGGATAGCGAATTGCGGCCTTATCAGCAGCCATTATTACCCCAAAACATCAAGTCATGAACGAAGCACATGTTAAAAACAGTTCAACGTGGTATCTCTTGCTATTGGTAAATTATTCGCCGAGAATTACAAAGTCATATGGTCTAAAGATGCATTCCTGAACCATGGGCTACCTCAGCCCAGTTTGCAACATGACCATTCAAGACTATCCGGTAATGTCAGAAGATGAGTCGGTCCAAGACAGAATAGCGTGATATCGCTGAAATCAGAGCACGGGGTGCTTGCCCATCACGGGGGCCTTGAGAGCTAACTAACCAGCGCCTCATGACTGGTAGAAAGCATTATACTCATTCACCAATTGAGCAGAGACATCGGGTATATCGTGTTCGAGAGAGGCCAGAAGCTCGATTTGCTCTTGCTGACTGAGTGTGCGCTCACGCCAAGAAGGTACTGGGAATGGCTCGTTGAAATACTGAGAGTACTGGTCTCCAATGGATGTGGTCCAGTTCATGGGATCGACAGAGGCGTCGACGTATGCTAGATGGCCCGCGGTTGTAGATGCAAGTGAGAAGTTGGGGTCCCAGCCTTGTAGACCAGGGACAACTGAAGGAATCGAGTTATAAGGAGTATTGGGGTCAATGGACATATCGGGATAGAGCGAAATCGGGCCGCCATAGGTGTCTGATGTATAATGTGGTATCGCGTTCGGGGCGGAAGAGGGTGGCATCCCAAGGGCAGAGGAGACTGATGGCATTGGTGTTTGCTTGAAGGACTCAGGGGGCACAGGAGTCACCGCCGGCGGGGTAGAGTCTTGCGAGAAAGTAGGGTCGGCAGATTGTCCTCGGGAGTAAGTACCGCTCGAGGTAGTTGATACGTCTCCTCCACGATGATTGTGAGAATAATAGGAAGCAGTCGTAGTGCTTGATGGACTGGACATGGCTGGTGGAGTCGTAACCCCTTGCGAAGAGGTTGGAGTAGGATGGTTAGAAGGTGAGTGCACAACGAACGACTCTTCGGTGCTGTAAGCTTTCAAACATGCCGCAACAAGGCGTTTGTAGAGAAGCAGTGCGGACTGCACTCCAGGCCATCGTTCGGCAGAGTAGACTATCACTTCAAGGGCCATATCAAGATGGCCTTGAACTTCCTCGATAGTATGCTCTTTTCGGATCTCGGGGTACGAGAGGGTCCAGAGGACAGTGTTCAAAGCCATGAAAAGAGCTTGCACAAAGACCCACGTCAGGTCAACAGATCCGGTTACCATCTGTTCTCGATGCATGGCAATGTTGAAAATGGCTGCTTCATAGCAAGTTTTCGCAGCATTGACACTGGGTTCAGGAATCTGGGGCGATGGCCGATACATGAGAATAATGATTGTGTTTCTCCTTCCATGGAACCTGTAGAGAATGTCAGCGATACCACTTTACGGAGCGGACTACAAACGTACCATTTCACATTCAGCCCGCTGCCATCGTCATTCTTTGGACAAGTAGCCATCCAGTGATCGAGTTTAGCCAACATCTGAGAGAACCATGGATCCTGATCATCGACTGGGGTCTCTCGTCGGTTCAAGTAGAGTGTTCGCCTGCATTCCAACTGGAGTAATCGCATCTTAAAAAAGTGGACTGCAATGCACTTTGCCAGTACGGGTTTCGCCCCTGGGGTGATACCCTCAGCCGTGATGTATCGATCATCCACAAGTTCAAAGAACTTCACATTGATGTGGTCGTGACTGACGCTGTAGCTGCTGCAACGACCCAGGCTGTGGGAAAGCCCCAACTCCATGGATGATACAATCCAGAAGAGCCTCCTGCGCATATCGATCTCTAGGGCGTTCAGAGGTTGCCCACATGGCGATTTTGTCACGGTAGCTTCTTCAGTCAATCCCAAATCTTGACAAAGCTTGGCGGCCGTCCCCACGACCCAGTATGCAGCAGTTCGAGTGGGTGTTAACATTGAATATGAGGCAATAAGCACGAGGCATTGTAGAGCCCTTACATCCATTCGCTTCAGCGTGGGCTCCAGATAGGGCAAGGCCGCCAGATAATAACTATCAGCGAGACCAGCATATTCGGTACTCAGTTTCTGCATGCTAATGGCGATGACCATCCGTAGCTGGAAGTTCTGACAAGGATCCGCAGAGCCATTAAAGACTTCTTCTACCTCTTGCCTAAACGTAGGCTCATGCAGAGTTGGAAGGAGTGCTTGTGCTATACAACAAATCAGCCACGCGGACCACTAGAGTCTGACAAGGTTCGGTACATTTTGCCACAAAGAGATCGATCAACTTGTATGTCAGGTTCTGTGGGGGTAGATTCGGCTGTGGAATGGAACTGATCATGGGATAGATTTTGGAGGTAGGCTTCGAGTCTTCTTGCGCAAACGCATCTTTGATCTCCTGGGCGGTGAAATCGGGGACAACATCCTTGATGCTTTTCGAATCTGTATTCTGCTTGGCCATCTCCATGACCAAGCGAGTCATGGCAATGCCACTTGAGGGGCCGAGATATCTAGCCTCGTCGTTCTCTTTAAATCTTATGCGCCCCGCGCCTCGCACCATCAGCTCCGCATCGGCAGCATGTTGTATCTCCTTCTCGGCCTCGGCGAGCTCTCTTTCTAGCGCCCGGGCTTTCTCTCTTAGCGACACGATGTAGGTCCGCGGTATGGTGGAGTCTCGTGTCGAGTCGTAGTATACGCATTTGGCGTTGCTTCGTTCACAGGGCGCACATCGTGGAATTCCAGGGTCGCACCTTGACTTTCGCTACAGGGTGGGTCAGTCGACAGTGATATCGCAAGTAAATACCATAGGCGCCAAGAAACAGCAAGGTAAAAGAAACCGAGATCGCGGGGACCTCCCGCTTATTGCATCATACCTGTCGACACCTTGTGCAGGCAGTTAATGTGTGCGCAATGCGACCGTCAGGTGGCTCCAAGGAATGCAAATCCGGCGACTTGAGCCCTGCGACTGTTGAGTTGTCCGGACTCGGGGTCATGGTTGTGGGCCAAAAAATAATAAGAATGAGGTCAAAAGTAATATCAAGAAAGGTCCGATCACATGGGCCTGGGGTGCCCAGGCGTTAAACGCGATAAGCAAGGTACATTCGAACGGAGATAAGAATTTTGGGCACTGTCGACATGGTCCTGAGGCTCGTTACGAGGCCGGAGATGGCGTTCGGGAGCTTTCCAAGGGGGAGATCCGATCAAAGGGCAATCATTTGAAACCACGGTACTTGTGTACAACCGGAATGGGGCCACAAGAGTGTATGTGATGTGCCAGTGAGAGGGGCGAGCCTCGGTCCAGATCTGGATCGACGGGAGCCAAAGGATACTGGAAGCGACGGGTCTTTAAGAAAAAGGCCAAGTGGAGGAAGAAGACAGTGGTACAATGGCAGCTGAAACTCCGTAAGGGGGCTTGAAAGAGACAAAATTAAGCGATGGAAGTAAATGTCTGGCTTGAATTCCAAGGAGGATATGGAGACAATTAAAGTAAGAGGAGCCTTGGGTCAATGAGAGGGGGCCGAAAGTCGTTGATGCGATGTCCGTGCGGTTCCATGGAAGATCTGCCCAATTCTTGACGCAAATGAAGTCCTTTTTGCCCCTTGTGCATAGTGGAGGGCCCTTCCTCAACGGCTTTTTGCGGGTAAGGCTTGTTCCTTTAATATCGCTCGTACAATAGTAGTCGCTAAACCCTCCCCAGCTCATGCAGGTCGCTCTTCCGAAGCTATTTCCCTCGGTCATGTGAGTGGTTTAGTCCTATGCTCGCGCGAGCCCAGTGGGGTGAGACAGGGGGACGCGTTCGGGCTGACCATGTTTCCAGAAATGAGTGAGCCATGTCGGTCACCGCCACGACTTTCTTGAATAATCCGCTGCTCAAGGTGAGTCGTCCGGTTGCCGCTTGCTCAAGATGTCGGACGGCGAAGATCAAATGTGACGGCAAGCTCCCCGCCTGTTCCGCGTGCGAGAGGGTCGGCAAAGCTAGCAGTTGTTCCGGAGCCAGCGATGAATTTGCCAAAGGCAAAGAGAGAAGTTATGTGGCGTCATTGGAGGGGTACTGTGAGAAGCTCGAGAAGAAGATCTCTCAGATGCGTGCCCGTTCAACCTCGCTGTCCGCTGAGGGCAATGGCGTCGCGCGGGAGATGTCGATCACCTCGATTTCATCCGAGGGACCATTGGGACCGGCACACCGCAGAGAGGTATCCGATATTGATGATCTCGTTGGCGATTTTGGTTTCCTGTTGGTTACTCTGGAGGGTTTGGTCGAATTACTACTGACTCTGGTTGAAGGTCGGTCAACGCGACATCGCGTGATTTCCATGGCATTACCTCCAACACCTCTTTCGCGAACCTCCTTCTATCAGTCGCTCAAGTCGATTCTCCTCCACCATCCTCTCCTCACTCTCTACCTGCGCGCCATGAAGCAACCCCATTGCTACAACACTATTTCGACAATGTGTTCGTCCAGCTGCCCTTCTTTGTCGAGACCAGCTTTTGGACCTCGGTAGACGCAGTATATCAATCAGGCGGCCGGTTCGCCAAACCTTTTGATCATTGGATGCTGCGTATGGTCTTAGCCATTGCTTCGGCCTCTGTTTCAGAGCAGAATAACGACAAGATGCATCAACGGGCATGGGCTCTCGTATCAGAGGCCTTGACATATGCCGAAGAAGTCCTTCGCCCGGGATCTATATCAGGAATCCAAGCGATATTACTGCTTGCTCAGTATTCTTTTGTTGACCCGGCTCGCTTTCGCAGTTGGTATTTGGTCGGTATGGCTGCCAAAGTTGCGATCGATTTGGGCCTGCATCAAGATCCGCCTACTGAGGTTTTCACCAACCAGGACCGACTTGATATCCGTCGGCGAGTTTTCCATTGCATCTACTGTCTGGACAGGTTCGTTCCACTTTTAACCGTACTTCTCGCCACTGCTGACTATTTTTTCCAGAGGATTAAGCTCCACTATACAGAGAACCTTTACGTTCTCCGACGCATCTGTAAATGTTGCATTGCCATCAACCAGCGCAGCCCCTGGGGGCTCCCCGGAACAAAGCCACGTCTTTCTACGAAGTCCAGTCCCTGCTTTGCATATCGTGAAGATTCGACAGATTCTATCTGTCGGCTACCAAGAAATGCATTACAGCGGGCGCGAACCATCCCCGCAGCCTCTGGTGTTAGTATGGACTCTGTGCTGGCGAGCTCGGGAGTGGTATCATCAGTGCCCGAAGAACGCCCCTAACCACTTCTCACTTTTGTATCGCCTCGAGCTGCTATACACAATCATTATCCTCCTATCACCATCGCACCGATACCCAACGCTGCACGACTACAACAAAGCCCTGCTCTTCGACCGATGCATGGACTACATCAGCCAGATCCACCAAGTGCTGGAGAATCCCAGTGCTCTCCCTTCTTGACATATCTCGACATCCAGCGAGTCCACCAAGTCGGCCTACTCTTCATCGACGTATTATCCGAGAACTACGACCAACTACTGAGCGGCGCTGTGCCCGCACCGCCTCACGTTCCCGCCGGGACGCCCGACCCTCCCGTACTGGGTGACGATGACCTGATCAACTGCCATGCACGCGCCATGCGTTGTCTTGGATACGTCCGTGACATGCTCAAGTATTGTGCCAGGAAATGGGATTTGCACGGGCCTCTCGAGCAGTTCGAATGCGAGTCTGCTTCTCTAGAGAAGACATTGATGGATAGCTCTATGGGCTATATGTCAAATCAGGATATGTACTCGTCAGGGATGCCGCTGGTCGGCGATGGATATCCGGGATATCATCTGGGGCTGTGAAATCGCCGGAAACTGCAACCTGGAAAGAAAACGATGTCGATGGTTATGACAAGTATGGATTTAGTGAAATACCCCTTTGCGTGCTGTGTGTGAATAATATTATTGTGAACCAACCATCCTGGTAGTACCTGTACTTTGTAGAAAAAGTCAGCTGCCAATATTCTCGGTCTCTCGGGTTAGTCCATAGCCTGCGGATATACGTGTACCGTCATGCAGATCCCAAAGTAAGGCAGCGCTTCCCTTCGTAAGGAAAGAGCGGTGTTCCCTTACGACGTGCACAAACGAATTTGCATTGGGCTCAGTCCGAGGATTGTTGAACAGAGAAAATAGGATATCTGCAAGGAAACAAAGTCCAGCTCACCTATCCGGCACAAGAATATGCACCTGCATTGATCAGCTTCAGTAAACCCGACACCCTTTGCTTCGATTTTCGAATCGCCGAGACTTTCTGGACCTTGCAGGTGTCTTTACATTAGTATATCTATAATCCACCTCTACATAAACAGGCTTCGAGTGCCATTGGCTCAAAGGCCAAAAGGAAATCCCATTTTCAGTATCCATACGAGTCCACAACCCATTCCTCCTAGAGGCAATTCAATTTGGCGATCGACCCAGCGGTGTACTCCGTATGGAGCACTGTATCAAGAATAGCTTGGATCATCAATGACAGGTTCCCACTGAGCAGCACTCATCCCAATTTCGTGACAATCCAACGGTGAAGAGGCCAGAATAGGCAATTGAAAAATTTGGCTAGTCTGCCAATATCCCACCTTCGATTCAAATGACTATCGACAATGCCCAAACACCAACATCATACAGTAGACAACCTACATGTAATCTCCGGGCCTATGGAGTACATGTGCGTGGATATATCCATGCCAAGGTACTTGGATCGTACCCAATCTTAGGGAAACAATACATGTACGAGTTCTCTCAAAACCTTCGTCTCCATGAAATGCACGAACCCTTTGTCTTCGTGGGTATCGTGGAGAAAGGCATCCTTCTCATCTGCCGGAGTGGTGTAATCTTTCCAACGCCCACCTGGTTAAATTACTTCGACGGAGACGTATGTACGATACAGAAAGAAATAGACCCATATCCAGGTCTCGATCTTATTTGTCCTTGACGCTGTGATGTGGCGAGCTGGCCCCATTCGCAGGATATACCGGGACCGGTCCCGCGTTGGAGAAGTAAACAAGTCTAGGCCTGTACGCTTCTGTGAGAAATTGGTTTAGCTACGGATGTATCGTTTATTTTGGACTAACTTCATCTATTGTAAGATTATGTTGGATTATTTGGTAAACCACGAGCTGGAATGAACTATTTCAAATACGTGTAGACGGTGGGCTTGGTGTCCGTGTGCTGGGGCTGAAGCATACGGGCAAATACATATCCATGCTCGGTCTAGGTTACCGGTTGCTACGTGCCTATGGTTCTTGCTATGGTATGTGTCATGCAGAGAATGTTCATTTCCGTCATGGATCTTAAATTGGTGGCGTCCTTGGTACGTACGGTGCTTTTGGGGCTCGGCATGATCCAAAGTACGTGCTGGAGCCGGTACATTTGCTGGTTAAAATCCACTGTGATCAGGTGCGTTTCCCTAGATTTTATATGGATACCTCTACCGGCATGTGTTTATCATCCATGTGAAAGCTCCAATAACCTCATAACCGTTCAAACGGTTGGTTCCATAGCTTCCAGATTTTCCAAGGCTGAGGGAGCATTTCACGGGAGACAGGGATGGCAGAGAGACAAATACTGTACAGATACCAGCACGCTATGACTACTAATAGTAATATTACTGTTCATCTTCGATCCAGCGTAATTCGGGTGTTCCCTGTTGGTCAATTGTCGTGGGGTGTTACTTTCCTGCAACAAATTGGATTCAAGTTTATACAACGCATAACGACTGCTCAGGGCAAAATAATTATTTGTAGGACGTAAAATGATTATTTTTCCCGCTCGAAATACATACTGTATGGATAAAGTGGATATAGTGGGCGGTGTTATTTTATATGGTCCCGAACGGATCTCGATTGGGAACCAGATCGGCATGCCCCCGATTTTCGGGGACCAGCTATCGAACTTTTGTTTATGAGCTATCGAGGTAACCCGTCAGCTATATAAGAACCATGGTACTTTAGTGCTACACTACTGTATGACTCGGATTAGGGAACACCGGGACACCGTGGAATATAATGTGCAAGCGAACAAATAGATTCACTGTCGACTTCCAGCCCACTTAAGTTTTTCATCAGCTCTTGAGTAGGAAGGTATCTACAGCAAGATTAAGATAGCAATGGATCGAGCGGAACGTACTCCACCCGGATCGTGACCTATGATATGGGAAATGAATATGATGATCATCATCTTGGCACTCAGGGATGCCGTCCGAGTAAAGAGTCGAAGGGGAATGACCGAAGTCCACCCGGTGATCGACAAGCCTCGTGTTGACCGCAAAGTGCAATGAAAATGGAAGTTTCGATCCACAAACTATTTCGTCAAATCATCCGAAACAGTTTCGCTAACGCTTTCACATGAATCGTTGCCGTTTCTAGTATAGGCTTACATTTAAGAGGAAACCCAGAAGCCCATGTAAGCCGGGGACTATCACCAATTGCCGGTCACCCGGCAAATAGGGGAAAACAAGGGCGATGATGTATGTGGCCCCCAAGACTTTGTAAAATCGATCTTGGTCAAGTCCAGCTAAAGCGGATCAATCCGACTAAGAAGGTTTTTTAATACTGTGACCATATTCCCCTTCCCGGCCAAGCTGGCTGCGAAATCGAGTGAGATCGTCCAATGGGATCCATATAAAGAGTTGATTAGGGCAGGTGGATACGATATAATTGGGGCTTGTAAGGGGAAAAAGTAGGCCTTCACAAGTTTATAGTGAGGTTGTTGGCTCTTGGGTTTTGAGGCGCCCACATGGTGCCGTGTAGGTGGGGGACTGATCGGTAGATTCGCCATTTGATTGGCAGTATTCTTCCGCGCTATTGATTTTAGACGTCACTCACGAACCCTGAAGGTATTTTTTGTCTGCAGATCATTGTTCCATGTTGGGGGAGGCTCCACGTTAATTTCCGTAAAAATTACAAAGAAAACAACGAGCTACTGTACACAGCACAGGTCAACAATGAGTTGGAGCGGAGAAAGAAGTCATCCCCTATTAATAAAAGTGGGCTTGACATGTCAGGGGTTCTGCAATTGCTATTGAGGGCGTCAACCACGAAACATGCAGAACAGATGTCAGATCGAACATCAAGCAAAACAAATTATTATGGTTAACTTAGGCAACGTCACGGAGATGCTCGGGGCGCATGGTTCGTATAAGCTCACGCTACGGTAGTCCCATCAGACAGGATCTATGGTAAACAAACCTTGATATGCCTAAACAATGAGCGTGCAGATCCCAATTTGAACTCCATCGGCCCATCCGGTCATGTCCGGATTAACCCGTCCGAACTAGATTCAATAATTCTTTTTAAGATTCGTTCATTCAGTGATTCAGTGGGATATAATGACATAATACCTTGGGTTTTTAAAAAGAAATCCGGTTTGTAGGGCTGGGATGATCGGTATTATAGGAAATCGCACCAGACGGCACAAGTAGGTTCAGCTGCAGGTACATGTACCAGGGCTCAATGCCCCATACTTGCAGGGATTCTTGATAACAGTTCATAGGACCCTGTTCTGGACGCTTCGGTGCCTGTCGTGGCGCTTTTTTTCCGGCATAATGGGGACCGTAGTCCCACTTCTATCTGTAAGACTGAATCGGTATGTATCTGTAAGGCCGAATTAGGGCACTCCAACTATGGAGCTGACCCGCCAGCTAGGATACCAAGTGCATTTCCCATTAGCAGCTTTATAATAGTAAAATTTTGAACAGGGATAGGGGGCGAACAAGATCGTACCTGTAGATCATGGCCTGTGTATAAATACACTCTCCTGCTGTCAACTGCTCTTGCTTTCTTCTTCTCCCAAGCCTCTCACTTCCAGTCATTCATTATACAAACTACAGTCACTCTTTAACTGTTTTATATACCCCTCTTAATTCACAATGAAGGCCTCTTTCATCGCTGCCGTCGCCGCCATGGCCGGCTCTGCTCTCGCTGCCCCTACCCCTTCCAACGGTCTTGAGTCCCTCCTCAGCAACCTGCACATCGGTGACATCTTCTCCGAGCTCCACCTCAGCGAGCTCCCCAAGGTCCTGACCGCTGGTGACCTCGCCAAGGCTGTCAACAAGCCCGCTCCCTCCGCTAGCGGTGTCCCCGCTGTCCAGGACGGCCACATCGTCCAGAACCTCGGACCCGAGCTCGACAACATCCTGACCGTCACCGGTCCTGATGTCGGCACCCTGCTCATTGAGCTCTCCCCCGAGGTCACTGCCCTCGTCTCCGGTCTTGGCCTCCCTGGCCTCGGTGTTCCCCTCGGTTCCGTTGTCGCCTCTGCCTCCGGCCTCGGTGGTCTCGTCACTGCCCTCGGCAAGCCCGTTGACGGCCTCGTCACCGTTGTTGGTGCTGATGTCGGTGCCCTCCTGATTGAGCTCTCCGCCCCCGTTGCTGCTCTCGTTTCCGGCCTCGGTCTCCCCGGTGTTGGTGTTCCCCTCGGTACAGTTGTTGCCACCGTTGGCCAGAACCTCAAGCGTGGTGAGATCGTCAACGACGTTGCCCCCTCCGTCAAGAGCACCCTGACCGTCACCGGTGCCAACGCCAAGCAGCTCCTCCTCGAGCTCTCCCCTGAGGTCACTGCTCTCGTCTCCGGTCTCGGTCTCGGCTCCATCGCCGGTCCCCTTGGCTCCGTTGTCAAGGAGGCTGCCTCCGTTGGTGACCTCCTCAAGGACGTCTCCGAGCCCGTTGACCAGCTCCTCCACGTTGTCAACGACGACGGCAAGCACCTCCTCATCAAGCTGTCTCCCTCCGTCGCTGCCCTCGTCGCCGGCCTCGGTCTCCCCCAGGTCGGTGTCCCCGTCGGCACCGTCGTTGCCACCGTCGGCGACAACCTGTAAACTATTTTACAAGTTTGATTCGCTATGATCCAACAAGGTTTATACTTGTTCGTCATTGCCATTCATGATATGTAGCGATGGATAGCGTTGAGGATCATCTTCCTTCATGCATTGATCCGGTGCACATTTTTCGTGAAGGCGCTCTTTTGTGCATAAATATTCAAGATTTTCATCGCCTTCCAACTTAACGTTGCTTCTCTTCCTGGTCAATGACATTATCATTTCTAATGTAATATATTGTCATGAAAAGTTTATAATCTAGATTAACGACTTACTTTTGCTCTTCAATCCTCCTATCGCATTCTCCACAACATAAAATACAAGTAACAGTTGAAGCCTATTAAGAGTGTCACTCCAAACATGCAACGGCTGGAGATATGATGGGTTATTCCGACGGATGTGACCGGTTTCATACATCTACCCGGGAACAACACAATGGATAGGACGCGGGTATCAGTTCCTACCTAAGACAGCCGAAAAGCTTGAGGTGACCGAGCCCGCTCCCTCAAGTCTCTAACATTAGCCAGCCATTTTAGCCGAGGTACTTCAATGTGCGTGATGAAGCCAACGACTCTCTTCACATAACTCTGCAGTAGCAAATCACTCTAACTTCAGCTCTAGTTCAAATTGATCTGTATGTAGCTTCATATCCTAATACGAGCAATTTATGTTACTTGACTTGCGAGTTTTAAACATTTTTGACCGATCAATGCCGAGAATTGCACAGCCACCAGATATATATAGTTCAGATCTCGGTTCATATTGTACAAACACATACAAAAAGCAGATGGACACTACTATTGTTATAGTTGAAAGAAATTATGAAAGTAGAAAGACCAATAGACCAAAACGTGAGCCTTAAAATCCTGCACTTAAGAGCCATTTCGTTGTCGCTACATATAATGTTGACAACATGATAATATCCTAAATTGACCCAGGTGGTGGCAAAATAACCTAGCATACGACAGTAGCAAGTAAGAAGTATCGAAAGCCTAGAGAAATATCATTGCATAGCTGCTCTACCAAGAGTATGTACATGCATCTACATTTTGTTGATTGACGAGTCTTCCGGGGTCCGGGAAACGGACTTCCGCCCACGTCTTGCCAAACTATTTCGGGAAACTCTAGCCGGGGCACTGGAATGAGAAGTCAGAGACCCTGGGCTTGTTCCTATTAGAGTCATTAATGAGTTGTGTTGGAGTTTGCGCTTGGACACACGGGATGGATGCGGAATAGGAGACGCTGGTACATGTTACATGTACCAAGGGATTTGATAATTATATGATGCTGGTTATAGTTTGGTGGTTAATAGGGATTGGAGCATAGTTGAGTTGTTTTGAAAGAGTTTATGTGAGAACAGGAGACGACCAAGTCATCTTTGAGCCTCGTATGTATAACTTATGCACCCACTTTGTGTCTGGGTATATTGTAGAAACTTTTACAGGCTACGTAAAACATAAAGACCTCGTAGTAACCAATAACTTATACAATCTCTCAGACATAACGGCTGTTCTGATAAGTTTCTTTGGCCAGACCATGCCATCTAGGGCTAAATGGATCACGAGTGCTGGCTCCTGCCGTGCTTAGAATGACGGAGTCCTAGATCGGCAAGAACCCGCGTGCCACGGACCGAGAAGAACGAGCCCTGACAAGAGTACACGTGACCACGGTAGAGTCCTCCGTTTGGGATCATTGAACCGATCGCTTACCTTATTCCCTTTTCTCCGGGATAAGTCCGACCATTGGTCGGATGAACTTTGGAGGAATTGGAGGCGAATGCCTACATAGTGAAATCTTAATAATCAGATAGTGTGAAGAGATTTCAAGGCGCATTTCAAAGCGCAAAATCTCTGTAGAATGTGCCGTTTCTTGCCTAGCCTCGAACGCAGGTACTAAAGTAACACCAAAATAGCGGCAAAATTAGTAAATGGCAAATATAATTTTGCTTATCTCCGGGCTCCAGATAGCCGATCGCAAATTATCTGCAACACATGTTCCCCCGTGAAAACTCCGGAACTCTAGTACTCTTCATGTCATATATAAAACCTCATGTGAGACACTTGGTATCGGCGCTACTAGGTTGGCAACGGTTGGCATGTTCTGAGCTTAACATACAGCCTATCAGCAGTACGTCCCCGGGTCCGCGACATCGGGCTTTCTCCAAAAATTCCCCAGTTTTCTGGTCTGGTTAAGCCAATAGTGATCAATGTATATAAGGTTTATCTACCAGGTTCTCCGCCACCTCCTGTGCCTTTTCGCCTATCTCCCAACCTCTCTCTCTCTTGTCTGTATATACTTAGTATTCCTTCACGCCTCATGTTTTCTCTATAACCGTATCTCCCCCATCCAGCGATGTCCTCATGTCGAGCGTCGACATCCCTGGCAATCTCAGCCTGGCGGCTGATCCGTCGCAGGCCAGCTCCCACTCCACAAGCTGGATAGCGGAGCATACCATAGTCGCGTGCCTCATCGGAATCGCGTGGTACAATGCATTGGAGCTGATTGTCCTGTGCTTCACCACCTTCAAACGCTATGGAGGCTGTTACTTCTGGTGTCTCCTCATCTCTTCCTTCAGCATCATCCCGTTCGGCCTCGGATACCTCCTCATAATCTACAACATCTACAGCAACCTCTTCCCCGTAGTGATGGAATTGATCGCCTGGGTAGGGATGGTGACTGGCCAATCCCTAGTCCTCTGGTCACGACTACACCTCGTCTGCCACAATCAAAACGTCCTCCGCGCCACCCTTGCCATGATCATCGTCGACGCCATCATATTCCACGTCCCAGGCTCCGTCCTCGAACTTGGCAGCCACTCGAACAAATCGTACCTCTTCATGCGCGGCTTCGACATCTTCGAGCGCATCCAATTGGTTGGCTTCTCCATCCAAGAAATCATCCTCTCCATTATCTACTCCTATGAAGCCGTGCGCCTACTCAACCTCCGCCCAAGAAGCCAGTACCGAGGCACACTCGTCCAGCTCCTCATCGTGAACATCGTCATGATACTCATGGACGCAGCCGTCATCGGAGTCCAGTACTCCGGTCTCTTCGATATCCACGTCACCCTCAAGGCAATGGTCTACAGCGTCAAGCTGAAGCTGGAATATGCAATCCTGGGCAAGTTGGTCGTAATCACCGAAATGAGTGGCAGCAACTCCGCCCCGACCGATCTGTCCGATTTCGTGGATCTCTCTTTCCACAATAATTCAACGCCGCAGCCTGATAGCGAGAGCCAGGCTCGGCCCCTCGATCACCCTGAGTATGGTGTTCATACTCGTGTGCGAGTCTCTTCTAAGGGCTCCTCTCATGATCCGCTACGACGTAGTCTCTCTGCTGCTCCGAGTCCGAGTTCGAGTAACTCGGGCTCATGATGACCACATTTAATTAACGATTTCGATATGCCCTGTATGTAACATTTACCTCCGTACGACATAATCCACCTATCACATACCATACTTTTCGCCAATTGGTGAAACTCGTACCTGGAAAGAGGGGAACTCTCTCCCCCTCACTTTCTTATCTCACATCGTCGGATGCCGCCGTGCATGAATCTCAAACCTCCGAAACACATATGCCGTACATATCAACTACCAAACCTACTTTAAACCAAACAAGCAACCACAACGTATACAAGCCCAATTCCCATCAATCCCAATCACCCAAAATGACAAAATCAACCGTAAACCCCCTAACACCCCTCCAACTCCAAACCGCCGCCGGAAAAGCCCTAACCCTCCAAACAACCGCGCAAACAATCCACAAAAAACGCCCTTTCACAGCCCTCCTTCTAGCCCCGGACAACGAAACAGTCCTAGCGACCTCAAACTCGCTCTCGCACGTGCGGCACGCAGAAAGCGAACTCGCGCGCAACGCAGCAGATAACTTCGACTGGGCGTATCTGGCGCGCTGTACGCTGGTTTCGACATGGGAGCCGTGCGCGATGTGTGCGGGTGCAATTTACTGGGCGCATATTGGTCGCGTTGTTTATCTTGCTTCTGAGGCGGCGTTGAGGGCGGTTGTTGGGGAGGGAAATGAGGAGAATCTTACACTTGATTTGCCTTGTCGCGAGGTTTTTGGAAAGGGGCAGTTTGTTGTTGAGGTTTTGGGGCCCATTACGGAGGGGGAGGACGGGGGTTGGGAGGGGAGGGTTGTTAGGGATAGTTTGAGGTATTGGGGGAGGGAAGGGGGTGGTGTTCATGTGGATGGAGAGGGAGATGGTTGTTAAGGTGATGGTGACATTGAAATTGATATGGATATGGAAATGTATGTAGGTCTAGGCTAGGCCCTTTGGGCAGGGTTGGCAATTAAGAGAACTATGTCTCGTGCGGTCCTGGTAATCGAGGGGGCTCCATATTGCATCTTGTTTTAGTGGCCCCTTGAATGCCTTGAAGTGCGTTTTATTAGTTTCAGAAAGCATCGGACTCGAATGGGGGTCCAAGTTACATCGAATCCATGATGCGATTTGGCTTCGAATGTTGTGCCAAGCTAGGCCCGTACTGCACAAAGGGTAGGTCGTATGCGGCTAGAGTCATCTAGGTGACACTTGAAGACTCGAGGCCTAGAAGTATACAACCGGTAAATTCACCAAGACATCCCCTGAAACGCACGTGTTATTAAAGTGTCCCGAGAAAAAATAGTGGACGATCAGGTCCCAGTCGATGGAGAGACATCCCCACAGCGAATATTTGGAATAAGAGATTTTGATCATCAACCTCGATCTGGCTGTATAGAGCATGTGCTCGTGTGGATGTGGAGACGTTAGGCCGTTTCCGGAAGCAACAGGGGGTATCTTAGCGCGCACAGCCACAGAGCCCTTTTCTTGTGGCTGGAGCTTCCTCCATTCAGCCCTGAAATACAACAAGTCAAGGTTACTTCAATAGTACTCTCCACCTGGGCATGTGAACTCTGTTCCATTGAGGGAAACCCCCGCCGGGATCCTGCCATGCTTCTTGTCAAATCTTGTGTTGACGTCAAGGTGAGCAGAGTCTGGTAATCAATATGACCCGCAGTGGACCATGGATGATGATATGGAGCGTATGCCAAGAGTTCGATCTTGCCAGGTTTGCAGATCGTGGGACTTTTGGACTGGGTCTGGAGTTGGAAGCTTCGTTAGCTTTTGTTTGGGTGCAGGTAAATGTAGCAGCCTTATGGAGTGGAGGTGTGGACTCAACTGCAGGTTAACATGGGCCACACTCTATACTATACATGTGTACACGTAAGTTAGGTAGTACTCTAGTAGAGTAGGCAAAGCCAATTCGAAAGCGGGAAACCAAAGCGCAAACGGGGAGCAGAATTCCGTTTCTACATGTGCCATGTGATGACGTCAATCGTAGATCATTCAGAGGAGGTTAGGTAAGTTCCTGGTGCTGCTCAGGGATCCTGTCGTCATACCACTGCTTGCCCTTATATCCCCCCCTGCCGTCGTCTGCCTGAATTTCCTTCCCTTTCCCATATTTTCCTTCATTCCAGTGATACCCCCTTGTTTTGTTCAGGACAAATCTGTATGTGCCCCTTCTGTTTGCGTAAGTTGCAAACTGCTAACCCTGCCTAGTTCATACATAATACCTTTTACATCTCTTGTACCCTGATAATCCATCTCAATTGCTGTCGTCATGTCTGTCAACGTCCCCACCGATCCGAAGCAGAAGGAGAAGGTGTGTATGACAAATGACTTTGATGGAAGCAGCACGCTGACCTCAACTACAGGATATCAACACGAAGCTCCAATTGTTTGGTATCTATCATGGTAAGTCACACCTGAGACTCAATTGATAATTGTCGTGCTGACCCACTCTGTTTAGCCTTCAAGAATAGCAAGCTCCCATCCGTTCGTCGCGCCCCACCACCCGCGCCCCAGCTCCGCTTTGTACTAACCATAATTCCCCACAGAACAAGCAATGCGACATCGCCTTGAACAGTGCCTTGAACTCCAAGGCCCTTTCCTCTCCCCCGAAGGAGCTCTCCGCCGACGGAAAGACCCTCGTGGCCGACCTGCGCAATGTTATTGAACAGGCCAAGAAGATGCTCTTGGTGAAGAACGAGGGTGAATTGATTCAGGATTTCATCTGGCAAGCGCAGAAGATCACCACTGGCGATTCTCAGAAGCCCAACCTCCCCATAGACAAGGAATCCGGCCAGCAGGATGCGAACAGGGCTGCCGAGGGTCTGAAGACCCTGGGTACACTCATGATCACCAACGGAGAGTTCCGGAAGCTTTGTAAGTTGGTGCTTTCCATATATGGAAGTCTGGTTCTAACAGCGTTTAGTGAATGATGCCGTAATCTTGCTCAAGGATATTGGCGCCGATGCTTCGCAAAAGGCCGCCAACAAGGTCCGTCCTTCGGAGGAGGAGCTTTCCCAGGTCGATCAGGCCGCCGAGGAGAACGTGTGGCACGAGAAACCCAACATTTCCAAGGAGGATATAAAGTCCAAACTCAAGAAGAACAAGGGCGTATGTGTTCGCCTTCCCTTCAGACCGGCACATTGCTAATTCTACTTCAGGATAAGGAAAGCGTTGCCTCTGATTCCGTTGCTGAGAATGATCCCGCTGTGCCAGCCAAGAACAAGACCAAGGAGGTCGCTGATAAGACCAAGAACTACCTTTCCGACAAGATTCCCAAGGAGCGCCGCGAGCAGACCATCTGGCGTTTGAAGAAGATGATCATCGAGATCCAGGGCCACGCTGATTGTAAGCCGAGCTTTACATTGATGCCGTGTCATTGCAGATCGCTAACAACTTAAATAGACCAGCGGGCCGTTGAGACTCTACTGGACATGGCCGAGAAATACGCTGGTCACACCAAGGACGTTTCCCAGCAGGGCGGCAGTGCTACCCGTGACGTCCTTAAGAATGACAGCGTCCAGGCTGTTCAGTACAACTTGCGCGTGAGTACTTTTGTGCCAATTTTATATAGCTAGATGCTGACTATCTTCTAGACCCTTGTCGAGCGCTTTGCCAACAACACTTCCCTCGATAGCTTCTTCAACTCGTTGAACACCGTTTACCACGATGCCGAGAAGGACCCCGAGCTCAAGAACTGGTTTAAGAACATTGACAACCTTATTCGGTATGTACTTTTGAAAAAAAAAAAAAAAAAAAAAAAAAACTCCTGAAGGAAGGAACTGACGAGATGTAGCAAATCTCTGCGTGAGCAGGGCTTCATCATGGAGGATGAGTGCAACCGCCAGTGGAACGACCTTTACGACAAGGGCCGCTACTTGCTGCGTGAGCGCTACCGCGGCCACACCGATATCATTGTCGATGAGACCAAGTTCTTGGCCGAGCAGTTCGAGAAGGACCCTCAGAACCAGGCCCTTGCCGAGTCCTTCCAGAAGCTGTTCAAGGATCTTGGACGTGACACAGACGGAAAGGTCACCTTCAAGAAGGATCTTGTTCGTGACCTCCGCGATATCATTGTTCCCGGTATCTTCGAGAACGTCCGCTACGTTCCCGTTCCCCGCATCGAGGTCTCTGACCCCATGGTCGACGTCGTGGTCGAGAACCTGTGCATTGAGAGTGACAACCTGTTGCCCAATGTTGTCGAGTTTGGAAGCGACAACTACTTCCGCTGGGGCCGCAAGAAGATCAGCAACAAGCGCGACAACAAGATCATGATCTCCATGTCTGGTATCCAGGCTGACTTGCGTGACGTGAGTTACTACATCAAGAAGAAGCAGGGCTTCCCTCCATCACCGACCGCGGAATTATGGACATCTTCCTTGGTGGTGAAGGCCTCAGCGTCAAAATCGCCGCCTCTACCGCCCAGAAGAACGACAAGGAGTCCTTTGTCAAGCTGGACAAGGTCAACGTGTCTATCAAGCACATGAACATCAAGCTGAAGAAGTCCAGCCACAAGATCCTTTTCAACACCTTTAAGCCCATGCTGTTCCGTGTCGTTCGCCCTGCCCTGCAAAAGGTCGTCGAAGGCCAGATCCGCGAGGCATTCAAGAAGGGAGATGGCTTCGCCAAGGAGATCCATACCGAAGCCAAGCGTGCCCAGGAAGCTGCCCGCGAGGACCCCGAGAACGCCCCTACAATCTTCGCCCGCTACAGCGATGCTATTCGTGCCCGTGCTCAGGCCAAGGCCAAGAAGGCTGAGGATGTCGCCAAGCGTGACACCAAGGTCCAGACCGTTATGACCCTCCACGATTCCATCTTCCCTAAGATCGAGCTTCCCGGAGGCATCTCTAGCAAGGCCACCGAGTACGCCGAGCTGGCCGCCAAGGGTGAGCGCTGGGAGTCGCCCATCTTCAGCATCGGCGATGCCTCCGAGTCGACCGACATCCCCTCCGCCGGCCCCATCACCAACAAGCCCCACGGCGCCAGCACCACCGGCGCGGGAGCTACTGGCGTTGCCGCCGCCGCAGGAACCTCTGGCGCCGCCACCGCCGCTGCCACTAATGGTACCAACACCGGAAAGGTCGACGGATACCCATCCCGTGGCTTCTCCGACGAAGTCGACCAAGCATTCGTCAACGGCAAGACCCAGAACATCCCTGACGGTGCCAAGCCCGCCACCAATGGTGCTACTGCTGCCAACGGCGTCACTGCCACCAACGGAACTACCGCCACTGCCCACTAAGTGTGGCCGTCTCCAAAATCATCATGACATTCGTCTAACATCATTTTCTTATGTCTCCGCCTGAATATCTAATCTTCCTGATGCTTTGCTACTGCTTTGTGCTTCTTCGTTATGATTTCCCCTAGTGCAGTCCGGACATTATTTTTATTTTGTACGAGTATTGGTTTCTTTCCGGTAGCTTAATACATAATGCCACCGCTGTTGCGTTGATTATATTGGACATTAGCCTGTAACCTTAGTAGTAATCAATAGCAGTAAAGCTACTTCTAAGTACACTAATGTAAAGAGATGAATGAAGTATAAAGCTAAAAATGTCATTCATTGTCGTCTAAAGAAGTAAAAGTTATAACAAATCTCCCCACTATACAATCATCGGAAGAGACATTATATCCCCATCCCATCCATATCATTCCACCATTTCTCCATTTTAATCAGCATCCACATTCAGACCATTTTAGTTCTCATCGAATCAGTCAATAGAACATAAAAATCAGAGAATCAAATCTACATCTACATCTGATCAAAGTACTTCTGCCACCCCAACTCCCGCAGCTTAGTACCCTTCAACTCCATATTCTCAGCACGGGCAGCCTCAGCATAGGCCTCGACCTTACGCTGGATGGCTGGCTCGTATGAGCCCAGAACCCGCGCGGCAAGGAGGGCTGCGTTGATGCTGTTGTTGATACCGACTGTGGCAACGGGGACACCTATTTCAAGGAAAATACGGTTAATACATACTCTGTTGGGTGTTGGGTCAAGTTTAGAGGGCTAGGATTAGCAATTCACGCACCTCGGGGCATCTGCACGATGCTGTACAAGCTATCCACACCATCAAGAGAGCTACCCTTGACAGGAACTCCAATGACGGGGAGGGCAGTGTGAGCAGCCGCCATGCCGGGGAGATGGGCAGCACCACCAGCGGCAGCGATGATAACCTTGATACCGCGTGACGCAGCCTGAGCCGCGTACTCGGCCATGTAGTCCGGTGTGCGGTGGGCAGAGGTGATTTCGACCTCGGGCTCGAGACCGAAGTAATCGCGCAGCAGCTTCAGACCCGGGACTAGGGTCTTCAGGTCACTGTCTGAGCCCATGATGACTGCGACGGAGGGGGCGGGCTTTGAGGGGCCGGAGGGGACGGCTTTCGTTTTGATATCGGTGCGCTGGGCGCGCATGTCGTCGACGACGGTGATGAGGGGTTGGATCATTGTCTCGGCTTCGTGCATAGTAGCTGCGGTGACGGTGACGTGGCCCATTTTGCGGCCTGGCTTTGCGGCGCCCTTGCTGTAGAGGTGGATGCTTGCGTTGGGGATGCTGAGGGCTGCTTCTGTGGCCTTGAGGTGCGAGTCTGGGGTTGCGCCGCCGATGATGTTTAGCATGATGGAGGGTTGGCGGAGTTCCAGGCTCTTGGGGGGAATGGGAAGGTCCATGATTGCGCGGATGTGGCTGTCGAATTGGGAGAGGGCGCAGCCTTCGATTGTCCAGTGGCCGGAGTTGTGGATGCGGCTGGCGAGCTCGCAGAGCATTAGGCTGTTGTCTTCCAGGAGGAACATTTCAACACCGAAGGCGCCTTTTCCTTCGAAGGCGGAGACTGCTTTGCGGGCCAGGGCTTGCGCCTTTTGGTTGATTGCGTCGGGGACATTGCGGGCTGGGGCGTAGACCAGCTTGCATATTGAGTCCTCTTGGACTGTCTCGACGGTGGGGTAGGAGAGGACGTCGTCCTTGGTCTTGATGACCATGACGGCCAATTCCTGGAACGGATTGTGTTAGACTTGTAGGGGTATGTGTCGGCGGAGGACTAACCATCTTGAAGTAGGCCCATTTCTCGGCGTAGAGGGGGCGGTCCTTCAGGGCCTCGAGGGCCTCGGGGATGTCTTCCTTGGAGTTGACACGGAAGTTGCCTTGTATACCATCAGTGAAACGGCATATAATTTTGACATGAGGCATGACTCACCACGGCCATCATATGCCATAGTCTTCGACTTCAACATCATCGGGTAGCCTAACTGCTCTCCGATTTTTGCCAATTCCTCCGGGGTGTTGTCGGACAATTCACGGTGATCGGCCATGGGGATATCGTACTTGCGAAGGTGCTCCTTCTGGTCGAACTTGTTCTGAATTGTGCGGATAGCCTGCCAGCTGGGCTCCACCCGCACCTTCGATGCAACTTCCTCGAGGGCATAGGTGTCCACGTGCTCAATCTCAGCAGTAATCACATCGCAGGACTCAGCCAGCTTGCGCACGGCTTCGCGCTCCTTGAAGGAACCAGTGACATGGCCGTCGTGGAAACTGATCTGCTTGGCGGGAGCATTGTCGGCATCCAGGACGTTGGCTTGGATGTTCAATCGGTTGGCGGATTCCACCAGCATGCGGCCCAACTGGCCACCGCCGAGGATTCCCACCTTAGGTGAATTCCACATGTCGAAGAGGATATATGAGTCAATGTGAAGATGTGAAGTGGGAGATCGACGCTGCCCCTCCGTCTCCGAAAATTCGCGGAGAGTCATGTGACTCTATCGATAAGCTCTGGCCAATCAGCGATATCCTCTGGCGCGTCACCGACTTCACTGTCGCAGCTTCAACTTCCTCTTTGTGCACAGCTAACTGGACAATGCCTTTGGGTGAGTAGACCACCACGGTCGCGTTGCTCCTCTCATCAGCTATGCAACTTTGCTGACCCGGCATCATAGATGAGGAAGCTCTCGAACAGCCGCCAATGGCGGCTCGATAGAATTGTACGTGTGGAACTGCCATATAATAGCTAGAAGCTTGAGCTGACGCGCTTCTTCAGAGAGAGATGGAATGGCATGGCTGCGCCTTTGATTGAGCGACTGGAACACGTGCGCTTGCCCCTCCATGACCCCTGATCGACCCGTCTGACTAGAAATTCCAGATCGTGTACAACATGTTCCCCATCCCTCGAATGCGCCCAGAGCAGATCGGCCAGCAGTCATCTACCAACCATGCGTCTCAGCTGCAGGAAGCAAATGAAGTTGCACCCGAAAGCAGTAACAAGGAAAATGCCGCACCTGCAGACCCGCCAGGTTCTCCCCCGTCAAGTGAGCGCGTGCCAGATTCGCAAACCCAACCCTCTGGTACATCGACCGATGATCAGCTCCCGCCACCACTTGTCCTACTACTGAAAGCTATCCGCTCGTCGATCACTTCTTTCTTCGAGGAGAAGCCCCCGCATACCATCCAGAGACTCGCAGAGCTGGTCCTCGAGCCGACCCAGCACTATAAAACATTACCTGCGTATCTCCGTGCTGTCGACCGTGTCGTCTCGGTGACAAGTTCGGCAGATATCTTCCCCTTCAACACGCCGTCTCCTGCCGACGATCAATCGAACGGATTGGTGCACCCTAGCAATAGCAGCGGAGTTTACCTGGCCCCAGACTATGCTCATGGCCTTGGGAGTGACGAATCTCTCGGTGGTGCCCTCTTAACTCCTATTCCCTGGTTGAATGGCTCTTCGTTCGAAGGCGAAGGTACGAACATATTAGGCGAAGGTATCTTCTGTCACTTTCCCACCATACCGTTTTCTTTCTTTTCTTTTTCTTTTTGCTAACTTAATGTTCAAGGCACCGAAGAGCCTCTACCCACACAGCCGACAGAGGAACCTGAACCAGCGACTACTGTACCTACAGAAACTGAGGATGTGGCAGCCAACGCCTCACCGGAGCCGTCTGACGAAGTCCCTCATGCCCGTGGCCCAATCGTGCTCGGAGTCGAGGATATGGGTCTGCAAGACGGGAAAGGCGTAGAGATGAACCTCGGCCCAGATGGCGCCGGTGATGAAGCAACCGCAGCAGCAGCTGAGGCTGTGGCCTCCATCACAGAAGAACAGGAAAAGAATGAATCAACCGCCGACAAGGACGGTGATATCGTTCTTTCAGATACCAAAATGAAGGAAGCAGAAGAGGCTAAGACGGAAGCCACTTCTACAGAGCCACAAGCGAGTGAGGCGGAATCTAAACCCACTGGTAATTCATCTGAAGCGCCGGACGCCGAGAAGAAAGCATAAGCGATTTACTGGTTTCTATTTGAATGTCTTTTTGTGTTTTTTTCCCCCTCATTTGGTTTTGTTCTGGCTTCTAGCATCATGAGTGACGACCTATAAGATTACATGGATCAATTGCCATTGATTGGCTGTCTACATGCCCAATTCGTTCTTCGTTAGTCCATGTATTTACATGCCTGAGTTTCCACATGCGAACAGAGTTTGAAGCTTGATAGAAGCGGGGACTTCGATGGAGCTTCTGACTGGCCATCTGGAGAGCCGTTACAAACTAGTTTGCCCTATCTGATTGCAGTTCAACGATTGGCATGTCAATATCTGGGTTTAGTTGCTCTTCCATTGATCATGTCGTAGGCTTGGGGGTCGAGGGCAAGGTAGAAAGACAGATACGAAATTCACATGTTGGTCAAAATTGGAATGACAAAAAGGTGACAAATTTTGAGAGGAGAATGCTAACTAGCGGGGACAATTAATATGTCATCCCTGAGTATGAAACCTCGCAGATCTAACGTTACAGTAAATAGCTATGAAGAGAACACACGTTGACGAAATAGAAGCATTAGCAAAAATAAACAGGCAGTATTTATTTAGACGGGTAATGCTTTCATCCTTTTCATTGCGTTACATGTACATGGACGGAGCTACTGAATGGACTGCTGTTTTCCCAAATATAGGTGGACTGTCTTCTGCTTGGCTAACCATTTTAGCCAAGGCGTTAGTACTCGTATTACCACTGTCTACGCTATATACAGTGCAGACAAGCTGAGTAGTCAAACTGGAAATATCTTCTGGGCGTGCATAGTTATCACACGGACTTCGCAAATAGATAGCGCGGCCCCCAAGCACCGATCTCTTAGCATCAGCACTAAGCATCTAGTGGCCAATAGTTCATCTACTTTGGTCACATCCACCGATTGGTAGTTCAATTTCGTCTCAGTTTGGAAAATATGGGGGCCAAAATGAGAGCCGCTTGCTATATTTCAACAAATATGTGCATGTAATATACTGCCCATAAGCCGTAGCCAGGAGGGAAAAGTGCTGCATAGTTGTAAGTTAATATTCATAACCCTAATGTCAAGCCATATCAAAACACAAGATCTAGTGGCTCTTTGCTTGGACATTTGGACAAGATCTGCAAGTGTTTTCACGTCAGTTCAGCCGATCTACGCGTACATTTCCATTGTCTGGACCCACTTGGATTAGGATCACTCTATAGTAGACTGCAAGATAGTACGTTGAATTCCTCGGGGTTCTTGAATCCTTCCGAGAATATGCGTCCCCACTATGTTATTAGCCCGGGCAAAGCAAACAGAGGATAATGAATTGTGCTCGGCAATGTGTGCTTATGTTGTGTGTGATGGCCAATGAGATTTCAAAAGTGGGGACGTAGTGATATTGAAGCATGCTAGTGCAGTAGCCATGTATATCAGTCACGGCGGCACGTTTAAAGGCCTGCAGTCCGGATCGACGCTATTAGGAGCAAATTGTGAGTGGCGAGCGGTTGCATCCTCTACTGTACTCTTAGGAAGCACTTAAGAGGTCCTGTAAAATGATCCAGTAACTATCATGATAGAGATAAGTATGTGTATAAACTTCCACAAAAACCAATGTGCAGCAGTATTATAAGCGAGGCTTAGCTTGAGGCTACTATAATGCTTTTGCGGAGCGGCCCGTCAATACACCTCGTCATTCTGCTACGGAGTAGTATGTATCTAGCCCCCACGAATGATCCCTTTCTCTGATTGGATGTAACTTCATGATGTGTGTCAATTCAGCTTGCATTGTCTTACCCGATGCTATACCCACCCCATGAACTTATAGATGCTCTTCTCCGGCTGCGATTTCACGTTCTTTCGAGATAAATAGGCTTGAAGACGCTGGGAAATAATATTAATCAGGCAGGCCATCTTTGTTCCCAGTTTATAGACATAACAAATGTGAGTTTCTCATTAGGCGCCCATAAGATGGAGCCAAGAAGGGAGCCAGCGCTAGTGCTGACCTAGTGACTATATGAGGCGGCCTCGGCCTGAGACGGCCGCGAGACGCACGGGGCCTTGGAATCAAAGGAATTACCCAGTAGACTGCCAATTGACAATTGAGGAGCATTTCATAGCTTCTTTGCATCTGTCACTCCTTTGCGCAAAAAGTAAATCGGCTGCTTACATCCACCTGCACGAACGTTGAAGATGAAGTCACGAAGCATGGAAAACACCAACCATATCTTCGGTACTGGCAGCAGCAAGGAATCCGATTTACTGAACGCTTTTTCTTCGGCGTTAGACGGTTCGTGCCAAGAGCTCAATTGTAACGATCGCTCTTTGGATATTGACTGGAATGACCAATACCAGATCTCGCGTTAGTCTAGCCCAATGATAGGGATATATGAACAATGCTAACTTATTGTCTCCGCCTCTTCAAGATAACGAAGTCATCACACCGTTCTTCGAGAACGTTTTCAACCAATCGAACTCAATCCAACCACATGTAGATCTGCTCAAATTCAATACCCAATTGAGACCCGAATTTATATTGAATACTCCTCCTGCGGTGCCGGATAGCTGGTCCTTTATAGACTGGAGAATTACGGGGCAGCCTGGCCCATATATTCCAAATGCAACGACAGATCCAGGCTCCACTCCCGGTATCGAGAGTGGAGCAGGAACTAGCAGCAGGGATCCCAATCACAGTCACCATGCTTCACCAAGCGAAAGTGCAGCTGCAGCCGACAGGTCCAGAAGCAGGACATCTAGGCGAATAGACCATTACCGCATCGAGAAGAAGTACCGAACGAACATCAACGATAAGATCCGCCTGTTAGATGAGATGCTGCCAGAGAATATTCAGGCTGGTGGGCGATGGATGGACTCAGGAAATGAAGATGGCAAGGATAGTTCCAACAAAAGGAAAGTGGCTACAAAGCGCAGCAAGGGTGAGGTGCTTTCTCTAGTCATTGACTATATTGTCTTTTTACGAAAGAAAGAAGAATTTCAGGAGAGGTGTATTCAGGAATTGGAGGGGCGGATTTGGACATCGAGAAAGGCATTGGAGTTTTGAGCGGAGTTTTGCATGTCGTTTACATTCAGTTATATCATATACCGCTTCTCAATCAAATTTTGAGCCAGGAGTTGAGCTCTGCTTCCGAATATGATTTATAGATATTGCATAACAGAAACCTATGATATCCTCAAGCCTGCTATACTTACAAGTTCCCCTTGGTATCTGAGTCTGATCCAGTAATCTTATCCGCACCATTTCCATTCTTGTTTATTCCCCCATGCACCAAGCGACTCTTCCCGACCAGTTTGTCCACCAAAAGAGTCAGCGAAGAGCTTTGCATAACATCAAAAATTGAACACTCAGCATCCAAGGTGGTCACAATCCAGTTGCGTAACTCGACAGCAATAAGAGAATCAACGCCAATATCTGTCAGAGCCATTGAGGGATCGATCTCAGTTTCAGGACGCCCAAATTCCTTGGCCAACCTCCTCACCAGTACATCGTTGATAATGCTCCGCGCCTCAGCAGCTGTCTGAGCTTCTGCGAGTAGGGATCTAGTATGTACCACTGTACCAACTGCTGCTCCAATACCACGATCTGATGCCGCAGCTACCCCATCCACGCGTTCCAGCGGCAAAAAGCGAATATCGCAATTCCAAAATGCCGCTGATGCGGAGCGGGTGAACTCTGGCGGAATGGACGTGATGATTTGACTGGACTCGGGACTCCGACGGGGATTTTGAATAGCCGACTCAACAAGTCGGATTACCATATTTTCGTCAATGACTCTGGTTCCTGTCTTTTCTAGGTGACTGGCCAAGGTAGCATTCTTTGTTTCAGCAAGAACACCAACAGACTTTACCATTCCTAGGTCAATAGAGACGCCTGGGAGACCGAGAGCCGCTCGATGACGGGCTAGTGCATCTTGGAAGGTACCACCGGCGGCATAGTTGGCCTGGCCAGTGTTGCCTGCAATGCCGCTGAGGCTGGAGAGCATGATGAAGAATTCTAGCGACGAAGAGGGAATGAGTTCATGCAGATTCCAACTACCCTGTACCTTGCTTTGGACGACAGTGGTGTAGTCTGCGTAAGACATCTTCTCAAAGATTGAATCCTATGAAGATTAGTTAGAGCCCAGCTGATGATATTCGGAATCTGAACACATACCCTGAGCACCATAGCTCCCTGAATGACACCCTTGATTTTTGGCAGTAAGCTGGCACATTCCGTAAGAACCTCGATCAGTTTACTCCTGTTTGCGACATCGCAGCTCTTCAAAACCACATTTACGCGATCTGACCGCAGGCTTTCCACAAACAGTTGGTTTTCAAGCGAAGGAGAGCCCGCTGAACGAGACATAAGAATAATATGGCGCGCGCCTCTGTTCACTAAGGCTTGTGCAAGCAATTTTCCAATGCCACCCAAGCCCCCGACAATAAGGTAGCTGCCCTCAGGTGACAGTGACAGAGTTTTAGCTGATGGTAAGACCTAAATGTGTGATCAGCATCACCCGCAATGAAGGCGTCGGGACCGCGCAGGTCCTGACTCACCTTCACAATGTCTCCTTCGGCAGGACGGAGAACAATCTTTCCCATATGTTTCCCCTTCTGCATGGCACAGAACGCCGACTCCAAGTCTGCGATAGAATAAGCAACTATGGGACTGACGGGTATAATCTTTCGCTGGTCGACAATCGCCGCAACCTTGTGAAGAAGGCCATAGAACTGATCAGGGCGGTGATCATACATAGTCCACAAATCAACTGAGAAAAATGATACACAGCGTGCAAATGGTGCCAAAGAGATACTGTTATCCTCTTCAATATCTCGCTTTCCGATCTCGATGAAACGTCCGAAACGAGCAATACAACACAATGTAGCACGGAGGAGAGGACCAGCCAGAGAATTGAGGATGACATCGACTCCTCTTCCAGCGGTATAGGCCATGATCTTATCGACAAAAGACGCATCATAACTAGAGAAAATGTGATCAGGTTGGATCCCATATGTTTCCGATATGAACGTTCGCTTCTCTATTGATCCCACGGTCACGAAAATCTCTGCTCCAGTACTCTGTGCCATCATGATAGCAGACTGTCCAATACCTCCACTACCAGAGTGAATGAGGACAGACTCCTTGGGTTGAAGATGTGCAAGCTCGAAAAGACTGTGGTACGCTGTGGAATGAGCTATGGCCAGCGAGGCACCCTCTTCGAAAGTCATCCAATCCGGTAAACGAGCAATTGCATTCCAATGGACACGAACTGCTGTAGCTAAGCATCCAGGGGTGAGGGTATAGACTCGATCACCAACTTCAAATCCTCGAGCTGTAGCCTTGGGGCCTACTCGAGTCAAAATGCCACTGCATTCGAAACCCATACGTTCCTCGTGTACTTGACCAAGAGCTACCATCAGATCTCGGGAGTTGAGCCCATACGCCATAGGCCTGAGTTCGACAAAGTCTTCTGGCAAGGGCTCATCGGGGCGAGGGTCTTCGAGGAAAGTCAAGTTTTGTAGCTGACCGGGCACAGTCGATGCGAGCTTCAGGTTCTTCCCTTCCTCCGCGAAAGCTTGGGGTTCTGATACTTGACGAGAGACTGAAGTCGCCAAGCGATTGTTTTGCAAAAAGTCCTCATAGACTCGAGGGATTTGCAGTGCTCCAGAGCGAACGGCATATTCAAGCTCCGAAAGCCTTGAGTCGCTGCTTGTCTTAGACAAGGTGGCGGAAAGAACACGAGTGATGTGATGAGCTGATTCTGTGCTCCAAAGAGATTCACTTGGATCAAGGTCCAGAGAGACATACTGCTTCCAGCTGTTCTCGCATCGCAGGGTCCGCAACACTCCATGATGAAGACTAGCAAATGGGCTTGGACAATCGATCTGAGCACCACGAGAGACCCACAAAACACCTAAGGATCGAGAAAATAAGAACTTGAGGTCTTCAAACTCTTCTGCGGTGGGCTTGTCCAGCAATGTAGTCTCCAGATCTCCCAGGAATACCACAAAGGTTAATGGATCAATTAACGCTTTGATTTCATTCAGCGCATGAACTGTCCCGTTCAGAGGCCCGATTCTCTCCGCAATGGATTTTGAAAGCTTCTCCAACCAGTTTGTGGGGATGGTCGAGCGGGAGTAAACGATTGCCAGTCTGTATGATGGATCGGAGATCTTCTCAAATGGAGCAATCGCCAGCGTGATGCTCGAAAAGGGACAATCCATATTTTCTGTACTTGTATGCTTCATGGAAATACTCTTAAATCCAGCACACTGAAGTGTCTTGGTCCATTGCTGCGAGAGCAAGTAAGCTCCTTCAGTCTCAAAATTTCCTGCATGATTGATATTCCGTTAGGAATAACGCAGAGGCTAACTTGTTCATTGAAAGAACTTACTTCGCCAAGCCGGAAGCGTCTCATACACCATACGCATTTCAACTCGGTCAAGAGCTGGTCCCCACACAAAAAGTCGTCCACCAGGCTTCAAAAGAGTTCGTACATAGGCCATTGATTGCTGGAGGTTATGCGCTATGTATACCTGAGGTGAGGCAATTATCAAGTCGTAACAGCCTGTCTCTATTCCCTGCTCTGTAGGGTTTATGTCAATATCATACCGTTGGAAAGCCACCCGATCGGCAGTCGCTCCAGCCCTAAGGCTGTCAATATGTTCCCCGGAGGGATCAGTGACGTCGTAGCTTCCGCAAAAGACACCGCTATTTGGCAAATTCTCGAGTAGCTTCAAAACAATGCGTGTGCATTCGCCTCGACCAGCGCCAATTTCCAGGAACCGAGCACTGGGGTTCTTGTGGAGAAGAAGCTCAACCGTCTGCTGGACTTGGAGGGCACAATTTATCACACTCAGTGGCTCTTTCATGTATATGTCACGCATGAGTTTTGCCGGATCGACTTTTCCTGTGAGGATACCAGGGAGGTTTTTTCCCATTTGGCAGACAAGGGTGTTCTCGGCGCTATCTTGGAAGATGCGGTCAGTCCAGAGCTTCCTCATATTTTGCTTCACGGTCTCTTTCATCCACTGGAAATACTGAGAAAATTCAACATTCGGCGTGGCCTCCAATGCGAGGGATAGGACTGTCTCAGCCATGTAGGTTAGTGCAGTTGTCTGGAAATTCTTAGCCGAGATGCTGGCATCTATCAGCTCGGATGCCGGGGTAGGTGACAGGTCGGACGCCATTAGCATGCCCACATCGGGTTTCCAAACAGTGGAGAAACACCATTTATCTAGGTTGGATTGACTGGTAGCGACTGGCCCTCCCACAGACTGACAGAAAAGGCCTTGCAGGATGAGAATAGGAGCCTCCCCGAGGTTGCTGGTAGGAGAACTTCCTGCATTATAGACTGTCGCAGAGGATTCAAAGCCATTCGACTTAGCCTGATCTAGTCGCGAGCACATCTTGAACAAATGATTGGGCTCACTGCTAATGTCCGCTGAAATGTACAGAGAAGCGATAGACTTTGGGACTGATGCGTCACGCCCTTGGACACCCGCCGAAGGGAGAGTATGGGACGTAGCTTGGAAAATTGTATCAAGGGTAGTCGGATGGATAACATGACTTTGCTGATAGTTGCATGGCATAACGGCCACAGTATCAGACACTCGAATAATGGTTGTGGAACGACCTATTCCCTTTTGGGTAGTGATTTGGTTTTGGAACATAGAACCGTAGCTCAAACCGATCTCTTTGAGAGCTTGATAGGTCTCATCGGCTCTCACAGTGGGCCAGAGGTTGCTCTCATCCCAGTAATTGGCATGCCGATACGCCACCTCATCATGCAAACAGAAGGTCTTGGAGTCCTGTGTGATGGCTGCAATGCGTCCCTCACAATGAAGGATCCATTTTCCAGTAGAATGCAGTGATTGGATATGAAAGTCGTTCCAGCCTTGAGCAGAGTAAATGCGGTCCACACAAGGTCGTAGTGAGATGCGAACATCGACACCATCGTCATCATCTTCCAGCACTAACGCACGGGAAATATCAATAGCTTCGAGCTTATACCCAGTAATTTGAGCTTTAATCTGCACAGATTGCCGTAGAGCTTCAACAGCCATAGAAATGTATCCCGCACCAGGGTAGACAATACTCGACTGGACAACATGATCCCGCACCCAAGGAATATCCCGTGGGCGAATGATATGGCGCCAGGTCGGTGTTAAGGGAGAGAAATCGGCAGTTGGGAGTCCCAAAAGATCATGAGAAGGAACATTCCGGTCTCGGGCAAATTTGCTCAAACGAGACTCCCACCAGTATTTTGTTTGGTGATTCCAGGGGTATGGAGGTAGATCTCTCAGGATTTGCAAACCATGGGGACGGCCGTGGGGGAAGTTGACAGCACCCAGATCCACAGGGTATCCTTGCTGAATGAGCTTACAAAGCAAGGAATGCATACTTTCCACTGCACTCTGACCCCTTATAAGACAAGACGCGTACGAGATCTTAAGGTCTTTCAACTCGGGCACTGCGAGGCACTGGCGGATAGGTCCACCCAGTGCCCCATGAGGCCCAACTTCGATAAGAGCATCAACAGAGGAGGCATTGTTCTGGGTTTCATCAATGCACATGTGGCGCAGAGAAGATACGAATTCCACTGGTTGGAGAGCGTTGCGCACCCAATGAGCTGGGTCAGTAATGTCTTCCGTCCGACTCATGCGGCGACCAGTTGTGGACGAAGAATAAATGACCGAATCTCCATTTTCTGCAGTCGGGGTCACCCAGGGAGCCATGGCCTCCAGATAGGGCTCGGTGATGGGCTGCACCAAGTGCGAATGGTATCCAGCAGTGACCTTTAGCCGACGGGCAAATATGTTTTCCTGTGAAATCATAGCCTCAAGCTCGAGAATAGCAGGGGTATCACCCGAGACTGTGACACTGACAGGGCTGTTAACACATCCCACGACCAATACGCCTGACTTGACGGCTGAGATCCTCTCTTGCGCGTCTTCACGACTAAGACCTACAGCAATCATGCCGCCACTATCATCAAGCAGATGTACCAGGCGAGTAGTAAGATCACCTCGATAGTAGACGATTGCAAGGGCATATCTGAGATCAATAAACCCGGCGGCATAAGCAGCACTAACTTCGCCACTGGAGTGTCCGGTGGCTCCTGTGGGATGAATACCCCAAGATTTGAGGAGATCAACCAGAGCCATTTGAACAGACGCGACGAGTGGAAGACTGTACTCAACCTCATTAACGTGGCTGGAGGACTCGTCCCGCATGAGCTCATCGATCAAGGACCAGGGTACACCGAGCTCGTATAGATATTCCTGGGCACGAATGAGGGTATCCTTGAACACAGGATAAAGTCCAATAAGCTCTCTTCCCATAGCATACCATTGAGCGCCCTGCCCAGTAAACACAAATCCTAAGCGAGGTACACGGGAGGATCTGACAGGGACGACAGAAGCCTGCGTCTGTGGTTTAGACTTGTCTAGAGACGCGACGAGAGCTTCCAAAGAATTTGCTGCACATGCCAGTGTCCAAGGGAAGCGGGAGCGTCTTTCACCCAAAGTGAATGCCAATTTATCAAGATCATGTTCCGAGTTGTGGTTATTGAGGGTAGTCAGATAATTGAAGTGCTGGTCACGCATGATTTCCGCCGTGTACTTGTCCTTCGCACTCAAGACAAAGACTCGAGGTCTGTCTCCAAACACGGAAGACTCATTGGAGAGAAGTTCGCTGTCGTTCTCCGGAAGGAGATACTGTGGGTGTTCGATGATAGCATGAGCATTGGCTCCTCCGTAGCCAAAGTTATTGACAGAGGCCCGATGTAAACTGTGCGAGGGCCATGCATCAAGTAAAAGCGGAATCTACACGAGTAATAATTAGTGAAAATGTGATAGACAGAGTTGGTTCCTCAACTCACCCGGATCCTTAGGTCTTCGAACGGAATATTCGGATTCGCATTCTGGTAGTTTATATGCGGCGGTATCAGACCCTTTTCCAGGGCCATGACCACCTTGATGACTCCTGCCAATCCACTTGTTGCTTCTGTATGTCCAATATTGGTCTTTACGGATCCTATTAAGATTGGGTTCTCACTTGTCCTATGCACCCCGAATACCTCCCCGACTGCGATGGCTTCCATCAAATCACCGGTTTGGGTTCCGGTTCCATGTGCTTCAACATAGCCTGTGTCAATGGGATCAAGCCCGCAGGCCTGATAGCATGCTTCCATAAGGTCTTTTTGTGCATCTGCGCTTGGCGACGTAATCGTGGTGGTTCTGCCATCTTGGTTGATGCCTGTGTTTCGGATAACAGCACGCACAGCGTCACCATCTCGCACAGCATCTGCTAAGGGCTTGAGAACAATGCTTGCAATGCCGTCCCCACGACCATACCCATCAGCGCGGGAATCGAAGGCAAAGCATTTACCTTCTTTTGAAAAAATTCTACACCCTCATTGGTAACATCAGCCTCCTTTCAACGAAGGGACTCGAACGATGAGTACATACCCTAGTTTTGTGCCTGCAATAAACATATCTGGGTTTAACAAAATACCCGAGCCTCCCACAATTGCCATCTTTGACTCCCCTGTGCGGAGGCTTTGGCATGCCAGATGCAAAAGCGTCAAAGATGTCGAACAGCCTGTGTCAACCATAACACTAGGCCCTCTCAGGTCGTAAAAATGTGAAATTCGATTGGCGACCATGGCAGCGCCATTTCCAGTGACAAAATATGCGTTATTCACGCTGGTAGGATCCCGCATATGATTGTCATGGTTGTCCCGGAAGGAGGTGCCGGCAAAGACGGACACATTGGTTCCTGCAACTTGCTCGATGGGAAGGCCGGCATTTTCCAGCGCTTCATAGACAGTTTCAAGCTGAAAACGTACCTCAGGGTCCATTGTCTATGAATTATCAGTGGCGATACAGTGTGGCAATTTAGGGCTCGCTCACTTTGGCAACGTCTGCCGAAAGATTGAAGAACGGCGCATCAAAGTGAGTCACATCTTCCTTTAAATAGTGCGCTCCTTTCACATATGACTACATTTTTAATGTTGTTTGATATCAGTTTGTCATTGGAACAGGAACCTTCAGGATGACTTACTGTTCCAATGTGGCCTTGATCTGGATGATACCATGCCTCTGCATGAAATCTCGCTGGGTTGATAGGCGACCATGCACTACGACCATTGGCAAGAAGATCCCATAATCGCTCTGGGTTGGTTGCATCCCCCGGGAATCGACAACCCATACCAATGATAGCAATGGGCATTGGAGATAGCTCCATATCGCTGTTTGGGGTTGGTGCGTCGATCTCAGTCGACATCGAGTCATCGGATGAGTCCCCTCTGGCAACCATAAGTTTTGATGTGAGGCTTTTGGCTTGTATTATCAGTACCGGGGGATTTATTTTCTTTCGCGCATGTCTAGAGCTATTTACAGTAATCACTGGCAGGTCTGACACATGAGCCATTGCCTGCGCTTCGGAACAATACTCCACATTTTATAGATAGATGCAAGATTAGTTGCATGAATACGAGCTTGGTGGATCAATCTAATGTCCGATTTGAGGGTTTTAGGGCGTTTGTCCCAGCGGTGGTACCACCTCGAAGGGCGCCAATGATGACGTGGGAACGAAACCACAATAGGTTTCTTTCAAGAACTTGATCTCTACAGAAACTCGTTGCTCATCCACTTTTAGCCAATTATTCGAAAGGTCTCCTATCTTAGCCCTCGTATTTCGTGGAGTTCGTGGCGCAGTTGCGTTGGCCCCAGTAAGACTGAACGCTCGCCCCTCGACTGGGCGACATCTGACATGAAGCAAAGATCTAATTCACAGAGCCGCACATTGAACGTATATTATATACAAGAGACAGAAGGGAAATCTAAATATACCCTTGGCCGGCGTAAGTTTGCGAAGAAGGGCTATGACAACGAGCTGCGGTCTGGGTTTCACTAAGTAATCTCCCTGGCTTGAACAAGTGAATACTATTGTTAAGTAAGAATATCTCTACGCAGAAGCAGACAGCATATAAAGAGTATCCCATTTTGATTTATCCAAGAATCACCCTACAATAACTAGATCAAGTCAATCCCTCCACTCATCAAGTGTGGGAAGGACCTTGCAAAATGCATTCCCTCTGCGTTCCTCCTTTCAAATTTCTCCGCGCCCTCTGCAACCAAAGGAATCGACTCCTTGAGTGCAATATCCGGAACAACTATAACGATTCAATTTGAGCAACATTTGATGATTGCGGACGCGATAACCAGAGACCGAGAGCGACTTTTGCCGTGTAAATGAGAGCCACTCGGGACAGCTCGCGATGTCAAGATATCCGGTTGAAAGAGCGGCTGTTGGCTCTTTTTGCGGAGGAATTTGCCGGTGATGATGGTGTATAATACTCAAAGCTATTACTTCATCATTACCAGCAGGATTATGGACCGTTCAGGAGGATTTACATGCCACATCCCCAGCATACACTTGAGGGTGGGCCGAAAGAAGGCCAATGCTCTCCCGCAGCACACACATAGAGGGCGACAGACATTTTGGGGGCGATGTTTTCTAGAGCCAGTAATGAAGCTAGCTACCTATTCTTTTAAATCGATTGATAAGAGACTACGGAAAAGGGTGTAGTGGTGTTTTGTCCATATGGGGCTGGTGGTACCACCCCAGAGCTCCCTATAATCCCCACATCCAAGGGCTCTTAGTTCTTTGGTTTTTATAATGTTAGTTACCAGTTTCCAAAAAAAAAGCCCGATGAGCATATGATCGTGACTGCGGCTGCTGAAGCTCGCGGGTCGATGGACGCCGCTCCCATATAAGGATCGTAGTGCATGGCCGATTCCCAAACCATTGCAGATATCGAGTGGTATGGATTATTTATAAAAGCGATCTCGACGGCAAGATATGGGTGGTATCACTGGCAGGCATCATGCTCTTCATAGGCCCGCTAATTCGAGCTGTGGCAGCCTCGTCCGTTCTACATTGCTATTCCAGCTGAGTCAGTTAGGCACGGTGCATTGGGAACCATAGATGTTGCAATTGGCCGATGAGCGTGCTAGTGATATCCACATGGTTGCGCGGGCCTCGGGCACCTGTAGACTTCCAAATGAAATCCTCTCACTAGCGCAGGGGTAATATGTAGTGATCAAGCGCGAGGCGGTTGAAACAAAGCTATATCGTAGTGTTTAAAGAGCCCTATATGTGAGAAGAGGAAATCCTGCCAGGTTCTGAGGTCATCCAAAATGTAGCCTCCCAACAAGAAGCTAGTGTGCTTACGGCCCCGGGACCAGGCAAACACGTATAATCCAGATAACAAAACTTTCGCAACAAATTCTCCTAAATTCTTCAAAAATGTCTTCAGATCCAAATTCCCCTGTCAGTCTCGCCCACTCCTACATTGCCAACGCTCGGTTTCACCGGCGCTTCACCCTCGAAGCCACTGCTACACATGGCCCTCTAAATGTAACCTACGCCGAGTTCGGGCGGCAACCCGAGGAGTCAATGACTACTCCGACTATTCTTTTGATCCCAGGGATGTTTTCCTCCCGATATCTTGGCGTACAACTGCATGCCATTGCCGATAAGTTAGGCGTGCGTGTGTTAGTTGTCGATCGGTGAGTGTGGAATCTTTTCCGCCCCCACTATACATGAATGAGCCACGCTAAACCGGCATATTATTGACAGTCCTGGAATGGGCGGTTCGACTGATGTACCGCTCGTACAGCGCATGTCTATCTGGGTGGAACTCGTCCCGCGTCTTCTGGCGCATCTCGGTATTCAACATGTGGCGCTGGCGTCACATAGTGCTGGCACTATGTATCTTTTGAATACTTTGTACCATTGTCGGGATCTTTTGTATCCCAACAATATGGTGATTAACATGTTAGGTATGTTGTTTATCCTATTGGGCACTTGCTTCTTGTTATCTATATGCTCCTCGGGTATATCCAAAAAGAACGTTGAACTAATCACCTCTCAGCACCCTGGGTTGATCCCGCGCACTCGCATAATACTTCGATGCAAATGCTTCAATATATCCCCACCAAAGCTTTTGGCATCTGGCATCGCATCCCACGCTTCTTCCTACTCCAGGCCGCGCCCGCGTTCGCGTCAAGCGGTGCGGTAGTGAAGAAAGTGACGAATGCAATTTCCTCAAATGACACTAGCAGTCAAGACAATTCTCATCAAGAAAAGCAGCGTCGTCATATTGAGGAAGTGTATGGAGTATCGCGTGATATGCAGGCTGAATTAGACAGCCTGATGCACAAATACATGTTTGAAGAAAACACGGTTGGCGCGAACAGCGAAGCTCTGCAGTGTCTACGGAAAGAGCCTAACAATACGTGGGGCAAATGTGAGGATTATGAGGTTTTCGTACGGGAGATTGTGGATTTGGAACGGGGACGAGACCGAGAGGGTGCTCCGTTGAGGATTCAGGCGTATTTTGCTGAATCTGATGTTATGATTGGCAAGAAGGGGCAGACATATTTTGAAGAGTGCTGGCGTGGGACGAATGGAGAGTATAAGGATGTAGTCGAGTTTGCCTCGACGACAGTACCGGGTACTGACCATGATACTTTGGCGTTGTCGGTAGATGTTTGGGAGGGTATTTTCCAAGGTGTACTGGAAGTCGTGGGTAGCCACTAGAACTAATTTTGTTAAGGGACCATGGGGTAAGTGAGTACAATATAGTTGATATTTTTTTGCAGTTGTCTCTTACTGCGTGGGTATCACTGTAATATTGATGCCGAATAGTGAACTTGGATTCATTAATTTACCATTCCAATCTTCTTCCCACATTCAAACTAATTTTGGAATGCAAGTCAGACTGACTTAGACTCATCGACATGCTTCATAGCCTCATGAAACATCTCAACTAAACGACTTGCCGCATCCTCCCCCCAAAACAAACCTTCATCCTCAATACAACGCTGAATATAATCCCGAGCGCGAGGCCTCATCTCAGCTTCATACTTAACAACAGCTCGCTCAATAGCCACAATATCGGCCTCTTCATCAAACCCATCTCCAACCTCGCCACCATTTACCTCAGCCATAATACTCTCAAACAACACCAAAGCATCATACATAGCCTGATTAACCCCTCCCCATTTGGCGTAGAAATATGCGCCGCATCCCCCAACATCGCAGCCCCAGGAACATGCCTCCAGCAACCTTGATCCCCATGCTTATCATCCTCCGCAGCAGGAGCAGGCAAGAAAATATCCGGATCAAGACGATAGAGAGGCCAAGCACGCCAGGGACCCTCAGCTGCAGCGATGAAAGCCCGTAGATGCGGAGCCCAATCACCATAGAACCCGCCAGGTGCGAGCATTGCAGCACGCATCTTTTCGGTATCGGTTACATCGGCAATGCCACCAGGTCTCGTTATAGCCTCTGGTGCAATCAACCCCATGTAGACACGATAAGAGCTATCGGCTGTTTGCTGGATGCAGAGTGTACTCCTCGAACCCGTGGCCATTGAGTTGCCGGCGCCCACCATTTCGAGCGCTGCGTTGTATTGTGGGTTGTTGGGTGATAAGCGGCCTTCTATGAAGCTTTTCCCGGAGTATAGTGGTTTTGCAGGGGTGAACTGTTGAAGAGTTAGCCATGTCCAAGAACAAAAAAGAAAAATGCCTTGTAAAGAAAAGTAAACACATACCAATTGCCGTAACCTACTCCATGCCCCATCAGCACCAACAACAAGCCGAAACCCCCTCTCAACAGTTCCATCAGCAAAGTGCAGAGCTATCCCCGCAGCACCTCGCACCTTACTCCCACCTGTCTCATTCTCAACGGAAGCCAAATTCTTGCCCCACCGAACACGCTCCATTGGGATAGAATCAAGCAACATCCGCCTTAACTGGAGACGATCAATCTCAGGCGCATCGCGCACCTCATCAAAGACACTGCGGTGATTTCCGTGTGCATCTTGGATGGTCATAGTCATTGCATTGCGGCGGGCTAATTTCTCGAATTCATCTGTTAGACCGGCGCGGCGGAGTGCTGCTTGGCCTGTTTCTCTATGCAGGTCCAGGGTGCCGCCTTGGAAGCGTGCTGATGGTTGAGGGGATGTGTCACGCTCGAAGACTGTGTAGTTTATATTGGCTGTTTCGAGGAGGCGGGCGAATGTTAGGCCGCTGGGTCCGCCGCCGATAATGGCGATTGGGAGTTGAATTGAGGTTTGGTGTGGCATAGCTTTTGGGTGGAGAGTTTTATGGTTGAGTGAAAGATGTAGTATAGAGGTGTTTTAGGGGGGAGGTTTGGTTGTGGTTCGATAGAGTTGAGGATAACGATGTAGAAGATGGCCGACTGAGGAGCGGGCGGCCACCTTTATACTTACCGTCGGGTCGGGCACATACTCGGTATTTGGTAGACATAGACAAGCATTAAAAGTTCGTCGGTTCCGAATGATCGTAAATGGGCGAGTGAGTACAGGTAAAGGCCTGTTACGCTCGGTCCCGAATTGACAGGACTCGGTCCCGAGCCCCTATCTGGCCGAAGCGAATCTGGCTTGAAAATCGGCGCTGGGAGCTGCGACTGGAACGTAATATATGGTTTAAGTCCATCATCTTGGAGCCTGAGTTACTTGAATTCTTAAAAGTTAGCGAAATCTCCGAAGGAGAGAAGATGTTTTACAGTACGCTGTAGGGCTACCAGAGTGGGTCCAATTTTCCTAGTGCTGATTGGTGTAGATCTTAGAAGCTTGTTTGCTGGCATATCTGACTCGTCGACCAGGTTTATACTTCTCACTTAGTTAGGACTTGCCTAGCACTCTAGTAGGGAGAAGAATTTCATTTGGATCGAATGCATAAATCACATTAACAGGAGAGGTATCGAACATCTAAAGAAAAGACCCAAGAGAAACACCAAAACGTTAATCGAAGACAGGACCCGAAAGATGCCCGACCAATGAGAAAGTCGTGTTGAAACAAAGCCAGCTTTAAAACAAAAGGTCGTGGAAATGAAACCAAGCCAATATATGAAAATTGACACAAAAAATTGAAAATCAAACAGGCTCAACTGTCTGCAGAGGGACGTATCCCTCATCTTCCCTAATGGTGGTTCTGACACCCTTGCCAGTAACCAGGGACCAAAATGAAGCGGCCACACCACCAACCCGACGACGGAGAGAGCGTGGGCTATCTGACAGGACGGTAGCAGGAGACCACCAGCTACGCTTCCGGGCATGAGCGCCACGACCAATACCAACCGCGGAGAGTGCGCCAGAGGCGATCTCTTTTTCAAGACGTTCGGTGGTCATCCAAGAGGGACGGCTCCAGAACTTCAGAAGGAGACTGCTGACCACGACAGAGACACTGGACAGGGCCATTGCAGCGCCAGCGGCCATAGGCGGTAGCATGAAGCCAGTGAAGGGGAGGAAAAGGCCCATTGCGAATGGAAGGCCGATGACGTTGTACAGACATGCCCACATCAGGTTCAACTTAATGCGCGTGAAGACAGAGCGCGAGAGGGACAGACTGGCCGGCACGGAGAGGAGGTCGTCGGGACGCATCAGGACGATGTCGGCTGCTTCCATGGCTACGTCTGTGCCGGAGGCGAGGGCGATTCCGACGGATGCTGTTGCCAGCGCTGGGGAGTCGTTGATACCGTCGCCAACCATTGCGACGCGCTCGCCTTCGGCTTGGAGGGCGGAGACGATGGATCGTTTCTCTGATGGTGAGACAGAGGCGTGGATTGCGGTTTTGGGGATGCCGACCGCTGTCGCGATTGCTGTTGCAGTTGAGAGCGTGTCGCCCGTTACCATTGAGGTTGAGATTCCCATGCGGTGCAGGGCTGCCACTGCGGCTGCGGCTGTGTCTTTGACTGTGTCCCGAAGGGAGATGGTGCCGGCGTAGCGGTTGTCGATTGCCACGTGAATCCGGGTTATGCCGGATCCTGAGCTACTGGGCTTGGGGACTCCGGCTTCGGGGGTAGATCCAGATGCTGCAGAGTCGGGGTCTGCATCAGCAGGCACAGGGACACTTTTGGAACGGAGGTAGTCAGCGTTGCCCAGAAGGACATTATACCGAATATGGTCACCGCTGGATGTAGGTTCGACAGTAGCAGAGATACCCTTGCCAACACAGTTGTCAAAGTCGCCCATGGCACCAGGCAGTCCATCCTCTCCGGGATGTCCTGATTCTGTTTTAGCCGCAGAAAGGATCGCTCGTCCAATTGGGTGTTCACTGCCTGTCTCTGACAGACCGACAACAAGCCACCAAAGCTGGCGACGCCAATCATTCATTGTCCATTGAGGTTCAATCCGGGTGTGCGCCACGCTCATCTTTCCTGTAGTCAAGGTGCCAGTCTTGTCAAAGACAACATGGGTGACCTTGGTGGCAGCTTCCAGAACAGCACCACCTTTAACAAGAATACCGTGCTCTGCGCCAACTCCAGTACCAACCATAACAGCAGTCGGCGTACTCAGACCCAAAGCACAGGGACAGGCGAAGACAATCACCGAGATGCAGAGCTTCAGACAGACCATGACTCGGCCACCATTGCCTTCGACTTCGAAGATCATAGGCGGGTGGGGAAGTATATGGCTAAGGAACATCCAGCCGAAGAACGTGATCAAGCCGAGACCAATAATAGCGGGTACAAAGTAACCAGCGACGATATCAGCCATGCGCTGAATTGGAGCACGGCTTGTCTGTGCGTCCTGCACCAATTTCACAATCTGGCTGAGCTGAGTGTCCTTGCCGGCTCGAAGGACTTTGAAGTCGATTGAGTTCGTACCGTTCACAGTTCCAGCAACGACCTGGCTACCGATCTTCTTGTGGATTGGTAGCGCCTCTCCGCTGATCATGCTCTCGTCAACATAGCTCTCGCCGCGAATCACAACCCCATCCGCAGACACCTTGTCTCCGGGATGGAGAATGACAATATCACCCACTTGAATCAGCTCGGTGGGTATGCACTTTTGATTCACTGTCATTTCCTCCGCCAGGGCTGGTTGCTCGGAAGCGCCAGATGTAGGCTTATAGGACCAGCGCTCGGCCAACTTCTCTGCCGCAATGGGATCTTCGTAAATAGTCGTCATCGATGGGGTCAAAGACATTAGCCGGGACAGGGCAGCCGAAGTTTGGCCCTTAGCACGGTTCTCTAACCACCGTCCCAAAGTGATGAACGTAATCAGCATTGTGCTAGTGTCAAACACGGTGCTTGGGCGTTTGTGATCAATGCTGCAGAGGGCCAAGGTCATGGTGAAACAGCTATAAAAGAAGGCAGCCGAAGTCCCCAACATAACGAGCACGTCCATAGTTGGGGAGCGGTGCTTGAGAGACTTGAAGCTGGTAATATAGAAACGTCTACCAATGCCAAATTGCACTGGTATTGTAAGACAAAGACAAATCAAGTCTCCAAGGTAGAGGCCTGGCATCAGTTCAAAGCCACCAAAGTCAAGTCCGGGCAGATACATGGGAAAAATCATGCTAATGAGGAAGACAGGCACCGCAAAGGACGCTGAGGTGATGAATGCGCGCCTCCACTCTTGTATTTCCTTTGTCTTTGACAACGACTGTAATTGCGCGTTCGTATCGTCCGAGTCAACTATCAGGGCGTTGTAGCCAGCGGCTTCAATCACATCCACCACGGACCGGATTCCAATGATTGATGGGTCAAAGGAGATTGCTATCAGGGAGTTGGACATTTTGATTGATGCCGAATGGACCCCAGATTTCTGTAGTAGGTTGTCTTCCAGTGCAGAAGCAGAAGCAGCATCCCGTAAGCCATGCAAGCTTAGATTGATTTGTTGCGTCTTCTTTGAAAGAGGCGCCTGCACCTCTGATGACACAATCGACGCATCGAATCCAGAATCCTCTATTAGATCTGGGATTTTGCTGGCGGGGATGATGGCTGAATCGTGGACAACCACCGCACGCTCAGCCAGAAGACTGATATTGAATTGGATCACACCATCCACACCGCTCAAGGCACCCTCAACACTAGATGTACAAGCGCCGCAGGTCATGCCTCCGACTGCGACAGTCGTGACCAAAAGTCCAGTTTTGTTTTCCGAGTCGACCGGGGTGGATGACCCTTCAGGTCCAGCTAGGGATGTTTCCAACACACGCGCCCCAAACCCTCGGTCCTCAATAATCTCTGCGATCTGCTCCGGGGTAATGGCACCAGCATCATGCTCCACCACAGCGCGCTCAGAAAGCAGGGATACATCCACCGAGTTCACACCCTTAACGTCTTTCAGTCCGCTTTCCACGGCAGATGTACATGCGCCGCATGTCATACCTTCCACGGCCAGGTTCGTGATCGAGAATCGCGTGGCTGTGGTATCGGAGACGGCATCGGTGTGGGGGTTTGGTCTGTTCATCGGTGGATAAGACTGTCGCATCGAAGCCGCAATCTTCAATCATCTCCGCTACTTTTGCCGGCGATAAGACCGTCGGATCATGTTGCACAGCAGCCCGGCCCATTATAAGGCTGACGGAGACATCCTGCACACTTTCGACCCCCTTAAATGCGCCCTCCACTGCAGACGTGCATGCTCCACAAGTCATGCCGTCTATTTTGATGGTCGTCGTGGCCATTGCGGGTCGATCGGACCGGCCAACTGCGGCTAGGTTTGGCATTTTGACGGTGAAGCACGAGGCGATCACGGCGAGGAGGATGGGCTATCGCATAAGGAGGGATGCGATCAGGCTTTGCGAAAGAGAGGGCGTTAATAGTGTGATGAGGAACGGATGCTCTCGGATGGCGCAAGACCGATCAGATCATTCCCCGATTAGACCAAGGAACTGCAGAAGTTAGAATATACAGAGTACACTCTGCCAAAGGCCACGTCAAGGAGATGCAAAGACAAGAAATAAAACCAAGGGCAATGTAAGGCAACGGCTGCAGTGGATTTGATTACGAGGGGTGTGGATCGCATCCCCGAGCCACGCAAAAGAATGCAATCCCCGATTCCCCGATCTCATATACAGTAGGCAGCTGATAAGATGGTCCTGTTTTCAAGGAAACCAGCAAATTAACGAGGCCATAGATCAATATTCACGTAATATTCAGGGTCAAGAGAACTTGAAACAGGCTAGACATGTCAAAAAGAAATGGTTGTTTCAAGGGTTAACGGTCAAGTCGGTGACACTACCACATCAGCTTAGTGCCTGGATGAGAATGTGGGCGTTTTCACCTGGACAATTTGAGCGAGCAAGGATATGCATACTAGTAAGTACTCAATTAAGTAATATAACAGTGTAATATAACGTTCTCTCTACTAATATTAACTTACAACGAGAACATGGCCAAGACCGAGTAAATATACTGCATCAGATAAAGTGTGTTTGCACTGTGTGCAAACCAGCAACTACAGCTCAATCTCCAACGTAGCTGGAGCACCTTCTCTCCACATTTGATTGCACTTCACCCTTGCAATACACTCTCACACCCTCACTGTTCCCGTCACTCCGATCCGCCCAGATATCACTCCAATGGATCAGGTCCACGCACGAGCCCTGGAGGCTCTCCAACCGTTCATCCTGCTGGCCAAATCAACCAGCGCAAGCTCACCCCGCTTCATCGCGAATATCATCACAAATGCCACCTCAAGCCCACAAACCTATGTCTTCGCCGAGCTGCTCGAGCTGCCAACAGTCCAAGCATTGCGGTCACCAGACACACCTGCCGAATTCCAAGGCCATCTAAAGCTGCTAGAGATATTCGCGTGGGGCACATTGCAAGATTACCAAGGTGAGAACTATACCTATATACCAAACCAAGAAATTAAAAAAAAAAAGGCCAGCCTGCATCATCCTAAAAAAGCCCCAACCCCCAAGGTCTAAAGTCCAAAAGCTAACAATCACCCTAAACCAGCAACCCCAGACCTACCAGAACTGAACGCAGAACAAACAACCAAACTCCGCCTCCTCTCCCTCTTGTCCCTGTCAACAACAATCAAACCCCTAACCTACACCTCTCTAAAAACCGCCCTCTCCTGCGCCTCAACAACAGACCTCGAATCGCTGATAACAACAGCAATCTACGCCTCCCTGATAACAGCCCGCCTCTCCCCAGCCAGCAAACCACCCTCGGTGAACGTAACAGCCGTTTCCCCCTTCGCGATGTCCAACCCACCTCCCTACCAAAGATGATCTCTATCCTGACAGAATGGGAGTCCCGCTGTGGTAATGTGGTCAGCGACCTGGAAGCGGAGATCGCCCGCGTCAAGACGGATGCTGCCAAGCGTGCGCATAAGAAATATACCTACGACCAACGGCTTGAAAAGGCTGTGGAGCGTCGCCAGAATGGTGCTTCTGGCGAGGCTGGTGGTGGGCGGAGGGGGAATAGGGCTCGGTTTGGGGCTGGGCTTGGTGGGAGTAAGAGGGATGCTGATGATATTGATCAGGATGATGGGTTCTTTGAGACTGGGGATGGGGAAAGTTCGCGGATGGATATCGATGAGGGGGCTGGTGCTGGTGCTCGCTCTGGGAACAGTCGTTCGAAGAGGGTGTTGGGGCGGAAGTCTTGAGATTACCAGATACCCTTGAAGGCCTAGATTATGACATGTTTTTTAATTCTTTTCTCTATTCCTTGTGGGTCTTGTGGTTATGTCGCTCATTAGATCATACTAGCGGTTGCAACGGAAACTCATGATACGAAATGACTTGATTATGCATTATTACTCTGATCTTTCACTGACTCCCAAGGTCGTAGGCGATGAAAAGGGACAAAGTTGCATTCGTAAAGCCCAGAAAGGGCGCTCATTGAGAAGGTAGATACAATACAAGTATGGCGAGTCGAAGGGGTATTGTAAGAAGAGAAAAAATCACAGAAAGAACAGCAGGCAATATGAACACGACAAGGAAAGGTGGATGGGACCGCTCATAAGCGGGTGGATGGAGGAGAACTGGTTTTCTTGGACAGCCTCGATGTCGATGACTGATATTCGAACCAAAGGTTTCCTCCAGAAATGTGCTTCACAGAAGCAGAACCTCGTTATCCGGACGCCAGAGTTGAAACGCCGTCAAAGGGTCATGAATGTAAACATTGCCAGGAGGATAATCAAGGTCCGCGGCAGGAGCTGGTGTTGTTTTGGAGGAGAAATTAAGGCGAATGACGAGAAGTTCACAGCATGGTGCCGGGAACGAAAATAAACAGAATACTCAAGGCCGCAGCTGTCAGGAAGGCGATGAATGCGGTGACGAGGGCGCGTTTGTTCAGGAGCTTTCGAACGTAAGGCTCACGAATCGGGGCCCAGTTCATAAATGTGTATTCACTGTAGCCCAAGAACGCCATGACGGGGTCAATCTTGTACTGATATGAAACGATGAAGTATGCTGCGACTGCAAATGGAAGAATGATCTGTTTCAAAGTTAGTCATTAGACTTCCGATGCGGAAAAAGACTCGTGAACATACCCAGCAGCGAATGTTGCGGGGCTTGTTCCGTAGGACAACGTAGAAAGCACCCCAGAAACCTCCACCGAAACTGATCAAAGCAAAAGCGAGGCGCAAGATCATACTCAAGGGAACGAGGTTCCCGAGAGCCTTTGCCTGCAAGAAGCCTGGGAATGCATCACGCTCCATAGCCTGGAAAACATAGTCCTTAGCGGGGTCGAAAACCTCAGGGTCATCACGGCCATCATCTTCAATCAGGTTGATAATTGTCGAGACCATCGTTTCTGGCAGCATGATCTCTCGCTCGGAACCGGGAAGCAGGTATGTGTACAAAATCTTCTCAGCGCTGGCTCGAATATCATTACGGTCCACCGTGTGGCCAGGGAATTTTCGTCGTCGTTGCGGGTGACTGAGCTTGGCCTAGGCTCTTCATTCGATGAGACATGGTGTGCTGATCTGGTTGAAGACACGCTATCCTGTGCCGAGTGCGAAGTGTTGCCTTCGGAGCGAAGGAATGCAGACAAACGTTGGTCGGCGTCTCTCTCCTTCTCGTCTCCGTTGAACCCGTGGCGCAAACGGGAAGGCCCAGCCTCCGTCAGCGGGATGTCACCCAGGTTCTCCAGGTTGTCTAGCATTGCGGATGATTGTTTGCTGTCGGCTCGTTCTATGTCGGGGGTTGCGACCAGGACTGAACGGCGAAGTTCTCGGACATAGTGTCGGCATAGTAGCATGTGTTGGGAAACATCGAGCCTAATAATGTCGGTAAGAGCGTGCTATCAGAAGCAGGGTGAGTTGATTTTACTTACCAGAAATCCAGATAGTCCACGGAACGCTGCTGGTCCCGCATGTAAATATAGAACGAAAAGAGGTCGACAGGGGCGAGGGTTCGACGACTGAGAACCTCAAAAAGGGTCGGAAGGCGATTCCGCGACTCCGCGTCGACAAAGTCGTGAGACATGTTGGCAATGTGCGGAGAGTTGAAGATGGTGAAAGTCCAGCACCGAAAATTCGAAATTAAGAGGGGGGCGCGATAGGGGCTGAGATGGCAGGGTCGGGTCGGCGAGTTGGAAATCTCAAAAAGAAGCCCCAAAGACTAGTGCGTAAAGGTGAATGCTGATAGAAGCGAACGACAGACGATAGGGAACGAAAGGAGGGGTTGCAAAGAATTGGATTCCACGTCGCGAGACACGCAATGGTTGTGGATAGATGTATGCCCCTGAGGACCGCGGAGGGTATCACAACGTCGATGTCCGCAAACTCAGCAAAACACAAGAACTTGATGAAGACAAGTCCAGTAACGAAACGAAAGACCAGGCACCTAGGCAAGGGTGAAGCAACGAGGATATTCCAGCCATCGGCATTCTTCTGAAACAACACCGCATCAACAATGATCCGAGATTAGGCTCCACCTGTCAGGGGGAGGAATTAACCTCGTCTTTTAGGTTATTGCGTCATATACTTCGAACAGCTTTCGGTTGAGCTTTATATTTGCCCAAGACCAATCAATATATTTACAATATTACGATACTATTGATGTAACGGTCTCCGCAACTCTCAGTGGCAGCAGCTCTGTCCGGAAGAGGGGCACAGAAGTAGGATGCTGTGACATGAACAGCATCATCAAACCTATCACCTGGATGTACCTACACATTTGTCGCGGCTCGTGATACTCCCAATACGCTTATTTGAAAATCTAGGAACATCATGGAATCTCTTGAGAACGTCATTACCACCCTAAGCATGAGCTGTCTAGCTGCAATTTCCAAAGCATATCAAGGGAAAATCGATAGTACTTCAGTATAATCGAGATATCAGGTTTGATCTCATGATGAGGATCCCGGCTGGTTTACGCCAGCGATATCGCATTCACTGAAGCCACTCGCACGTGTGACGGCTGAGATGGTTCACAAGGTTGTATGCAAATGGCTGTGTCTTTTCTTCGACTTTTTCAAGTCGTGTTCAATCGTAATCCACCCCCTGGATACCTCTGCCCTTTCCTCGACCGTAGACTCTCGCATCTCTTCAAGTCCCTGCGAGATGCGACCCATTACAATCATGCATTTTTGATGTCTGCCTAGCGAGTCGTTGATCTCTCTGAGTATCCCGCTCAATGGATATCCTGCTAGACCCCATAGCCCTGATTAAGGTTAGCTTGTAAACAATAAGATCACAGAAATATTGCCTGCACGTTCTACGTACCCGCTGTCGGCTTGAGAAACACCCCACCCACTGCTTTCCCGACCCCCTTGAGGAGCCCCTTAGCACCTTCATGCTTAAGACCATAACGAGGATGTGTTCCTAGGCCCGTGATACCAAAGTAAAATCCGTCTCTCAGCTCCTGTGCATATGTCAGAATATTTGGTCTCAGACTGGCGCTGGTATGGCTTTTACTACCTTTCCTGCCGCCCTGAACCCGCTTCGAAGACTGACCACCTGGGGGCGTCGGTTACTGTCGAGTCGTGATATAATTTGGGTGCGTTGTGGAAACCTCTGGCCATGCTCAGTGACAAATCGGTTGGTAACAATATAATTATCTTCAATAACTTCTTCGACATTTTACTTCCATGTAACGCAACTTCGTGTAAAACAGGGAATTTAGGCGGTTTTGAGGGCGTCATCGAGCTGCTCATTGTCTTGGCCTTTTCGAGCTGGAGATTCCTTTTGCGCTCCATGCTCCGAATTCGAGCGATGTCGTTGACGTGGTTTTCATTGTCCTCATCAGCAGTATCTTCCTGTGTACTCCCCTCTTCTCGGATTTCATTATCTTCCAGTTCATCATTCTCAACCTGCAATTGCCGGTCATCATTTTCAACCTGTATTTCCTCGCTCTCAATACTATCCTCTGGGGATGATTGATCCAGTGAAGAAATTGCTGCCCGACATGCTGCTTGGCGATCAAAATGTTCGTGGGGTTGGCGTATTGCGCGAGCAGCAGAAACAAGATCACGCACAATCTCTCTTGGCGTATCTGCAAGCCCAGTCACGAAGCTCGCAATGGTTCCAAAGAGCACCTGGGCACCAGCAGTAAGTGGGTCGGCAGGGTCCAGGAATGTATCGTATTCCATTGGACGGTGACCGGAGGCAAATCAGCAAGAAACTCTCGCAATTTTGGTAACTTGTGTTGGAGAAGACTTACAGCACGAGCATGTCTGGACTGATCTTCCCTGATTTCACCAGAACCGTTGCTGCAAAGGCACTCAAGTTGATTTCAGTATGTTTGAGATGCCAAGCCGCCGGCTGATCCGGGACTATAGAGCATCTGAATGACTGGGGATCAAGATGTCGATAAAAGCTATTCACCCCATGGCGCACGCCAGACTCTTCCTGCATTTTCCTCGCGATCGCCTGTGCTCTGTCTAGGGTACTTCTTCTCTAGCGCTTTCTGTATTGCGTCTGAGAGATTCTGCACGTTCAAATGTTTATGTGGTATCGGTGCTGGCCCAGCTCCAGCCCGCGCAACGATATCTCCCCAAAATTGCTGGTCTCCAAAGAAAGGGATAATTATCGTCGGTCGACCTAGCGCGAGGCCTGCCGCTGTGGTGCCAGCACCACCATGGTGGATCACACATGAAACCTGCCGAAATAGCCAATCGTGAGGGCAGTTTCCAATCATAAGAATATTTTCCGGCACTTCGTCTGCCCCCAGATTTCCCCAGCCTTTTGAGACAAGAGCCCGCTGTCCGGATTTTTGGACTGCTTCAAATATAATCTTGGTCAGTTTGACAGGATTATCAACTACGATCGAGCCAAATCCGATATATATTGGTTTTGGTCCTGCTTTGAGAAATGTAGCTATTTCCTTTGGTGGTGTGTAGCTGGTCTCTGATAGGAGGAAGCCAAAGCCGCATATATCGATGTTATCAGCCCAATCAGGGGGCTTAGGTAGTAATGAAGGAGACCTGTTTCAAATATTAGAATAGTTTTGCCGACAAGGAATATATTCCTAACCATAGATACGAATGCGGCACATGTAGTCGATGTAGTATGCTCGGGGCGCTCATTGTACCCAGAGGTTGGAGTGCCAAGGTATCTTTGCGAAGCGTGTTTAGAATATCTCCTAACCCTTCCCATACCATTATATCTACAATGTTATAGGACACAAAATTTGCGATAGTCGGCTTGCAGTTCCGGGAGTGGACATTCGCTAATGGGTGGGGAAAGGACTGGGTTGGTGACCAGGGCATCCTATTATTCATTAGGTGTTCAGTATGCAAAAGGCAACTAGAGATTAGTATATAAGAGGGTCGGCTCACGTGAATATAATATGGAGAGGGATGCCTAGTCGTTGTGCGCAATGAATATGGGCTAGGCTAGGAGGGTTGGCTATAATAGCATCTGCCACAAAGGGCCGTTGTCGATAATCCAAAGTCTTACTGAACGGATCTTCTTTAATCTGGTGAAGGTAAGTCCCGTCACCCTTTTCAAAGCAAGATCTCCAACATCCATTGAAGATTTCCTTCATCTCACGCCGACGCCTCTGGATCTCTCCGCTGCGTATTGCCTTAAACCCCGGTAAAAGGCCCGGATTTTTCACCATGAAAGCCATCAGCTCCGCTGGGTCTCCTCCGATATTGAAAAATTCTAAACCGCTATCGAGAACGAATTGCCGAAAAGCTAAATGTGTGGCCAATCTGACTCGGTGACCGTGTGCTTTCAGTTCTCTGCCTAGTGCAACAAATGGTTGAATGTCGCCTCGAGAGCCAATCACTTGGATGACGAGGTTTAAGTGCATTGGAAAATGCTCGTCCTTTGCGAAGAGCCGTTCTGCACTGGCGGTCCGTTCGGCCTCCCGGTCAGAATGTATATCCGGGCGTTGGATGTGGTTCAATAGCCCTGCGAGGTGCGGTTTATGCTGATCGATACGGATGTCTACCCGGCCGTCACCTATGACAAGACGTGATCCACGTTAGGGCAAGGTGTGTGAATATCGCCGGATTATCATTCACCTAGAATACGAGCGCCAGTATTCAACCCATCCTGGAAAAATCGCACTTCATTGTGGTCATCTGGTGATCGCTTTATATCTTCACCCGGGAAATCATCCGAGCGAATGGACATTCCTGCGGTGGTCAGCGCTACAGCGGCCATGATCGACAGGAGGTATGGCGCGTCGGATTGCTAGAAGAAAAGGTGAGATTGATGATCAGCAAAAGCGATGGTCAAGATGGGCGAAACTCGCGTTGAAGTCCCAACACGCGGCTCATAACCCCGAACATTGATCTTTGCTCACGCGACCCGTCTCTAATAATCTCTGACAAATCCAAGTTCAAAGAAAAGTGATTCGTTTTTTGGTGGTGAATGACGTCAGTGGACTCACTCGGCCCAGGGTAGGTGAAACTTTAGCTCTTTGTGAAAGATCGCTGGGAGGGTCTAGATCAACACAATCGCATCATCCGCCTTGGTATTATAAGACGAGAGAATGTAAAGCGGTCTGAAAGTCGGTAAGTTGGGTTGACAGTAACAAAGTCCCGTCGCAAACTCACTTGAACTGCCATATCTGACATCCAAGAAGCTCTTCACGTTAGGATAACATAAATTATACATGGAGAGGGACCTTACCTACTAGGTAAATTACACGACCACCAACAGAGCATGCTTCACACAGGAGTCTAATGGAAGGAGGACGTCGACAGACTGGATGATATTGAGCTTGGTGAGTGCCTCGAGGGAAGATGGAAATGAAAAAAAAGGAAATGGTTCGAATGTGGACGACACTTTCCTTATGCAAGTGAAAGCTTTAAAATCATACCCTCATTTACCTCAGGTTCTCAGATTTGATGTTTACACGTGAAAAGAAGATGAAGAGAAACTCACTGGCGTCAGCTTATAAACCAGTGAAGCATATTCCATAATAATCTATCCACAGGGTATTGCCTAAGTCTCAATCCCAACGCCGTACCGAAAAAAACACCCTCGCTGCATAAAATGTACCTTTTTCAATCAATGATTATCCGCAAGATGCTAGAAGACTCAGTATTTGTATTGCAAGTTAGGATCTTTCTTAGGGAATACTCACCGACCACTCGGGGATATTCCGAATCTGGGACCACATAAACTTCTCAAGCTTGTTTGCACTCTTGGCATATGGCGTAGTCTCATTGTTATAACGGCGGCAGTTGTCGAAGATTAGCATGGCATCCTTGATGAAATCCTGCGGAGTCGGATACAGGTCCTTTTCGTGCTTTTCTTCCATTGTTGATAGGTCCATGGGCTCCAAGATCACTTCATAGTAATCTGGCACTTCGTCACGGTTCACTGGTTGGGTGAATGGCCAAGCCGCACTGTGGTTCTGCATGTCATTCAACAGATGGAGCAACTGGTTGTAGTTGGGTCCATGACGGGGCTGGCGAGCCATTTCATCCATATCAGGTGACCATCCAGACTCCTTGATTGCCGGAATGCTGAGGGGATCAATCGGATGTACGCCATTCTTCCATTCTTTCGGAGGAGGATGGACGATGTGTGATCGGCTGAAGGCGCGGATCTTGGCTTGTACAGACTCTTTTTGTTTGGTAAGCATGCGGCCCATCTCCAGGAAACGTATTTTGGGGAGCATGGTGCACTGCATGAGCGTGCCCCCCTCATAATCCTTAATGTATCCCATCCAGATTGACTTGTCGAGTGTGATCTCCTTGGTGAAACCCTGCTTCTTGAAGTATCCAATGGCATAGTTATCGGCGTAGGTAAGGAAATGCATGATGGGAGAGGTGGCTTTCACATAGTCCTGTTTCACACGAGTCAGCTAAGATCACGAGTCCGAGACCCGCAAGCCTTACCTTGAGATGGGACATTAAGTGTGCACCATAACCCTTGACTTGTTGATCGGAGGAAATAGCACAGAAGACAATTTCAGCGAACTTGCGAGTGTTGAATGGTCGATATGTGATGCCTCTGAATTGAAGATCAGCGCCGTTCCACCAATTGTGTTGGGACCGAAACATACCCAACTACCTCCAAAGGATGCTTCACGATGGCGATGGACAAGTGGGATCTATCGTATACAAGTCGCGCAATGTAATCCTTTGGCATCTTCGGCAGTTGTTTCTGGAAGATACACTTCAACCCGGTGAGAACAATGAAGCTGTCGTGGGAGCCATCATTATTGACGACTCGGAACTCGATATCGCCACGACGTTCTTCAAGTACAGCGGGCTGTGTGTCGTCAGCCATTATCCACAGTGCACTGACAGAGGCAGAGGCGCATGGTGGGAAATACCTTTTCGGGGAATGGGACAATGCGGAGGGGAGGTTTCTTAAGAAGGCCATTTTCCTGCAGAGGAACGTGTCAGAGCAAGCAAACAGTTTTCTCCAGGATCTGAGTCACTTACTTCTTTCTCGGGGGAATCTGTGCGCGCCTTCTTGCTGGCCTGCTGCCCAGACTCCGGGGTAGCTACCTCCTCGGAGGCTTTCCGCTTGAAACCTGGTCCCATGTTTAGTAATTTGAGGCTTCGCGTGATCAAGCATTCGATAGATTGTAATTTGCTCACTTTTGGGCGAATCTGCGGCCATGGTGATCTGAAATACTGAACTTGCACCTTCGCGTCGCTCCGACATGACATGGGGTACCGGTCGGATTAACTAAACTCCGGTCGGGCCAGATCAACACGTCGATCTATACGTCGCATCTAATTCATTCAACCTTCACCATTGTTGCTCAATTGCATTGATCTGGTTCTATTGCCCTCATGTCTCTTAACGAAGTCTGGGAGGCAGCCTCCGCTACACCTTTTACCCCTCTCGTCGACAAAGACTCCCAGTTCTCCGTGGGCTTCAACCTGCTCCTTATCGGTAAGCTTCGTGGCCTTCGCAGCTTCGACGATCGCGTGCTAACTATATTGATAGCACTGGTCACGACTACACTCTTCGGCCTGAGTAAGTATTTATCCAGCTCCTTGTTACCATTTGAGCTTCCCCTGACATAAACAGACCGGTCTTTCCTCAACATCGTATCCTTGGGCGTCCCAGCCTCATTAGCATTTGGGTTAGTAATATGGCTTTGCAATTCTTTCTCGGCATCGAGTATACTGACGGAGTGTTTCGGGTAGTTTTGGAGCTGTGTTTATGATCTGTGCCGTCGGAGTTTACGTCTAAACGGGCATTTTTCCTATCCCTCAGATGTACCATAAGCGCGGGGTTCAGAGGGGCTTGTACTGCTAGAACAAAGCTATCACACATTCTTCCGGCATTTAATTCTTATCCTGTGTCAATCTCGCGAATTCCGGGATCCAAGTGAGCTGTGGAGCCCGCTCCCCGAGCCGCGCAAAGCTTCCCCGAACAACACGCCATTGGATCTTGTCGCATCCATACTCGCCTCGGCTACACCATGGAGCCTCTATTCTCTGGCGTCTCCAACAATGCCCACCACCTCTACACACTGCTCTCCTGCATTGGCTTCGCCTCCAAAGCCACCGTCCAAATAACCCCCGATGGCCTCCGCTTCTCAGTAGAAGAAGGCCGCGTGATCCAAGGCCTAGCCTTCCTGGACAAATCCCTCTTCACCAGCTACACCTTCAACGCGCCAACCGATACAGAAGCAGAAACCAACAACGAATCCTCCCAAAATGTGACCTACCCCCACTTCGCCGTATCCATCGCAGCCCTCCTCGAAACACTCAAGATCTTCGGCATAAACGAGCTCACAGAGCCTAACCGCGAAAAAAGCATAACGCAATCCTCAAGCGCCTTCAACGCTCCGGCCCTCCTAATGGACCGCTCCTGCATCCTCCAATACGCCCAACACGGCAGTCCCCTCAGCATAACAATAACCGAAGCAGGCGTGAAAACAACCTGCGAACTCGTAACCTACGAACCAGAAGAAGATGAATCAGACATCCCTTTACAACGCGAAGCAATAATCATGAAAATAATCATGCGCTCCGCCTGGCTCCATAACGCTATCGCCGAACTGGACTCCTCATCACCAACAATCCTCAAACTATCCGCCTGCGCAAAATCAGAACCATACTTCACGCTCTCCGGCGCAGGCGGACCGTTCAGCGAATCGACCGTTGAATTCTCCATCGACCAGCAAAACGAAATAACCAACGGAGCCGGAGCCGGGACTGGACCTGGCCATAGCACGGGCCCTTCACAAAAGATCCTAACAGACGACGGGTCCTCGCGTACACGCGCAACACGGGCAAAACTCGCACCGACAGTCACAGAGACATTCCTCGTATCGCCGCCTTCGTCGATGGGCGAGCGAATCCGGCAGAATTACCGATTCGTGCTTGTTCGCAAGGCGGCGCGCGCCATGTCCGTTGCGAACAAGGTTAGTATTCGTGGGGATCGGCAGGGGGTGCTTAGTTTGCAGTTTATGGTTGAGTTGGAGGATCAGAATGGGGCTGTGGGGAGGCCGGTTGGGGCTGGGGTTCGGGGGCCTAGTGGGCCTGTTTGTTTTGTTGATTTTCGGTTTGTGCCGTTGCTTGATGAGGAGGAGATTGAGATGGGGTTGGATGCTGCTGTTGGGTAGGGAAGGGGAGGGTGTTGCTCTGTGTCTATTTTATATGGTAGTTAGGCAATTGACAGTGTTGATACATATTTCTCGACCTTGAAAGAGAAACATGAAGTTATATGCTAGTGTCATATGGCGCTCCCTGTGTCTGTAAGGTATTTAAGTATTTATGTTGATATAAATTCTTTGAAACATTCGTCAAGTCTAAGTCGTGACAAGCCGGGATAGCAAGAGCGTATAAAGGTCCTGGTTAAATTGCGCTGCAAGTATATACACAACAAAGTGGTATAAAGCAAAATCGAATTCAAGGCTGAAAAGCTAAAAAAGAAACAAGGTATACAGACACCACCCATATCCAGGCGAGAAAATAGAAGTCGAGTATCCAAAACAAGATCGAGTGGATCCTGTATATGCTCCCAAAGGAGAAAAAGAAAAAGTGTCAGTATAGCCATAGCAGCCATAAACCCGCGAAGTCACGAATGCGGGTGTATGTCCCAATCGCCAATTCCCATAATGACCCCATCATCAACATAACGGAACGCCAAAGCCAGAGCCAGAGCAGAGAGCCTCATAGGCCCATCTCTTCCTTCTCAAACATAAGTTCATTCACGCATTGTCTGGATTGTAACTCGTTTCACCCAGCATACCCTGACCAGACGGAGCAACTGGTGCCGGATTCGCGTACGAGGACGAGCTTGGCTCGCCTAGAGGCTGGGTTTGCGGCCGGGAAATTGTAGCAGCCTGCAAGCGCTGATCCAGGGCTCTAAGAGCGAGAGTGCGTCTCCGCTCTGCTTCCTCGCGCTTCCCTCTTGAGCCTGCACCGCCGCGATGGCTGCTGAGTAATGTTGGCAGGCCAGCTTCGCCGCGAGCCAGGACCTGCTGGTTACCTGAGGCAATATCATCCTCTGAGAAGGGTGTCAGGACTCGCATTGCTACTAGCAAGGTATAGATCTGGTCCGCGACGAAGGCGATAGGAGGCTGCATAACATCAGGGAAAAGACACGCAAAGGCGAACGTTTCGCTGGCATCGCCCTTTATTCCGCTGCCGTTGGAGGTACCCGTCAGGTCGGGCTGGCGCTTGTAGAAGCGGAGGTAGCTCCAGCTAGCTAAGACACCGAGCCAGGCGAGCACGGCGGCGGTGTCAGTTCCGAAGATGAAGCCGCTGAGGGTGTTGAGGAGGAGGAAGAGGGCTGGGAAGTGCTTTACGCGCATCTTGACCAGGCCCTTGAAGATTGTGACGGTATGTTCAGGGACGAGTTGCTTGAAGGCGACGAGGAAGGAGCCTTGGATGGAGACGCCACCGCAGATTTGGGTGAGGCTTCGAGACTGTTAGTGACCGACATTTCTATTCAGGGGTTTGTGTGAGGCTCATACGCTGTACTTGAGGAGCCGGCGACTGCGCCCCATGTTAGGTAGATGGGGACTATCACCACGCAGGGAATCACGGCGATGACGGCGATGAACTTGCTGAACTCGCGCGAGCCCCACGCGCGTTCGAGATATTTGCCGCCATAGAAGATGGTTGCGGAGTTGAGGAGGACGGTGAAGATATTCTGTTCGACGAATGTCGCTGTAGCGATTGTCCAGGGGTAGTAGAACACGTAGGAGGGGACGAGGGTCAGGTAGGGTACGAGAGGTGAAGTGGTCGGTGTTCCACCGGTGGTGTCAATTTGGCGCCACCTGGCAATGTTGTATAGGAGAGAGAGGGTCAGTAGGCTAACGAGGCAGATGCGAGTGGCTGGGGGAATGTTGATTCGGAGGGACATGTTGCTCCGAAGGCAAAAGGCCTGAGATGAAGTTGCCCAGGTGTCCAAGTGTGAGAAGTTTAGCGCAGAGCGGAAGTTGCCATATTTAGCGCGGGAGCCTTGGAGCTCCCAGGCTGATGGGGTTTCACTATGCGCCTTTAATGTACATGTATGTCCGACTAGTAAGTTAATACATACAGTGTACCTATGTAGGATGTATTATATAATGACAGTTTCGCATTCCCATAAAGAAGTTAGACATATGATCGACAAGAGAAAGGGAGATGGTAGACCCGAGGCATGAGCCACGATCCACCTGGACTGCAGCTATCTAGGCTCGGGTGGGTGCAGAGACACACACATGTACATGTATATAATAAAGTTAAGTTAACTTAAGAGGGAAAAAGAAAAGTTGACAGGGTGTTGGCGCTTGAAACCCCCGTGTGGAGAACCGTTCGCAGAATGACGGGGCCAGGCGGGCTTATGGGCTGACGGGCTTAAGCACAAGAGCTCACAGGTCTGTGGAAATTATAGGCTTAAACGGAGTATGGGGCTCGGGTAAGTTAAGAATTAATTCTAAGCGAGTAAAAGCAAGTAGAAGAAGAAGGGAAGTGAGGTTCAAATGGACGCCACAGGATCCAGTGGCTAGTGCCTGGATCCTTAATCTCAGATCTTCACGTCTTTTCCCTTTCTCCATTCTCCATTCTCCATTCTCCAATCTCCATTCATTTCTCTCTTCTTTACTTTTGGGTCTCTTTCTTCACGTCAACTCAATCTCTCCTTTCCTCTTCCTTCATCTCTACTCCGCTCCCCCTTCTCGTCAAGCTCCCTCTCCACTTTGACTTTCAGCCGAGCAAACAGCTTCCCTTTCCGCTCTGGTATGTCCGCGGCACTAAGTCGCACATGTAATCATGGCACAACCTGACCTCACTTCGCATCATGTCAACTACTTAATATGGAGGTGAGTGACTCGGATCTCATGCACGTGCTGTTACTGATCAGATCTCCAGGTATCTCCAGGAATCAGGTTTGTCTCCTAACCCTGCAGTCCGGGCTCTCTAGTCTCTAACCCAATGCGACAGGCCATGGCGACGCCGCTGTGTCTTTGCAGCGCGCGTGGTGTCCTGATCCACAAACTCTACCCTTTGCGCCTTACATCAAGACGCATGCACTTGTGTCGCTAGTCCAAAAGGGTTTACAATACCATGAGCTCCAGTCCTCACTGGACAAGGTATGTTATGAGCCTGTCCGCCAGGGGGCGCAACCTCTTGCTTCTTCTCAAAATATCATACATTTAGGTCCTAATTTCAATGGGCAGGAGGGCAATCACATCAACTTGTCACCAAGTGACTATTTCTTCGGACCTGAACCCTTTGAAACGGGGTTTGTGGAAAGGCGCGATGAGGTCGGCACAGACCAAGCTTCCCCCGGCAAAATTGCGCGCGACCATCCGAATGGGCATGCCGATCCCGGAAAGCAGGCCCGAACAGAAGAAGATTCTATGGATGATGATGCCACTGAAAGCAAACACAGCAGTCCTAATATTGATGGTGATGGCGATGTTAGTATGGGGGAGATCCCCGAACCCACCTACACCTTGACAAACGGCGGCAGCGTTGGCGTCCAGATCACCCCCGCCAAGGCCGCTGATTTGACGCCCGACACCGCCCTGCTGGATGCGGAGGACCACGTGACCCGCGCCTTGTGGAGGCCCAAGGACCCAACGACGGTGGTGGCCGCCGGTGACACTTTTTGCGATCTGTGGAAATTATCATCATCATCGTCGCATGTGAGGAAGAAGATTGTGGACCACAAGAACAGCAGCACATGTGTGTCAGCTGTCGGCTGGGACGCCATTGGAGAAAAGTTGGCTGTAGCAACCTGTACGGAGCAACGGGGCACCATCACCATGTACAATGTGAATGGCGACGCAGTGGATTTACTTCCTGAAGTACCTCGAATCATCACGGGTTTGCATTGGGCAGATTCCAGTTCGCAGTTGGTGGTTGTGGCTTCGGACAACCATGTTTCGGAACTGGCACTATGGGACGACAACCGCCGACCCGACGTCTTCCCTCCGCCTCAAATTATCGAAAATCCCATCTTCGATCTCGCTTGGTGCGGCCGCAACCAGGTGTTTGCATCTGGGGAGGGTGCAGTTTACCAATGCGAAGTGGATAACAGCATCCGGTTGGTTAAGAAATTCGCGGCCAACGGACCCAATACGCCTTGGGAGTTCATTCGTTGTGTCCAGACAGATTCTCACTCGGTTGCTATCGCCGCATCTGGAACGACTAGTGCAATCTGGATTCCTACCCATGATATTCTGATTCCAAACGCACATCAAGAAACAATCACCGGAATCGAGATTCGCCCTCAACCCCAGGATCAGCGCATTATTATTGCATCTTTTGCTACAGATGACATGGTCAAGGTGTGGCAGGTCGATCTCGGGTCAAAGGATTACTCATGCATTCACAAGCTACGCCTCGGCGAATCCGTTCCTGCTCTTGCGGGATGCTTCTCCCCTGATGGATACGCTTTCAGTGCAGTCAGCAAGGATTCGCTCTTCATCTGGAATGTTGAGCGTGGGGGCGAACCCATGGCTACTTGGACTGCTTCTAGTTCAGAGGTGAAAAAAGAGGACGGCATGACCAATGGACAGAATGGTCACACAGAACCGATTGGATATCGGGCTCTTTCATGGGATGCAGATGGCAAGCGACTTGCCTATGGCCTCGACAAACAGGTATGGTCTAATCTAACGATTGATTCTTGTCAACTTGATTTACTAACTCATCTAGATGGCACTTGTTAATTTGCAACGGTGACGGAGCTGGGCTTTGAATCTACAACATAACAACTTACGACTCATGCTCTCAACCTCCGACATTCCCGCTTGAAAAGCCTTTCTTTCTTCGAAGACATACTCTTCATCGCCTCTTTTTTCTGTGAACATACATTTTTTCTTACTTAGAAAATGCATAACGGCATTCATTGCTTGGGATAGGTTGGGTGGGCACGGCGAACATGGACTGGCGACGGTGGAATCTGTCTATTTTCTTCTCTTTTGTGCTCAGGTGGTTGATATTTCCCGGAACTAACTTGTCTATTAATCAAGAAAATACCCATTAACTCTAAAGTTCATGAACTGGAAGTAGAAGCTTTAACAGTATTAGTCTGCATTATGATATTTTACCTCCTTTTGTGGATAAAATCTTGGCCTCCAGTGTGCCATATATATAGCTCGATCAGTACAGCGCGGAAGGCGCATCCCTGCCGACCCGGCGATACCCCCACAATGAATCATTTTCCCACCAAATCGATCTTTCCTCTTCTCTCTACTCGTACAATTCCAACCACAAACAATGGCACCCTCTGTAAGGATTTGCGCAAATCTTGCACCTTCATCTGTCACAGGTACATTTTGCTAACGCTCACCGATGACTCAGGTCGCCACGATTCCGTCGCTCGAGACGGCGCAAGGCGTGATCTCGAAATCCAGGAACTCCCAGTTTCCTCCCAATCTCCTCCCTGTCACTGCCTCAATTCCTGCCGATTTGTTGACTCCGACACTGGCATACTTGAAGATTGCAGAGAAGTGAGTCATGGGCTCTCACCGCAGAATTGGAGTTGGAGACAAGGCGGGGCACAAATGACATGATCGCTGACTCGAGCATAGTTCGCGGTTGTCATTTTTGTACGAAAGTGCAGCTACCACAGAGACTATTGGACGATACAGCTTTGTTGGCGCAGGTGGGTGCCCGGTGTCTTTACTCGGTCACATTGCTAACCGTCCCAGACCCCAGAAAAGTCATCAAGACCGGTGAAGGCCACGGACCGGCAGCGGACCCCCTCCCTTACCTTGAGGCAGAGCTCTCTCAGTTCCGCGTCGCATCAGTACCCGGATTGGTTCTCCCACCATTGACCGCTGGTGCAATCGGATATGTTGGATATGACTGTGTTAGATACTTTGAGCCGAAGACGGCACGACCAATGAAGGATGTCCTTGGAGTGCCCGAGTCATTCTTCATGCTGTTCGATACTATTGTCGCATTCGACCACTTCTTTCAGGTCGTCAAGGTCATCACCTACGTTCCCATCCCCTCGGCAGATGCCGATATCGAGGCCTCGTACGCCAAGGGCCACGCCATCATCCAGGAGACAATTAAGACCCTGCTCCAGGACCGCACACCGCTCCCACCCCAAGGACCCATAATACCCAACCAGGAGTACACATCCAACATCGGACAGGAGGGCTACGAGAGCCACGTCAACAAACTGAAGCAGCACATCGCCAAGGGCGACATCTTCCAGACCGTGCCATCCCAGCGCCTATCACGACCCACCTCCCTCCACCCATACAACCTCTTCCGCCACCTCCGCAACGTCAACCCTTCCCCGTACCTGTTCTACATCGACTGTCAAGACTTCCAGCTCGTGGGAGCCAGCCCGGAGCTCCTAGTCAAAGAAGAGCGCGGCCGCATCATCACCCACCCAATTGCAGGAACCGTCAAGCGAGGCAAAACTCCAGAAGAAGACACAGCCCTAGCCAATGAACTCCGCAGCAGTCTAAAAGACCGTGCCGAGCACGTCATGCTAGTCGACCTAGCCCGCAACGACGTAAACCGCGTCTGCGACCCAATCTCCACCCAAGTTGACCGTCTCATGGTCGTCGAGAAATTCTCCCACGTCCAGCATCTTGTCTCCCAAGTCTCGGGGATCCTCCGTCCAGGCATGACCCGCTTCGACGCTTTCCGCTCCATCTTCCCGGCCGGCACAGTCTCCGGCGCGCCCAAGGTACGCGCCATGTCGCTTATCGCCGAGCTGGAAGGCGAGAAGCGCGGCGTCTACGCCGGCGCCGTTGGCTACTTCGGATATAACAGCGCCAGCGTCGATGGATCCTCTGAGGAGCCGGGTGCCATGGATACCTGCATTGCGCTGCGCACTATGATGGTCAAGGATGGTGTTGCCTACCTCCAGGCTGGTGGTGGTATTGTCTTTGACTCGGATCCGTATGACGAGTATATCGAGACGATTAACAAGCTCGGTGCCAATATTGCTTGTATCAAGGGTGCCGAGGCGAAGTATATGAGCATGGAAAATTAGTTGCCATTACTTCTTTTTTGGATGTCAATATAGTGTTGGGTTCTTTTGCCCGGCCTGGTTGCCCTTGGGCCGTCTGTGTTATACATATTCTCGGGGGGGGTTTGTTTTAAATGTGCCGATGCCATGGCAATGGCATTACAGCGATGTTTGCACCGATGGAGCGCTCTTTCTCGGTTGTTTCTATAAAATGCGACGTTTTGAATGATAGATGCGATATATGTCTTTTTCATGATTCTATTTATCTATACTTAGATATGTCCTAACCCTGCATGTGATATCTCTTGGCCATAGAAAGATGTGTTCGCAGACAAGCAATCGTTCGACCATCAAAAAAGTGCACGAAAGTGAGCAAGAAATAGACTAAACAAGGGTTGGAAACTGGTCAATTTGAGGTAAGATTCAGGAAAATGCAAATGGGCGATGTTTGTACTTTTATAGAAGCTATGTAGATCCTCTGGTCTCATTGGCTCAATACTGTTGAGCCGTTTACTGAAGAAACAAAGCTTAAATATCCGCTAATGGCGATCCTCCATCCAAGAGGCCAGTGACGTAAACTGTTAGTGGTGAAGTATAAGATCCATGGGCTCGATTCCCTTCTTATAAATCCCCTTGTATCAACCATCCAATTGTCTAATATCTAGCATCCAACACTTGGTTTGGGGTTGATACCAGGGCTGGGAAATTTGTGTTGGTTCGGCTGCAGGTAGGGTTTCTTTTACTTCGTTGTGGGTGCGGGTCGCTTCGTTAGCGATGGTTTATGCTGCTGGTGAGGGTAACGATTCGCCGGAGGTTGTTCATCTTACTGGGGATACGCGTTCCGTTAGGGAGATTGCGCGGATTATAGAGGAGGCTGGAGCTGGGGGGATTGATCGTTCTGGTGGTGGTGGGCTTGAGAATGATAATGAGGTTGTTAATCCTTTGGACATGGGAGTACTTTGGATGATCTCGCTCGGGAGACTGGGGTGTGGCCTTGGAAGAATTCTTCTTGGCCTTTGGAATAGAGGATTAGATTATATTGGGGTTCCTAAAGCAGGTCAGGGGGTCCTTAGATAGTCGTGCAAGATACAACAATGGACGTAAAGGTGTATACAGTATCCATCACCAAGTGCTGGACAGTCTATACACCAAATGCAGCCACCAAGTGAGTATACCGTCCCAGACATTATTTTCGCCCTGCTTTGACCTCGCTTTTACCTTTTCTTTTTGCCATTTTTCAAGCACTCAGAGTAATAGGAAGATGCTCACTAGCAGTACTCTGACTAGCTGTCCAAACTCTCAAGAGACTCCGCTGTATAATTGGCCAATAAATCCCGTGATCTAATTTAACGATAAAATGCTCCAGTGTTGGAAGATGATAAACGGAGTATATACAGATTCAAAGAACACCCCAATCTCAAATGATCAGGGGAATGATAAAATTAGCGCTACCAATTTAGAACCTTCAGGCACCTGGAACTCACGTCCACACCGAATATGATAATAGTGATCCATATCGAGAGGCAATCCGTCAACGCATATTATACCAGTACCAGCGATACACAAAGGTATAAGGACTATAAAACCTGCTCCTATAGCTGATTTCCCTGCAAAGAAAACGGCTCCAAATCTACTAGCAGTCGTAAGTGTAGCCGGTAAGTTAGTCTTTGCTAACTGAGCCTTTGTCCAGATATTGTCAGAGATAGATGTAAATGATTGTGCAAAAATGGCTTTTCTTTCTCACTTTAAGCTTTAAAACAACTGCGTTGAGGAGAGCATCGCACGCATCTGTTGGAAAGAATCGTGCGTATGACGAGCGTGTGGACTTTGGCAAGACTTCGGCAATTGGACGCACCTCTGCCCAAGCCTGAGACACGTACGTTTCGATGTCTTCGGATGATATTGGGGTGAAGACAAAGAACTCATTGACCCCGGACATTGGGGAGAGTGGGATTCTCAGTTGATCTTTTTGAAGAACGAGTGAAACTGGGGGGTCTGTTGGTGAAGCAAAGAGTACTTGCGAGGATGTTCTGATTGATGGTTGGAATTGAACTTTTTACGGAGGACTGCCAGGTCAGAGCTGAGGGGTCGACGACAGGGGTCTCAGTCTCGTGACTTGTCCGCTGGGTCTTGCTGCAGATAGCCTGTTCTTTATGCTAATGTGTATAAATTAGTGATAACGCGGCTACGATTATAGGAAGTATGGCGGTGGTCTAAGGGTCTGAGATGTTTGGTAGTTCACGGGCAGACCATAATATGATATAGAATAGGCTACAGTATTATCGCGAATTTCGTTGGATGTTTGTATATCATATCCATAAGCTACAGAGTCAGATATTGTACAATATCTGAAGAGCCTGGGAAGGGACCATAAGGCTAGTCGTGGAAGACAAATAACATTAACTATCTCATAATCATTCCAGCCGTTTAACACAAGAATCACTTTGAACTGGCGTCAACTACCCCTTGAGCCAACTTATTAGCAATCCCCCCAATGAAGTCTTTCCTCTGCATTCCATCCTTCCATTCCTGGGGTATGAACTCAACCCCATAGTATGCACCAGCCAGACCTCCATAAACAGCACCAGCAGTATCAGAATCACCTCCCCGATTCACAACAGCCAACGCACCCTCCTTCCAAGAATCATACTTAAAGAATGCCCACAGAGCAACCTCGAGCGTATCCACAACCCATCCACTACTAGTGATATATCCAGATGTCTTGGCTGTCCAGTCCGTAATCGTCTTGTACTGCGCCATGCGTTCTTTCAGAGCAGGATGCGTAAAAGGAAAAGCAGAAATCGTATCAAACAATTGCTGCTTGGTATGGCCTAGCCAGGAATATTAGTATAAATCCCGGCAACCAATCTATATCATCAATACCAAAAGACTTACCATTCATAACCCCACAAACCAACTCCGTATAAGCCTCACAAGCTTCAACACAAGGAAGCGAAGGATGCGTAACCCGACCCTGAACCCGGGCAACCTCCTCGCAAGCCGAACATCCCGCCAGTAAGCCACACCAACAGGAGCAATCCTCATCAAGCTCCCATTCCCCGAGCGCTCCTCGGAATCCAACTCGATGTCGATGCGAGCCTGCGCACCCTCGATATTCTCCATGCGGGATTTTTTCCAGATCGACAGGGACTTGCGCGTGGAATGCCCCATATCCCATGCACGGTCGATGGTGCTGAATCGACCATGGGTCATCCATTCAACGTAGAACTTGATTGACATGATGTGGTTGTATTGCATCTCAGACTCGACGAAGGAGTAGGCTAGGGCTAGAGTCATGGAGCCATCGTCGGAATATGAGCTGGATGTGGATGTGTTAGATTATGTTTCATTTGATGGTGATGGATACTCACCCAGCGGGTTGTTTGAATGGAGCCACATATCTCAGACCGGTGATAGGTTCGAATGTATTTGGGTCTTTGAATTGGACTGGGCCACCTAGGGCATCGGCGATGCAGACTCCCCAGATTGCACCTTCAGTGCGGGATTTGAGTGATACAGCCATGAGAGATGATGTTTGGTTGTTATACTGTTGTCCTTTGAGACGTTGGAGATGCTGTGCTATTTTATGTATGTTGGGTGAAGTTGTGACTCAGAGAGAGTCAACATCAGCCATCAAAAGTTCACAGCCACGGAAGGCGCAGTGCAAGTAAACAAGCGCTAGAGCTTTCCTATCGAGGCTTGGTAGGTGTGAATACGAGCCTCAAAGTGGGGAACTGTCCAGGTGGCTGCCTGGCATTACGGGCTGACTTCAAGTCGCTGCCCTGGAGTATATCCCTGTTATGTGTATGCCCTGTGATTCCTGCTTGTCATATCTTCATGGCGAAACATAATGGACGTTCTCCTGAGTCATCCATAGAAAACTGTCAAGATGGTGCAATGAATCTACGTCTTAGATAAAGCGCCTCTCTGAATTTACCATAATATTGAGTGCTGACTCTGGCTTACGTGTGAATGAAGAATACCAATCATCAGCTAGCATGGAGAGACGCCTCGATCCCTGTTATACGGTTAGCTTTCGGGTTCCTGGCCGGTCTTTTTGAAACGCCCATATGAAGTTCCTGACGAAATATTGTCAGCCATTTGATCTTAGGGTACTTCATATTATGCGACTATATAATCGTTATAGCACAAGGGTATTGGCCTGTCATTGCGTTTATGTCAGATAGCTAGTGTATCCATAGATGTTTGCCAATGATAGACAGGAAGGTACCCACAATGGATCAAACAAGCGAAATATCATACAAAAAAGACGAAGACCCCTGTAAACAAAGGGTACAAAGCGAAGGGTCATGTCATCAATGGTACATGTATGAATGATGTGTGACGATAATCAGATTATCTACCTCATTGGGCACGGTGACGAAGCTCAAGTACGAAGCTGGAATGGCGCAGCGAGCTACATTCTATCCGACGGCAGTAACTAAGGAAGGGTGTACTAAGTGCCTAAGTGCATTATGATCCATAGCAGCAAGTTGCACTTGAAGCTCATGGAGATCCGATATCGCTATAGTTCGAAATTTGCCAGGAAAGTACGACATTTAGCTTTCGGTGCCCGTGATATTGACTATATGTGAATTCTTTTGGCTGTTTATATGAAGAAGCAAGGTCAGAAAAGCAAAGCAAAGTCCCTTGGGTCAAGTTTCTCTACCATGATTGGCTGTGCTGCTGTCAGCCTCCAGCAAGGAGAGATAGATTTCGCCATACAGCCTTGAAGGGATTTAGGCCCACAGTTATCGAGAATGTCCAAGCTCCACAGTGGATCATGGCACGGCTATAGCAGATAGTGTAGATATTATCAAATATTATAGTTGAAGATAGCATACTACTATAATAATGAGTATCCCGTGTAAGCGAAACAGCTACTAGGCAGACTTTTCTCCTGCACGGCCAACCACATCCGGGATGGCGCGGGGAAACAACCAATAAGAGTGAAGATAATTGGTAACTTTGGGATCCACTGGGGATGACAGCCAATCAGGCTGCTTTGGGATGCTCTTCGGAATGTGCCATGGAGTCGGAACTCTTCACGGAGTGTACGTAGAGAGTATAGATGGGCCGCTTAGCTATGTTTCTAGCTATAATTAAGATAGCTACAGCATAGCTATGCTAATAGCTAATTATAGCCATGCACATCATATTTATATTTCGCCATGTTCGAGGCGAATCGAAAGATGGATACAGGCAAAAAGCCATACGGTAACAATACGCATCGCCACCCGGAGCTCCCCTCCCAGAGCTTCTGGAATCCTCAATTTCAGCTGGGGAGAGCTTCGGAGGGGCCGCTGATAGCGCCTATCGCGACTTTTTCTTCCACATACATTTACTTGTATCTTTGGGATATTCGAACTCCAGACTCTACACTCCAAACTTGTCTCTTTAGTGGCACTTCAATTCTAATTCTCCAAGGCAAATCCCTCGAAAATTACAGAAAATCCCCTCGGTGTTCCACCGGGCTTTCCGAAAACCGCCAGTATTTTATACCCTAAAGCGGCCTTTCGATTTTTCCCCCCCCTTTGATAAGAGGAACATTCCAAAAATGGGGCAAGCTGTACGCCCCTCTTTCAACAGGGAATCTAGTATAGTAAAGACTATGTAAGTATATGTGTCTACGTCTATGTCTAATTCTACATGCCTTAAACGTAAAGACACAGTAAAAAGGGATATGGGGTAGTCATTATACAAGCGTAATTACCAATTACCCGTAATACATTCCCACAACGGACCGGGCGATGTACAGTACTTGCTTCTCTCTACACTTCCTTTTCTCTTCTCTTTCTCTCTTTGAGATCTTCCCATGTTTGCCAATCCTAGCCTTCAGCTTATTCTTATCCCTGATCGGCTGACCTCGTCCCCCTCCTTTTATCTTTGACCTCGACTTCCCTCCCCTGGGATCTCGACCCCATATGCACCATGCCTCCTCGAAGCTCACTGACTAGCTCCTTTTCGGTCACTGATGCCAATAATGAAGTGGTCTGTCCGTTGAAGAATAACGACGGCTCCAATTGTCGCAAGCGATGCTTGGGTGTGAGTCTTCCCCCAGACGCCTCGAGCCCCACCTATACCTATGACTCTGCAGCTTGAGCTCTGGGGAGGTGCAACTTGGAATCGAACTAATCCGGTTTGGCGCTCCAGGAAAAGCGCTATCGCTCCATGCAGGAGCATATTCGACGTGCGCATCCGAACCACTACATCCCGAAGCTCCCGGCTACCGAAGAGAGCTTCCTGCTGATGGTGAACACCCCGCCCGAGCAACGTGTGCAGCTGTCTCCCCCAGAACCCGCGCAACCCCGGCGGCCTCAAGGTCAGTTTGCTGTGACTTGTCTCTTCTTTCCATCCTTGCAGGGATACTGACGGCTACCCACAGATGTGGCGCCGGATAGGGACGTTTACGTCGCTGATGCCGGATCCCCGGCGACCCCTCGAGCTCACGATGAACCCCACCCAGCTGCTGCTACGGCGGCGGTTGCTCTGGCACAATTGCACCACCATCGCCTGGCGTCTGACTGGGATACAGACATGGTTGGTTACTCTGGACTGTGGACTGTTTCTCCACGGCACTGACCCGCATTTCCCCAGGAAACCCATTCCGATACCGACTTGAGCCAACCTCGCATGCGCTCCACGATCGAACTTCCCTCACTCCGCGATCACTTCAAGCAGGAATCTCTTCCGCCATTTTCGTCGCCTCGCCCGCGTGAACTGCTGCCGTCTATTCTCAATCATTCTCCGCCCGGTCGCTCATCCACATTACCGCCGATTCAACGACGAGACAAGTTTTCTCGGCCGCGCAAATCCTCCATTACGCAGTCTGCGCGGAAACCGAAACAGGATCGGCCCAAGTCGAAAGAATTTGGGCGGCGACCAAGCCTGGGCGACCGCAAGGCCCTTTCTGCGGAACCACAAACTGCAGCGTGGGCGCAAGGCAAGCGATGGGAGGATTTGATCGAGGCGGCGACGTCAGCAACCGAAGCAGATGATGAGCGCTACTCAGAGGTGAGTTTTCAATGCGACCTGGACATGTTCGTTGCTGATGCAAAATCTCCAGGCTGGTCGGTCTCCAACGATTGCCCCACTACTCTCCAACGTGACATCTGCTCCTTCTGTGAAAAATCGTTCTTCGCTACCACCCGCTTTCCAGTCCGCAGGATTACCTCCACTTTCATCGCATCGGCAGTTTACTCCTCACAACTACGCTGCTTCGCCTTTGCACAAAGCATTGACCCCACCACCGTTCGAGAACCATCGCAACCGGGACAGCGACTTGGAGCCATTCCCATCTATTGAATCATCGCTCGATTCCATGTCTTCAGCGTCAGGTAGAAATCTGTCGGGAGCATCAGGAATTGCGCCCTCGATAAACTCTGATTCCAGCCCAACAATGGGTCTGATACCGCCAATTTCTCAACGCCAACATCATCGGTTCTCTAATCCTACTCCATCGTCTTTCCGTAACAAAGAGGTTCAGGTCTTTTGCGCTAACTGCAAGCGACCATCTGCGCTGAGCGAATGCTATGCTTGTACAGAGTGTATCTGTGGAGTGTGCCGCGACTGTGTGGGCATGTTTATTTCGAGTCCACCCGCCTCATTCCGAACCCCGGGCAACGGTCTATTGAACAACATGCAGCACGGGCCGACAAGTTACCCCGGCCCTCGTGGGTGCCCACGATGTCGAACAATTGGAGGAAAATGGAAAGCATTCCAGATCGACATCAAGTGAAAGACAAAAGACACCGTCCATTGGCGTTACGCATTTACGACTGATGTTTGATACACGTTCTTTATATTGTTATTTATTCGACTTTCGCAGTATGGGTCCATCATCCAGATGTGCAGGAGTTTACCAAGGCTGGTATTCGGCAGGTTCCCGACCAAACCCCGAAGAAGCTGGTCTTTTTTCAATGTTAGGGGGTACATTTTTTTTCTTTTGGCTGCATTTGGTGTTGTGGATATGGATATGGACATGTTTGGTCATGATTTTATGTTTATGTGTTATTTTACGTTGTGAACTTGTACTGCACTGATTTCATCCTGTCGCGCTGTTTATAGAGAACAGGATAGGTGTGGGATCCCATCCTCACCATGCTATCCTTGATTTACATTACCGCCAATTCACCTACTCATCCCAGATGACACTGCTCAATCCCTCAGCAGTCCCAACCTTCCCAGGCTCCCCAACCTGTAAGATAGCAACCTTCTCCCCCAAATCCCCCGTCTCCCGATTCCGCCGCACAATAGCAACAGTCGCAGAAGCCTGGTTCCCAATCGCAACCAAATCGCCAGCCCGATTCACCGCAAACGTCCGAGGGACCTTTCCAAACGCAGAAAACGAGTTCCGCACCTTGACAGACCCATCAGTGGCATTCCGGCCAAGAACAACCATCGAATCACTCGGCTTGAAACCCTGGTCACTCCGAATAGAAACATAAAATGCGTCGCCAACCCGGCGGATCTCAGCAGGCGTCGCTCCCGAAGGCATCTTACCACCGGGATACGGAACCACAGTCTGAGTCTTCTCAAAAGATAAACAGCCAGACCGCGAGTAGGAGACATCGTATACCATCACCGTCCCGCCAATCTCGTTGGCGAGATACATCATCGTCTTGCCTACAGCTGCCATCTTCCGCGAATGGCTAGTCCTAACAGAAGAAGCAGAAGCAAGCGAAGACCGATCCGTCCCATCCGTCCAGAAAACGCCATGCCGAGGTCCACTACCGTATGTTACGTTCACAGACGGGCATTCGCTTAGTTTCCCGCTCGATCCTTCAATCGAGTAGACGCGTAGTAGGTCTGCGCCTAGATCGGGACTCAACACAAACGATCCCGTGGGGTCGAGGAAGACTTCATGGGGGTGTGGTGTATCCTGCTGCGCGACTTTGCCAGGGCGCGTTAGGTTGAAGTGGAAGGATTGGTTCTCCGGTTGGTTTTTTTTTATGGGGAGGGCGAAGGTTGAGATTGCTGCGCCCTCGCTGTAGAGAAACAAGTAGGGTATCGTTAGCATATACACTCCCATATAACCAATCAACCAAGAAACAAATATCCAAGCTAGAGAAGCATGAGGAAACATACTAATGCGCAATAGCGAGGAACTTCCTCCCCTTGTCCCCCTCATAAATAACACTCGCAACACCACCCCCAACCGTACTCGTCTTCGCAATCTCACTCAAAGACCCATTCGGCGCGGCATGCAACGCCGTCAAGGATCCATGCGTTGATGGATCCGTCGTCCCGTCTTCGTCGGAGCAGTAGACGATACGCGTCTGAGGGTCGAGGGTTAACCAGCTTGGCATATTGCCGCATGTCTTTAGGGTTTGCGTGATTGAGAGGTCATGGTGGTTGTTTAGGGTTAGGGTGTACACGTTTCCGTTGTAGTGGGTTGCCCAGAGATGGGCGGGTTTGGCAGTTGTTAGGGTTGTTAGGAGGGGGAGGAGGAGGGTTTGGAGGTGCATGTTGGGCAAGTAACTGGTGGACAGTTATTGCTTGGGGTATGTTTGTATAGAGGGTCTATAGGTAGCGGTGTGGTTAGAATCGGGGGAATGGCAAAGACGGGAAAGTGGAATTGGAGTGGAATGAATGCTTGTTATGTACGCGGAGTTACGGGATCAAACGCGGTTGCAACACGCGAGTGGGATGATCAACAAGCCCCGGAGTATGCACTGCGACCTCGCAGGCACAGTATGCTGCGGAATGGATCGTCGGTCTGCAGCGGAGGGAGAGTGTGGAGAGGGGGTTGGGGAAGGGGTTGTTCCGACGTGCATTACATGTATGCGGGTTTGTTATTTTGATTGGAGAGGATTGATTTGTTCTATTCTTGTGCTGAATATGATACATCTGGTGAATACTTCCATGCAGGGACTCGGACTCGTTGCTTTGATCTGTTTAGGGTTGAGGGAGTATTGGGTTTGCGGTTTCCCCTGGAATGGTCGGTTTCACCACCTTCAGCCACCTACGACGCACCGTTCAACTACGGGAATTACCCCTCTACTACTCTGCTATGGAGACTGCAGCCCGCATTTTACGTCTCTTTTCGCTTAGTGCTATGGGGTACCCCGTATTCCGTGGGGGTTGTCGGCTTTACTTCGGTAATACCGGACCATTCACGATCGACACTTCTATAGCACTATGGAGTGTGGATCTTGGATACATGAGACTCAAGCAAGCGTCAAGTCAAGCCCGTATAGCAGCTATCATTCCTGATGAGTTCTGTCTTGACGCCATCATCCGATGCCACCGAGTACAGACTTCCACCCAGGTCAGCATGTCATTGGCCTTATCCAGCTTCAACCCAATAGGTGGTTATCTTTTGGGGGTTCGGGGTATGTAGATATGACATAGAAAGATGGTGAAGTGGGAGTCTAATGTTGGGAGGAGGATAGGGTATACTCCATTATATGTTTTTGGATTAGATTTGGGACATATGACTTGCTGTTCAACGTTGATGCCCTGTAGATAGCCGTCATTGTGTGCGGTCGTCGTGTTTGTACCAAAGCGAACCGGGTCGAATGGGGCGCGCGCAGAGGAACATTTGCACTGAGCGTTGGGGATTGTGATTGTAAGTGCTCTCAGTAATAGCAAGAGAGCGTCGTTGACAATTTGCTCGTCCTTTGTTATAAACCGCTTCTTGATCGGCGGCGGCTGTCACGTCAGTCATAGCTTGTGTTCTGGTCGTAACGCTAGAAATGGCACAAGGCGAACGTGGATTGAAGTGGTGATCACGGGGAGACCGCCGCAGAATGACCGAGGACGATTCGTGAGTAGGCCGGGGGCCAACCAATTCACTTGTAATCTGACGTTGTGAGTCAAGAACAAGACCGAAAGCACCCAGATTCGGGTTGCTGATATCTGCTTTGGAGTTTCCAATACACGCAATGTACTTTTGGAACGCAGTAAAATTTCTCAGAAATCGAGAAGCTGCGGACTTTGCCTTGTCGTTGAGAGGGAGGCTGAATTCGCTGGCGAGAACCTTTGCTGGCCACAGAGTTCGCATCAAGATGAACTGGGTCTGGGCCAGTTTCGAGGCTGAATGAAATGGTTGTAGATCCGCGAAATGAGTGGTTGACACATTGAGAGATTGTGCCAGGGAGATCCATTGTGAACAGTCCCTCGGGATTCTGTCAGTCATTGTTGGCAATTGATGTTCGGTCTTCTGGTTTCGGTTATTGTTCGGTGAGATGTTTGTTGAGCTCTAGTCTGTAAAAGAATCAGACTGTTCGATAGGAAGTTGCGGAAAAAGAAGAACCTAAGATTGTTAGAACACCCTTTGAAGCTATACGTCGTGACTGTATAGTTGGGGATGAAGGATTGTGGGAAAGGAAGAACCTAAGATTGTTAGAACACCCTTTGAAGCTATACGTCGTGGCTGTATAGTTAGGGATAAAGGATTGTGGGAAAAGGAAGAACCTAAGATTGTTAGAATACCCTTTGAAGCTATACGTCGTGACTGTATAGTTCGGGATAAAGGATTGTGGGAAAGGAAGAATCTAAGATTGTTAGATACCTCTCGAAGGTATACACCGTGATTCTATAGTTACAGATAAAGGATTATAGGAAAGGAAGAACCTAAGATTTCTAGATACCTCTTAGGGCTATACACCATGATCGCGTAGTTGTGGATGGAGAAATAGTGGACGAAGAATATAAGGTTACTAGAGTGCCTTTTGTAGCTATGCGCCGTGATTGTATAGCTATAGATAAAGATGTATTGGCATAAAGAACCTAAGGCTGCTAGAATGTAATAGGGGTCATAAATGTATATACATGGCTACAAGTATAGAGTAGTCTCTATACAAAAGCCTCGAAGTATACTGTTTTGTACATAGTTTTAGCCTCCCTTTTTACGTCTCTTTTTGCCCGTTTCGAGCGCTTTGGGTTATTCCGAATTTGACTAAGCAATACCCTCAAGGCTATCTCACACAGAGTTTAGATGTCTCCAAACCAACGGCTTTACTCAGATAGTAGCGAACAAACAGCTCCACCGGCGCCGTAGCTTCACTCCGAAAGCTCCACAGCTGAGAATATTGTATAGTGAGCTCACCATCATAGGAGGCTTAGATGATCCGACCATGCTTGCGACCCGTGTATGAAATAAGCAAGAGCTAAATATCGTCAGTGTTGTGAACCTGAGGTTATAAGTACGAAAACGTAAACTCACTGGGTGGATATGTGCGTGTTTAAAGCGTCCGTGAGAGACTCGAGGGAGCATCAAGTATACAATTGCTCTAACTTCATGGATAGCAAGGCACTGGTGGGCATCGCTTGCGGGAACGGCTGCGGTAGTGCACACGATGCTATGTGGTCTGGGAGAGATAGTATCACAAAGATCTGCCCTAGACCTCACTGTCCAGCAAATTTCATACGGAAAGCCAGATTCAAAGTCACCAGGGTCCCCGTGTTTCCTTTCATAGTGTTTCCTGTAAGTAGTTAGTACTATTGACATCCACAACTCCAATGCCTACCTACTTGCAAGATTGAAATTCTGTCAAATCTCCAGTGAAGAAAAGCCCTGTGCTTCCCTTTCGGAGGGACGAAATTTGGCACTCCACATGAGTTTCTGTTTCAAGGGCTCTCAGTTCCCACTGGTCCTCGGGCCAGGAACTCAAGTATTTTTTGTACAAAGACTTTGCTTTTATGATAGGGTACTTTTGGTCTGGATATTCTCGTTCAACTTTTCTCAGAAAATAGTCGAGGTCTGGACAGTTGAGGTCAGTTATGCCGTTCGGATTGTCGAGTGGATATTTTTGGAGCACTCGTTCTGGGTAAGGCTGGAAGAAGCACGGATTGAAATGTATGTCCCCATCCTGAGATGTTTCAACCTGGGAAGCTTGAATCCCAAGTGCTTTGAGGTCGTCGAGAGATAAGAAGACATGTTTATACTCTTTAACTCGTAGGTATAGGGAATGGAGAACGCTATCGCGGCCTTGTTTTTCCATGTTCATGGTGCCAGACACGTGTGACTGGCAGTTTTTCAAAACGAGATGATCTTTCGGTAGTGAAAGACGGGTGTGACTCAGTCGGCCAGTAATCTCGTCGTCATTTGATCAGAAATGGAATCGGAGTGCTTCGAAAGCTTATCTCAACATCTACCTAGATCTTTGATTTTCGTAACTGGTGGCCGGGATATGTTGGCATGAGTGAATTGATTCTGTAAAACAGTCTATGATTCATACAATGTTGGAATTCTGACATAGACGAAGAGTCAAGCTTTAGCTGTATTACTATAAGACACTTGTGTCTTTTTATGCTGAATAGTATATAGACTATGCAATGCTATCATACCTCTTCCCTAGAAAGAAACATCAAGACTCGGTATAACAATGTTACCATCAGCAACAAGCACACCGGTCCCAGAAATCGAAATAGCGAATCCATCTTCAACAACCTCAACACACAACTTCATCAAACATCGCCGTCCAGTCTGCACCCCCTGCAACACCTCAATCTGCGCCATCTTATCTCCCAAAGTCCCCGCATTCTTCGCCCACATATAAGCAGCCAAAGGCCCAGCAGCAGAGCCAGTAGCCGGATCCTCCATTCCCATCCCCGGACTGAAAAACCTCGCCTCAAATCTAGGGACTGGAGATCCATCTTCAATTGCAACAGAAGTAAAGACATAAACACCACTATTATAACTGCTCGTACTAGCAAGCTCCTTCGCAATACCGTCTTTATCAGCAAAACTGACATTGCGAAGGACTTCCATATCCCGCACTGGAACTAGGAGATGGCGCGCAGGTGATGTAGTAACGACCCTTGGCTCATCAAGTTCAATCCCTGCGTTTTTCAGCCCGATATCGGATTCTTTAATCCCAAGAGATCGAGACAGGGATTCTGGATTGGTATGTTTATTTAGGAATTGAGGCTGGCCCTGGCGCATTGAGATAATGATATCCCCCAGGTTAGACTGAGATATTTCAACTGGGAGGATATTGTCGCCTAGTTGTTGATGATATATCCGTCCCCGCTGAGGAGTGCCAGGTGTAATATGCACGTCCACAAGTCCTGAATGGGCAATCCACCACCAGGCACCGAGTGAGTTGTGGCCTGCTCCGAAAACTTCTTCGCCATTTGGAAGGAAAGATCTTAGGCGCCAGGTTGCTTTTGTGCTTGTTGGGGGGCAGATAAAGGTTGTTTCGGATAGGTTGAATTGTCTTGCTATCAGTTTCATTTGGGTGTTTGTGAGAGGAGGGGTGGTTGTTGTATCTACCACTGCGAGGGGGTTGCCTTGGTAGGCTGTTGAGGCGAAGACGTCGATGATATAATAGCGGAGTGTGGCCATGGTGAGGGTTTGATGTGGATAGATATTGCAATAATGTTGTCAGGGACTAATGAACGGGAATATAGAAGCAGTGTAATATCTCAACGGTATTTAAACCGAGAACACATTAATTTAAAGCTACATTATAAATCAAATGGGTTTGAAATCCAAATAGACGTACCTCGTATTCGTTACATCTTTCTGTCTTGGATGGCCTTGCCAAGTCTATATATCGTATAGGCTTCCCTTCAAGATTGATCCCTTTCCACCGGGCCCCTCCCCTCCCTCCCCAACCTTCATGTTCAGATGCTTTTGAGATGGGGCGTCTTAATGGTTTAGGGGAGTGGAGAAAAGGGGTCTATGAAGAAGATTGGTAAGCAGATTAACGTTATTCGGAGTACAACCTTCGGGTATCGCCTTCATTGGTATTGGATATCATATTATGCAGTGCATAGATAGGGCTGACAGTTGGCTAAGCCTTCAGGGAATATATATTTTAGACTACAACATTAGCCTTAGTACGTGCATGTACAACTACCAACCTCAGTCTTACCCTCACTATCTCATCATTCCCCGCACTCCGAAGTACTACATCTTCTACAAACCAGCCACCGAAAATGGATAGAAATGAATAGAAAAACCAGCCAAGCAGGCATAGAATTATCTCAAAAACAAGCAGTTCGCAACGGAGTGCAACGCCTCAGGCTATCATAGACGCATATCGATCAGAAACAAAAGAAGGTCGAAGCCAAAGACCAAAGACCAAAGACCAAAGACCAAGGAGAATCCCAAGGAAAGACCCAACCCAACCCATTCCAAAAAAAAAAGCCCGGCCATGCAGGCGGGGAATTAATCCAAGCCCATCCCAAACTCAGTTGAAACAGAGAGAGAGCATTTGCATTTAAAATGAAATGAAACACGAAGGTAAGGAAAGGAAATAAATCAGGGATTTCGGCTCAGTCCTCCTGGCATTCCGGGTAACGCCTTGCGATTTAATGGACAGGACAGGACAAGTGGCAGGAAAGGAAAGAACAAGAGGACACATACGCATAGCAAAACAGGGTACCGTAAAGCAAGATAAAAACGAGAAAAACAAGTCAGCAAGGGAAACAGAAAAAAAGCAAGTTGAGAACGAAGTCGCGCGCTGGGTATTGGTGATAATCAAATCTTCGTGAACCCGTTTTCCGTATTTCCATTTTCAGCCCTTGGGACTGAGAGAGAATCTGGACTGGAGGTGAGGTTCCAGACCAGACTAAGAGAGAGGTGGATAGATTTGACCGGCTGAGAAATCAAACTCGCGCGAGAATGGATTCTCAATTTTTGTGTCGCCAGCGATCAGATATAGAGAGATAGAGAGATGGTCGTACAGTACGTAAGACGTAACAGACGAGGAAATTCGTAACAGTGTAATAATACAGTGAAGCGAGATATTTGCTTCAGTGACGCCCCGCCTAGAGAGTAGATGGGTTTACCGGCCGAACTGGGTCCAGACTGTGCTGAGCCAACCGGCCGGGATACCGATCTCACAAGGTGCAAGCATGGACAGCTGGGTCCATTCGCATCCATCTAGGAAGGCGAGAACATCGTCTCCGCTGAGGCTGGCGGAGAGCAAGCTCGAATCTGGGCCTTCGGTTGAGGTCAGAGGCGGGGATGGGGCCAGCTGAGAGACTGATCCCGGGGGTGGGAGGACGGGGATGCTGTGTGAGGCGGCAGCATTGATGGGAGGGAGAGATTGAGAGTATGGTGTTGGCGGAGCCTGTTGGCGGGGGAGCCAAGGGTTGATAGGGTTCAAACGGTTGCTTGTTGCCGTCAGGTATTGCGACGGGGATTGGGTGGTTGCGGAGATCGAGGGCAGGCTAGGAGAGGAGGTAGTATAAATGGGACCGTCGGGGTGGTGTTGTTGGAGGGATGGGAGAGAGTAGGGGGAGCCCGATGGCATGGGACGACTGTTAGGAAGGGGAAGGCTTGGACGGCGATCGCCATCGTGGAGTGGCAGGCCAGGTGGAAGGCCAGGGCTGTTGATTGGCACCCATGACTCGCGCCGACCACCAGCGCCATCGAGCATCTGATCGCCAGGATCGCCAGGATCGCTTCGGACAGCGTTGCTCCCGGCGTCACTGAGGTTCGTGCGTTCAAAGACTGACTCGTTGGCGGGAACAGCGATACCGTCATCATCCATGCCAGATTCTGGCAATTGATCCTCGATGCTTCCAAAATCGAGGAACAGCTTCTCGAGCATCTTGAACTCCTCAAGGCCACCACCAAGACCACCTTCGCGAAGAGGACGAATGCCGTTCGGGGCGTGGTCAGAAGCATCGGACATGCTATCCAAGCGATTGCGGGAAATCCGACGGAAATCGCGCTTAGTCTTGGAGAAGTAGGTGTGAAGGCGGTTCAAAGTGCGGAACCAGCCCACGGCCATTTTCAGACGGGGACGCATTTCCCGCATGATGTCCAAGGCCTTGCGTGCCTGTACAGCGCCAATCTGATGACTATCATGGCTTGCGGGAGGCGGCTTGGGACCCAACAGCCCATCGGGATCCATGTGTTGGAAATGAGTTCCATACACGCCGATAAAGGCGGCATTGTAGATAGCAAAGCCAACCAACGGGTTCTCAACAAGAGCACCACGAACTTGGCAAGTAGCAACGAGGTCAATCATCTGGCGAGCAGCCTTGAAAAGCTCGCGAGCGCTGTCACGCCAGAAATTATCAGGTGGGCCATTGACTTTGTCGGTGGGGAACAATGGCTCATCGAGGGGACCAAGAGGCTCATTGCAGCGAACAGGCAGGAATGGGATGTAAGCACGGTGAAGGACGATGACGGATAGGAAATAGACCACATGCATCACAGTATATGAAGCCAACGTGGTCTTGTACATGATATGCGTGTCAGTGTTCCGAAGTGAATATTGCAGGTTGCGAGAAAGGCTATCTTGGAACTCGTTCAACTGCATCCGAAGCGACGAGAAGCGAGACTCAGGGTGCCAGGGAGGATATTGCTCCGTTCGTCGACCACCAGCACAGGACCACTTCGCGATGCTGCCCCAGATACGGATGATCCTGATCACCCGACTGAGTACCGACTCCTCTGCACCAACTTCCCATCGATCAATATCCTCCTCGCTAGAGTCCTTGCGGCGCGAGATGGGTGACCAGGACTTGCCATCCGGCGTCCCGGTAGGACCCGGGAGCTTTTCATCACCGAAGCCCCCAATACTTTGGCGGATGCTGGGGATTTGCATGCTTTGCGAACCAAAGCTCTGAGGCCGACGCACGGTCGGCTCATTGAGTCGGGCAGTGCGAACACGCTCGCCGAAAGCAAAGGCATTATCACTCGGAAGCTGGATTCCGAGGTCCTTGATTCGGACCATCCGGGGTCGATACTTGCCGCTACTGAGGCAACGATCAAGGATAAAGCACGCCCAGAAGGTCCGACGCTTGGTTTCTTGTGCGATAATATCATCCGAAGTTGGTTCCCTGGGCTCGAGACGTCGGGGCAGGCCGAAATGATCGGCCTCGGCCTTCAGGCCTGGGGATGCGCGGGATCCTTGCGCAGGAAACTCATTCTCGAGTTCGAATGGCAGGCCCATCGCTTGTGCAAGTCGAATAGCCATACCCACGTAGACCCAGGCACTCTTGCCTCGGCACATCCCCCACTCGTGTAATGCGAGCATCAAGAGCGCCTGCACGCGTGTGAGGTCCGGTTGAGCGAGACTGGCGCCATCCAGACCGGCCAGCCGGCTGCGAAGGGCGGTCGCATAGTATTCCGATGCGGTTAACGGGTTGGAAGGAAGCCCGGGGGATGCCGGGGAGTGAAAAGCGACCAGAGGCGGATGAAACCGAGCCGTCAGGGCCAATACACCCAGAGGAATCAGGGAAGAGGATGGGTCCTTCGGCACGGTATTTCGGGGATCTTGTCCATCGAGAGTCGCGGGAGGAACGGGTGTTGATAGTTGTCGGATTTGACCGAGAAAGGTCGCAGGGTGTAGGAACGGCAGGAGGGTAGCGAAGTGCGATTGGAAGAGGTCGAAGACGGCTTCCCAGACCTTGGTCGTCAGTATCGAGGCATCCAGTACATCGGCCCCTAATTTCGAGCCGGCCGAGCCGCCGGATATTGTCACTTTGCGCGAACGGTGCCGTTTCGGGCCATCCCAGTCGCCATTTCGATCCTCACCCTCCAGGGCTGCCAGGTCACGTTTGGCGCCGTTCACTCCAATAGCCGGGGTTGGGTAGACACATTCACGACCGGAGGACTCGCAGGCGCGGCAGGTTGTATCGATGCCGGCATTGACGCACTTGATCTTGCTGCGCCGGCACCGAGCGCAAGCGATGCTAGACCGCATCGTGAGTGTGGCGTATAGGATCAGTCCATTAACATGGGGAAGAAAAGAGAAAGAGAAAGAGAAAGACACGCGGAACTGGAGTGTGGGGGAAACTTAAAGGTCGGGGCACCGGACCGGAGCAAATTCAGTCGGGAAGGAACGGGGGGTCTCGACCGGGAAAAATACTCAAAACTGGAGCCGAGTTGAGACTGGGGAATTGCGGAGGTTGTGGAGCCCCCAGTTTCCGGCTGCCGAGTTGCTTACAGTACAATTACAGTATATGATCTCATTCATATCTCGACTCAGCTAGACATGTCACATTCTCTTTTCTACCAGCCCAAATTCTAACATGTCAAAATCCCAATTCTACCTCCCGTGAAGGAAGAAAAGCTAAATCTGGGGGAAATCGGTGAATGCCTAGGCTTGAACTCCGGTCGGCATATGATTTCTCTACTCCCTCGGGAACACCAGAAAAGGTAAGCGAAGGGCATTCTCGGAGGGTAATAACAGAAAAAGCCCCAACGGAAAACTCCATCCACATGGTAGGGTATTCGGGCGGCCCATCCCTCGGGTACGGAAATCCGCCATTTTCGTAGTTTTTACCTATTTTCTTTTCTTCTGACACCCCAGTCGGCGTCCAATGGTGGCTTTGACCCCGGGGTTCCCCGCGAAATTCAAGCGAGATCCTCGATCCTCA